AGAATATGTTCGGATTCATATTCAATGATGAGGCTTTTATTTTGTGTTTCCGGCTTTTTGTGATTTTTGACCATTGTCCTGGCTTTGTCATAAATAAACTGCCCTTGTTTGAACTGTAAACATTAAATTAAGAAAAAGAAACACGTCAAGTTCATTGCCTGTCTCAATAAAAAAAAAGTTTTCCAATAAAATTGCACACATATTTTTTGGTTGATTTTCCCATTTTTTTTTTTTTTGGCTTTTGTTGTCTACAAATTGATTAATTTATTTTTATGTGCACATGCTTGTATCCATTTGCTTTTAGCGCCTTTGTCAGAGCACTTGAAATGCTTTTGTGATATATTTTATATCAGCCAGACAGCATCTAGCTATAGATTTATGTATTCTCTATTTTGTATACCATGTTCTCTGATCTGTGCGTTTGGTGGCAAAATGGACAGTTGGCCATTAAATGGATGGCCGGCCCTTCGCCCTGGCCCCCTGCCTCCCTGGCTTGGCCACCAAGTGCTCATCGTATTTCATATTTCTCAGTTTACATTCAATTTGCTTTCGACATTCGCAGCAAATGCTGTTTGAGCCAAAACATTTGGTTTCACTTTGCGCATAATTAACTTTTGCAGCTTCCTTCGTTACAAGCCTTGGCACTCGGCATTCGATTCGTTTATTTATGAACATTTTCAATAATTATTAATTCACAGCATTTTTGCTCTCAATTCGGCTATTCATGGGGATAATTATGCATAAATCTAACTCGTAATGTAGTTACGCAATTTTTAATATTTTATACAAGAGTTTCTGCTTCAGGTTTAATTTTTATCAAAAGAATTTTTGATTTGCTATTGTGTTGATATTTTTGATAAATACATTTTTTTACTTTTTTAATAAACTTTTAAGTTTACCAGGGGTACCGAAAAGCCTTCTTTGTTTTTTTTATAAGATACCCCCCCCCCCCCCCTTTTTTTTTTTCAAAAACACCCTTTTGTTTTTTTTTTAAAAAAAAAAAAAAAAAAAAAAAAAAAAAAAAAAAAAAAAAAAAAAATATCCCCTTTAAACACCAAAAAAAAAAAAAAAAAAAATAAAAATCGGGAAAAAAAAGAAATTAAAAGAAAAAAAAAAAAAAAAAACAAAAAAAAAAAAAAAAAAAAAAAAAAAAAAAAACTACACAAAAAAAAACAAAACTGGGGTAAAAACCCCCCCCTCAAAAAAAAAAAGGTATCCACCACACAAAAAAAAAAACACACCCAAAAAAAAAAAAAAAACCCAAACACGCCCAAAAACCGTTTAAAAAAACCAACAAACAAAAAAAAAAAAAAAAAAAAAAAAAAAAAAAAAAAAAAAAAAAAAAAAAAAAAAAAAAAAAAAAAACAAAAAAAAACCCACGAAAGGTGCAAAAAAAAAAAAAAAAGGGAAAGAAAAAAAATAAAACAAAAAAAAAAACCAAAAAAAAACCCCAAAAACTGCTCCAAAAAAATAAAAAAAAAAAAAACCCCCCCCCCCCCCCCCCCCACCCCCCCCAAACACAACCCCCCCTCCCACCCCCCCTAACCAAACCAAAAAAAACAAAAAAAAAAAAAAAAAAAAAAAAAAAAAAAAAAAAAAAAAAAAAAAAAAAAAAAAAAAAAAAAAAAAAAAAAAAAAAAAAAAAAAATTATAAAAAAAAAAAAAAAAAAAAATAAAAAAAAATTAAAAAAAAAAAAAAAAAAAAAAAAAAAAAAAAAATTAAAAAATTTTTAAAAAAATAAAAATATTAAATAAAATTTGTTTGCTATAATCAATCTCATTTCAATAAAACTTTTTCTACAAGAAAATTCTTTTAATTTTGTAATTATTTTGTGTTTTTTTATTCGCTTTTGTGCTTTTGCTTTCCCGCTATGTGCCACGTTGCGTATGAGTAATGAGCAAAAGCATTCGATTTCGCGCTCTTGAAACGATGCCAAGCGTGCTCAGACAATGGACCATTGACTGCCAGGGGCACGGGGGAGAGTGGAGAGAATATAGCCAAAAAATAGCAACACTATTACCAGACATAGACGCAGCGACGGCGAAAGCGAAAAGCCATTGCCAAAATAGCAAAGTAATTGCAATCCGCCAAACTCGAACAGTCAGAGCGAAAAAATGTATGAACGTAAATAAATCGGGACCTCCTGCCCGAGATTTATAAATAGGGCACATAAACATATATACATGCAGATATAGTCTAATATTCCTTCTAACCTCCTTAGTGTCTGACGTATGACGTATGCTTGATGATTTTGTTAATTTTTCTTCTTTATTTGATTGCGCATACGCACTGTTTTCACACTGCCAGACCTAATTAAAATTGGCAGCCAACACCCAGCGCCCAGCACCCAACACCCCACTCATTTGTGCAAGCGCGTGTGCCTAATTGTCAGGCAAGTGCACTCCCCCACTTTCAGTTACTTAAATGTAATTGCACACAAGTGCAATTAAACAGCTTGACACACGCAGTGAAAACTTCCACGCTCGGCAAAGGGCCGGAAAGCCCCCAACTCCCAGCGCCCAACAAGCTGTCAGCCCGAAAGGAGCAGCCGTGTTGTTTACTTAGCCATTAATCCCACTAGGGAATGCACAGTTTCTTGGTTACACTTTGCCTTCCAAAGAGGTAGTTTTAAAGGCTTTGTTGTGACCTCAAGGACGCCGGAGTCTGAAAGGTTAAAGTCTCCTAAAATATAAATTTTACAGAAAAGTTATATGAACATAATCATCAGTTTGGACTATTTTTGTTTTTTTTTCCATAATTACTGGGTATCTCTGACATTGTTCGAGGAGTCACCACCTCCTGGGCCAATTCTGCAGTTTGTCTTCATTCATCTCCAGGCAGAATCGCCTCCAAGTCGTAAATTTTAAATGCTTTTGTAGGTCATTGCTGTCCTGATGGGTGAAAGCATAGGAGCCACCACCGAAACGTAGCTAAAAGCGCAAGAATAAGGCGAAAGTTTGATCTGAACTTTTGCCAGGAGAGTCTTTTGAACTGCAGCCTCCCAGTGTTCTCCTCTTGGCCGCACTTCTTCTTGGCCTAGCCGAAAGACGAAGCGAAAATTTATGCGCCTGACTGCGTCGGTCAGCGAAATGGCGCCAAGGTTCAAAGCTCCACACAAAGGTTGTAGAACAAAAAAAAAACACACAGTGTGGAGTCGGGGTCAGGGATCCTGAGAAGGGCCACTTAGTGGCCCACCCTCTTGGCCACATGATTGAGTTTTGGCCAACGTTGTTGCAGTTTTTGTACTAGCTGCTGGTGCTGCTTTTTGCCAGGTTGCTTCGTTGCCCGGTTGTGCATTCAATTTTATTGCAAATTGTTTGCAACAGTGTTTGAACTTTTGTTCGTTGCCTCGTATTTTTGGTTTTCGCCCAACATGCAAAACATGTCGCAACCTACAAGAGGCACCAAACAACAGCGTCGGGCCATAACAAAAAATGCGGCAACATTGCAGCCTACCAAAAAATCAAAAACAAAAAAAAAGTGGAAAGGGATAGGGTCTTGCATTTACGGAAAAGCAGGAAAAGTGTTTGCCCATCACGTATACGTTTGGGAGTAACAAGAACATGGGTTGCTACAAAGGTTCTGGTTTCAGTAATATTTAAAATTATTATATTTCTAGAAACATTTTATTATAGATATCTTTAAAAGAAGTTCTATACGATCTTCAAGGGATTAGTTAAAGGAAATTGATTAAGGTACTTTAAAATTATACTTTTAGGAGCTCTTCCACCTTTCAAAATATAATGATTATATAATATCATTATATTTTATAATAAGTTAATATTTTATAATAAGTTATATTTTCTTTTATAAAAAAACCTTTCTAAAATGGCAACCTGTGTAGGTTATGGCAATGGTACATATATATTATATGGGTATATAACTACTATTTAAAAATAAAAAACAAAATAATCCCTGCACCTATATACCTACAAGCTGGCACCTTACCTATTTTCATTACACTTATTTCCTCGATGATCCTCGAAATTCCTGAATCGCCTGAGTAGCTCATTCCGAAATCAAATAACTTAACAACCCTCGAGAAGTGGGGTAATACAGACACATGCAGGGACTCAATGAAATTTTCTGGCAAACAATACAGAGACGCACACAATTTTACAGAAAACTCGCAGTGCTCCAAAGTGCAAAGCGGCGAAAATGTTCAGTTTGGATTTATTGTTATGCGAGTCTCGCTTTCTATATAGTATATACATACATGTGAGTATGTAGAAATATATAAAAATATCTGTTATATATGTGGAAAAGTATATATATTTGCCACATTGAGCGAGCATACAATCGTATGGGTTGGCTGGCAATGCGGCGGCAATGTATTACAATTAATTTGGCACACACGGCGTATGCTGAATATTGTTCGCTTTCGGCTCTGCAATCGAGTAAATCCGTGGCAATTGGCAATTATACAAATTCTCTTTACAGACAATTGCAAGTGCAAATGCAAAATAGGAAGGAGATGGTCGCTGGGTTGGAAATGAGGGGATGGCTGGGTGGTGGGTGAACTCATTTGACTTTGCCATGGTCATGGTGATTGATGATTCGACCTCCGATGATGTGACAAAGTGGCAGTTCGGTAAATGAATCAACCCATTTCGTGGAGCAGCCAGTGGGGTGGTTAGGATTGATGTATAGATGGGGTTTATTGCTTCAGGAGGTGCTTCGGGGTCAGGTCAAAGGTCTGCTGAACTTTAAACGTTCAAGTGACATTTACATAGGAGATTTAAATTTCATATGCCAGAGAGATAGATGGATGGATGTGCATAACTTTCAGCTTATGATACACTAATAAAAATAATATTAAAAAAATATTATAAAGAAGTTAAGATATCTTTGATCTTTTAAAATATATTTTTTCAGGAAAAATATACTCTATATTTAAAATCCCTTTATGCGTTTATTCCTCAGTTACCCAGTTACAAATTAGTTTTGTTTTTAAGAACTAGAAATAAGAAAAAAGTTTCATTTCTCACTGTGTACCCACCCATGTGTCAACTACAAGGTGATGCCTGTGGTGGCATAATGGTTATGGCAGCTTGTGATCCACCAGGCAACGTCTCCACCACCGATGATTGAGCTAATGGCACCACTGACAGCCGCAGGCACATGGAAACCCGCACTCCAACTTGGCCAAAAAGGCAAATAGCGAGGTGGGTGGGTGGCGGATCGTAAAGTCTGCAGGTGTCACAACAACGTGGCGCACGCTTTTCGTGTATCAATTCATGCCACGCATGGTATCCGAAATCTGAAAATCGAAAATCCGAAACAACCGCCACAATCAGAACTTCAAACGGCCTGGCACTTCGTTTATTTACACAAAATTAGTTTATGCCCGAGAGTGGGGGAAGGAATACAACGTCTAAACGGGGAGATGGGGTGGAGTCGTGCTGAACAGAAACCATTCGCAGGCACTTAAAAAGCGCTAACCGTTTATTATTTTAATAATTCGGCTGTGCGCTTTGACGCACACTTTTAATATAAAATAGCCAACGGATCCATGACCATCCGCGTATCCGAGAGCATCTGTATCTGGGCAACTGCACCGAGTGAACCGAAGGCAGCAACTAAGCAAATTCAAAAAATCTGTGCCACTCTCAGTCCCGCGCCAAATGCACGGCAACGGATTTGTTTATCCATTTGGTGTCTGTGCGTGTATTTTTCGTATTTGTTCGTTATTAATTGCAATAAATGGTGCCGGCGTGGGTGTGATTGTACTTCTTCCCCTTGTTCATTTTTTTCGCAGCGTCTAACTCACGTGGCTTAAAAAAATACAATATTAAGATACACAGCCACTGACCTGGAGAAGGATAATGAATTTTTCTTGTATATAATATATTTCCTAGGAGGATAAGCTAAAATATAGTTATAAGTATACAATTTTAAGATCTTTCATTATAATTCCTTAAATCTCGAAAGTAAAAAAGACAATTTTTTTAGCCATGCAACAAACTTTTTTTCTGAGCTCCAGGATTTTGGGTTCAACCAACATTTATTACCCATTTCCTTTAACTGTTACTACTCATAATTTAAAGCTTATTAATCATATAATTTAATTTACAAATACTCTCATTTAAATAAAACTTTGAACTTAAAAGAACTGAAACTTTAAAACTTTTAAAAAATTTTTAAAGGCGCCTTAATCCCACACTGTTACCTCAGTGCTGTTAGACGCAACATTTATGATGTTAACATTGCGCGCAATAATTTGAATCATAAAAATATTGCAACTACTTCTTTCTTAATATCTGATTAAATGAAAGGTTTAATAATCAATTAAGTAACTGACAAGGTATCACATCCTCTATATCCTCACCATCCAAAGCTCTTATCTGACATTGGCAAAGGAATTGAACAATTTTTCGTTCAGCGTTGGACCTCTCCTCCGGGCTAAGACCATCCAGCAGCATTTGTGCCTTGGCCAGAATGCCTATTGCAGGTGGATTAGCTTGCTTTTGCTGCTCCCTTTGCTCTTGATGAATTTGAGCCTGCAACTCCCTTGATTGCTGCAACACCGTCTCCATATTGGTTATCACGGTGGTGAGTAGTTTTTCCGATGTTGCCTGTGACCCACTAGCTTCTTCAACAACGGAGGACGTTTCGTCGAGGGCAGTATTCGTCCGATCCAGAGTGTGAACAATCTCTTCGCTCATCGCCGGAGTGGTAGTGGTCACCTGCAGTTGCTGAGGAGGCTCCAAGTCCTGCGATTGCCCGGATTCAGAGAGGATAAAGTCATAGGGAGCGCCCTGCTCTGCATCCGAAAGAATCTCTATCTCCTCAGAATCATCATACGGCAGCTCCATGTCATCCTCCAATTCCTCGTTGTCTGTACTGTAGGGATAGTCCGCTCCCCAGATCTGTTCGCCTCCCGTGACCCCCTCCGCAGGTGGCTGCTTGGCAGGATTTTGTGTTTGAGAGCTGGACTTTGGCGGTCGACCTCGTCGCTTTATGTTTTCCAAAACTAGAGGCACTCCCTTGCGGAAGTGACGTCCCAAGAAGAGCAGCTCGTTGAAGTACCGCCAGGTAATTGGCTTATTCTGATGGATCTGCTGGTTTCGATATTCCCGGGCGAAGCGATCTCGCAGCTTTTTCCAGCGGTTGTAACAAAGTTCCTCTGTGGAATAAAGTTTAGAAAGATATTAAGATTAATATTATATTAATAATATTATTAAAATTATTATTCTGATAAGTAGGCCATGATAAATAAACCAAAAATCGAATCTTTCATTGAATTGTTGTAGTTCGTATTTTAATTTTTTCATTTAATTAGATATCCTTGGGTCTTCAACAGAAGTTAATCGGTTTATTATCATTTTGTGTTAATTTGTTTGTAAAAAAAAGATAGATATGAAAAAGAACTAATAATGACGGACCAAATATTTCAAGTTTTAAATAACGTAGCTGCTGGTTTCAACTTCAATGGGTCGACCCCATCGTTGAGCTTGCCACATAGATGTGGCGAATTGCGGAGTTGGCATAACGGACAGTTTGTGGAGCTAACTGGAAAGATGACTAAAAATGCAGTTACTCGCTTTGCTGAGCTCCGTGATAGCTTCGGCCGATCCTGCCAACTGGTGATTCTCGAGAGACACCCACACGTTGCTCATCGCTTTAGGGAATTGCCAAATAATGTGATCCTGACCATTATGGGACAGGTTATGCTGCGTCCGGCAAGATCACGCAATTCATCTATGGCAACTGGTGACATAGAGGTGGAGGTCCATGAAATAGGTAACATTGAATATCTGCCGGAGCACAAACATGCCGGAGACAAACGCTCCTATGAGAACATGGCTAGAAGCCGTGTAACCAATGTCGAGAAAAGAATGTGCAGTGAGTGGATTTATTAATGATCTTTGGCTTTCATAACATTTTATAATATTTTTATACTGTTTTTCAGAGAATGATAATGTGCTAAAGTACTTTGAGAATCGCGATTTAACTTGTGCGGACTTAAGGCGCGATGATGTGGGCACCATGGTGACCCTTGTCGGATGGATGCCACTGATTAAGAGTAAAAAATTCTTCCAACTCAAGGATGGGCATGGCCAAACCCAGCTAACGACTGAAGACCAGGATGTAAGCGAACAAAAAATTTTTTAGTTCTTTGGGTAATATTTTTAAATAATTTGGCAGATCATAAAAATGTTTTCTTCAACACCGAGACATGGTGTCTTCCAGATTGAGGGTAAAGTGGTGAACCGCCCTACGTTTAATATTAACCTGGTAATTGGAACACTAATTTCTTGAGAATGGAAAGTTTATTTTAAACATCTTTTGCTAGAAATACGTCACTGGCGAAATTGAGGTCAGTTTGACAAGCGCCAAGGTGATAGATCCCGATCAACCCTACGAGGGACCGATAAAAACCAATATAAAGCGAAAGATCTTAGAGGATGGAGTGGAAGACGATGGCGAGTGTGCGACTTCCCACGATCCTTGTTCCAAAGCGCCAGACATCGTTCCTTTCTTCAATCGTACTCATCACTGCGGTGAACTAAGCTGCAATGAAATCAACCAAAACGTGGTGATTTGTGGATGGCTGGCTTCCCAGCGGATGAACAAGTTCTTCATTCTTGAAGACACCTTTGGAACGACCCAGGTGATTGTGATGCCCAAAACTCAGGGATTGGAGGACTATTTTCGGAACGATGTTCCCGTCAACACTCTTATGCGTGTAGAAGGCACTGTCATTCCACGTCCTGAATCAACCATAAATCCCAAGATGCTTACTGGAGACATTGAGGTCAAGGCCGATAGAGTAACGGTGCTCGAGGTGGACAAGAAAAATTTGCCAAAAGACTTGCAAATTGAGCATAATGAGGAATAATTTAAAAAAAATAGGATATAATTTTAAAAGAAAAGAAGCTCCTGTGACTAAAAATATCAAAAAAATAAAATGAACATTTAAGACTTGCCTGAAACATTGAGGTTCTCTGATATTTCCCTCCAGGCCAGGTTCTTGGCGGTCAGATTCTTAGAGACTCGGATCTTGTGGCGATCGTACAGAACGGGATGCATTTTCACCAGCTGGATAAGCTGTTCGTTGAGTAGATCATCCTGGCAGTCCTCCTCCTCTTCCTCTCGCCGACGTTTCTCCAATTCCGCCTCAGGTTTGGGACGCTTTTTCGCTCTCGCGGCTCAAAACGCATCCCGTCCAGGCTCTCGTTGCGCGCCACTCCCTGTTTGTAGTGGTCCTTGAGGAACAGCAACCGCGGAAACATGTCCCAGTAGGTGGGTTCGTCCGGCCGCTCCTGGAAGCGGCGGAATTCTTTGCCGAACCGATCGCGGATGCTTTTCCAGCGCGTGATGCAGGCACGTTCGGAGGCTCCCATTTTCTGGGAGATGGATTTCCAAGCGGAGTCCTTCAGAGCGGCGTTTTTTACACTTCTGGCACAGTCCTTGTCGTACAGGATCGGATGGTTTTCGATTAACTTGATCAGCTCACCGTCGTCCATGATGGAATATAGACAGCCATGGGATATGAGAGGAAATTTGTTTGTTTACGTGCGAATATTGGAATTTCGTTGTTTTGATTCCCACAAGTGGTGTCGCCGTAGCCATTTTATAGCTATTTCTAGCATCTCGTCTATCGATAGCTGTCAACAGGTGGTGGTGGATTTTCATATCGAGAATTTCCTTTTATGTAACAGAAAGTTTTTATGGAATTTTATTAAAATTTAACTAAAATATAAAAAATATTTGTCTTTCTTTCTATTTATTTCTGTTTGAGAACAAAAAGATACATATAAAAACAAATGCACCACCTCTAGTGTTGGAAAACGCAAGAATGTTTATCGATAAATAGCTACCGCGCTATTTAAACTAGAAAATTGCATATTGTATGTACCATTTGCATTTCTGTGTGTAACTTTTGGCTATTACTAACAAATCTTGTAACAAGTTGCCATTGATTACTATTTCTAAACTCTTTTTATTTTTGGACACCCTACAATAAAATCATCCTGTTAATGTAGAAGGATGTCGAAGGGCATGGGGCTTTTGTCAAAGCTGTACAATGCCATAGTCACTTCAGTTGATAAGTTTGTACCAAATAGATTGAAACCATTTTGGGAGTCACCAGCAGGTGGGTAAGTTAGGTTATTTACACTTGTTTTTACCATTTTCTTAACTCAGGCCCAAAGACTGTCTTTTTTTGGGGGCCAACTTTTAAATGGGTAAGTTTCAAAGCGGAAACTAAGTTTTTATAAATAATAGATATAACAAGTTTCTAGCTATTGGTTGCAGCGGGAGTGGGCGATGTAATAAATCGCCCGCCGCAATTAATCTCTTTAAACCAATGTACAGTTTTGGCCGTAACTGGTTTGATTTATTCAAGGTTCTCTATGGTGATCATACCCAAAAACTATAATCTATTGGCGGTCAACTTGACAGTGGCTGGAATTCAGTCATATTTGATTTTCAAACATCTCAAGTGGCGCAGCGAAAATAAAGGAAATGTCGACTTTGAATATCCCAACCATTATCGCAATCCGGATGAATTCTGGTGACCTCAAGACCTCTGAAATTTTTACTTAGTTACCGACTTTAGAATTAGCTTTATCTATCTATATTTAAAGACCCATCTAAATTTTTCAAATTCTTACGTGTAAGTTAATAAATAAATATGAGCATAATACCTCACATGAAATATTTTCATTTTTTTTCTATTAAAAAATGTATATTGCTTTACGCAAGTGATGTCTAGGAGCACCGATCAAGCCTTTGTAATGTCACTATCAATATGCTAGGGATATTTGTGTCAGATTAGTTGGGTAAATATTTTGGCCTTCTTCAAAATCTAAATTCGTGTTTGCCCTATATTTGGCCTATATCCTATATTGTTGTAAAAGGATGTCGAAGGGAACGGGTCCTTTGTCAAAGATATATAATGCCGCAATCGGTGCAGGCGATAAAATAATGCCCCAAGCAATGATGCCTTTTTGGCAATCGCCTGCAGGTTTGTAAGTCGGATAGTTGTTGGATTTTCTTACTTTTGACTTTACTTAGGTCCCAAGACGGTATTTTTCTGGGCGCCCCTCTTCAAATGGGTAAGTATTTGAAGACACATAATATATTAATATTAGCAAACAACAAAGTAAAATCCTTACCCAGGGACTAGTATTTGCGGGATTGGGCGATACTGTCAGTCGCCCACCGCAGTTAATCTCTGTAAACCAATGCGCCATTTTAGCCCTGACTGGAGTGCTGTGGTCAAGATACTCATTTGTCATCACACCCAAAAATTATAACCTATTGGCGGTCAATGTGGCAGTAGCTTGTATTCAATCCTTCTTAATTGCCAAACACCTGAAGTGGCGCAGCGAGAATGCAAAGAATACCGTCTATGAGTATTCTTACTATCCCCACAATCCGGATGACGACTGGTGATTTATAGATTTTGACTTTATCTATTCACCCAACTAACTAACCCAACTAAATCTGTCCACACTCGGCACCCTAATAATAAAAATTATTCAATTATTTTAAATAGTTTCATTTCAGAAAATAAAACAAAATGTAGTTTTGGTGTGCGGCTCTCAAGCTTTACAGTTTTTATTTCTTTTTCTCTTATGCATTTCTGAAATCATCATTATATAGTTTCCGCTTGAAACTAAGTATACTTTAGATAAAATAACGTGACCCCGTGTAGATGTTGTTTCGGGGTCTGCAGGCATTGGTCAAGTGAATTAAGACTATTTATGACTACTGCTAATTAAGGAGACTACGATTTTAAATATTTAAAAGTTCACAACAAGCTCTAGGTATGTGGCCAAGGTCCTGGACGCAGTGCCATGCGACCGGGATAGTGCGCACAAGCCCACTTGCGATTGGTGATTGGTCGTTCTGTCGCCGGTCGTCCTGCAGCCAATGCGCTGCCTGCAAAGGACTCGTCGTTGACGGAGGAACGGTGGCATCTTCGGGTCAGGAGTTGCGCAAACTATATAGCCGACAGCCGAGAATGCATTTGGCAACACTTCTTTCGGCAGCCTTTCGGCCCACAAACACACACAAACGTGTGTTGAAAGTTTTCTGCCCGGCCAACAGGCGTATACTTGATATATTACTCATACGACGTGTGAGCAAGGCGGAAAACTTCGTTTGCTGGATTGTGTGTGTGAGTGGGCTCCTTGCGGGGCTGCTTGTCACGTTGCCAAAAAATGCATTCCCAGCTGCAAAGCTTGCACGGACGCTTTGCCAAATTCCATTTCCCGGAGATTCTCCTTCCATCCTGGCCGGGCTTCGTTGCCGCTTTGCGCCGCCATTGGTTGGTCAGACCTTCGGCGGTTGCAACGGCAGTTCGGCTCGACTTTTCAGGCTCTCCTCCTCAATTGGCCAACGAGGCTTCCTTTAGGCCATTAGTAGCTGCAACGAAGGAATTTTTGAGAAGTACATATTAGTTTTCTGCCAAAATCGGATTGGTAATAAGGTTTTAGTGATATTTTGTTTCGGGGAAGGTCTTTCATTTAATTTTAAGAACTATTTTTCTAATTAAACCCTATGGTTAACAAAAATTTCTGAAGGAAAGATAGATACTTTTATACTATAATACTATAAGATACTATTATTTTGGTCATTAAATGTTTTCGATCTCTCGATCGTACCGTTCTTGACCAGATTTTCATGAATGAAAAAATATCTTTTATGGCTTCTTTTTTTAGCGCCAACTCCCACCCAAGACATTGTTGGCGCCTCCATCCATTATCTATTCTTATCTTGAATTTTTATAGACCTGGGCCACTGTGCCACAGTGGTGGAATGGGTAATGGGCCTCTGCCAAGATGGTAGCTTGCCAAAATCTTGCCTAGAAATTTTTTCTCACGCTCGCTTCCAAAAAAACAAACAAAATCTACAGCGAAAAAAATGATGTGAAAGAAAGAGAGCATCTGAGAGATGCGACGGGATGGCAATGAACTTTATTGCGTAATGCGGAATCTTGGCAAGAGGCTCGATGGGATTCTCAAAGGGGGATTCCCCCTAATGCCGGGAATTCCGAGAACGATGCTGTCATGTAATTAAAGCGCCACCTGCCGGCCGATGCGTAAACAAATGAAGTCGACATAATTTATGATCATGGAGTTTTGCCAATAAGTTTCCTCCAAGACACGAAGCAGACACGCCGTCTGCCCCGATCTTTTGGCAGTATGAACCGATATACATATATTTCAGATTTCAGCGCCCCCATTAGTTTCTCCTCGCCGGCTGAATGACTTCGGGAGAGTTCTTCCCATTGACTTAGGTCAGGAACTGTGCTATTGAGCAGCTGCCAATTGGCGGCCCACCACAAATATTATTCATTCCAGACGATTCAACATCTCTTCCTATCGTATTTCTCTAATTTCACACGCACGTGTTGGATTTATGTGCAAATGGCAAACGGAACTGGTCCAGAAGTCCAGATCCTAAAAAAGTATCTTAGATACTTGCAGGATGAGCAGCGACAACACTTGCTTTTAATTGCCTATGACACAGCTGCTTCCATTGGCTTGGTCAATTTATGACCCAAGTCCCGGCCAACATTGGCAAATTATGATAAATAATCCCCAATGAACATCCCCCATCCATTATTCATTCTTGGACATGGGTGAAAATACGAAAAATTGTCAAATGAGCGATGGCTTTGAAGTGGTCTTATGTAAGTCAGAAAAATAGGAAAAGTCTTTAGAAAAATATATGAATAAAATTCAGGGAAATCGCACCTATATTTCAACAATAATAATTCTTTAAAATTACCATCACATGAGCTCATTGCAGGTGATCTCACAGAGTCAGCCTTCTCCCAACCTTAGTACACATTTCAGTCTTGATAATTTCTTTCAATCTAAATTCCAACCGACTAACCAAAAGAATGATCATTAAACTTAATATGCCTATATAATGTATATGCATTTTTTCAGATTTTATGGCCAAGATAAATCTCTATTATAGAAAGCAGACTGTACGAATTAATAAAGAAAATTTCTTTATAGATTATAGGGACGTTCGGCGCATAAAAATGGGAAAGAGCGCAAAAGTCTTTGACGTTTTAAACAAATTTCGCTGTCCAATAATTCTGCCACTGTTTTTGGGACTTTCTGATCTTTCCCAAAAATTTTGTTGGTGTTTTCTCAATGATTTTTCCGAGGGAGCTAAATCGCTTTTATTTATTTGTTCTAGAGGCTGAAAGTCGGCATTTCGGTTGCCTGAAAGTTTTCCTTGTCTATGGTATCTTTTTTTTTCGGTGTGTTGTTTGAATTTTTGTCTGGTTTGGTGGTAGTAGCTGATATTGCCTCGATTTTGCCGTGTTGAATTTTTCATTTACCTTGCTATTTTCGGACACACTTGACGCGCGGCCCGCCAAAAGATCGAAGACGAAGGCGAAAGGCGCAAAAAGCAATAAAAACGTCAAGACCGAAAACTGAAAACCGAAAAGCCCGAGAAAATTGCGCAGAACTGTCGTCCGCCCTTTTGTATGTATGGATGTAGACCTCCCCTTTCCCAAGGGGAGGGCCTATGTACCAAACTGTATACCATATACTATATATGTATAAATAGTATTCAGGCGGTTTGTCTATGTGTTCTTGGATCTTTGAGATGCGCGATGACGCGCAATTGACGCGGGCAAAGACGCGTTGAAAGCGTCGCCGCAGAGTCTATTTTTGTGGACAACAACTAAGACTTTTACTTGCAAATATATATAAGGATTCTGACTCCGATTCGGCAACAGATACAGATACAAATGCATCTGCTTGTATATTTCATTTTAATCTATTTCAGTTGCCTCATCGAAAATATATGTATTTTCTGTGTGTGGTTCGGTTCGCTGTTCCATCTGCCTGTGTTTCTTGGTGTCTGTCTATAGGGCGACGGCACAAATTGTAATTAGTGTTAGTTTTTCTTAGTTTTAATTAGATTTTCTTAATTTGCACGTTCCTGGGCAGCTGTGTGTGTGCCTGTGTTCTATGGTAAACAAATGAACCTTGAGATGCAGTTACCCTGCATTACATTCATCGAGTGTGGCGCATGTACAGACTTAATTAGGTTAAACTGGGTTAGGGAACGACTAGCACCGGTTACATAAGTCATGATCATATAACTTTCGGTTCTTTCCATGAACTCACAATCTGTTTTGTGTCCACCTACATATACTTGTATTAATTCTCTCACAAAAAGAACGAAACACAAACAATTTTTATGCATATTTTCTGTATATTTTGAAAGAATTGCAAAAACATTTCTTTGAGGATTTATTTGCCAGAATTAAGTGCTTCAAATGCTTTGTTTGTTTTACGGCCGAATAGTCTCAGAAACAATTTTAAGTAATGGAATCTTCAATTTCATTAGTCGATCAAAAACTCAATCAAAACAGAAATGATAAACAAGAAAATATAGCAAAGATTTAAAATCCGTAACCGGGAAATTGGCAGGCAGAAAATATTAACTTGCTGCCAAAAACTGGCGCCTTTAGAGAGAAGATCGAGAGCTGAAAAAGCACTCAAAAAATAAATTGCTTGAATATTGGCCAATAAATTTTACAAGACGTTGACATTTGGCCAACATCAAACGGCCTTGCCAAAGGCCAATCAAACGTCATTATTTGGCTCATGGTATGGGTGATAAATACAATAATAATGATAATTGGACACCTGTTGGCAAATGCTGGCGAATGTCTGGCCAAGAATTCTTTGGCCAATTCAACAACAATCGGCCAACGGTGACGTAGCCACAAACTGGGCAACTCGTCAAAAATGTGCGTCAGCAATTAAAATCATAATGAGAGTGCCAAGTTAGGGGCGTGCCACCTGCCCCCGCCAAAAATTCGATGCCAATGCCTCAATCCACGCGCCAGACACGCGACCCCTGGCCACGCCTCGCATTCCACAGGATGCGTTGCCAACGATGGTGCCAAAAATCTTGGCAACACCCGGCCAAGAAGCCGTCAACTGCTGGCTGCGTTTGTTTATGTTTATGTTCGTGGGACTCTGCTTCCAGGCAGAGAGCCAGCAACTCTAAGAAAAAATCGGAAACGGAAGGAAGAAGGCTTAAAAAGATTTGGTAAAAGAGTTAGAAGTAATTGTATACTCTATAGAGGGTTGTCATAAATAAAATAATCTTTATATTTGGTCAAGAAAACATAATAACTTTTATGTTAATTATGTGCCATGCATTTAATAATTTCCAACCCTTTAGCCTAAGACAGTCCAAGACGCCTCCAAAAAAATAAGAGAATCAAAACACAGGCTCATAGAAGAAAAAAATAAATATTACTTGCAAGAAGGAAAATTTGTTAAGTGTTGGCCACTGCACCACAGACTTATAGGCGCTGCCAATTGCAGACTGCCACTGCGACTGCGACAATGCGGCGTATACGTAATGAAGGAGTTGCCTCAAGCAACCCTACCCAACCCACACTCACATAACGTATACGCAGTGGAGGACAAAGTTGCGGACCAAATGCATAACAAATAAATAACAAAGGCCTGTGACCATCATTATAAAAAAGTCAAAAGAAAGGCGACGGAGAGCCTTCTCCAACGAAAAAAAAGCATCTCCAACGACTGGCCGCACTAATAAGTTTTAAGAAAAATGAAAATGAAAAATCGTTTGTGCATTTTTATAAGTGCAAAAATATGCAAATAGAGTAAATCATTACTGGACTGGACCAAAGGCAGACAAAGTTCTTCTTTGGCGATTTTTATTTTTTCACCATTTTTCAGGGGGAGTTGGAAGGAAGGAAGCGGTAGCCAAAATCATAATTTGGCGATTTATTTGTTTGTTTGTTTTATTTCGGGCCGTCTAGGCCATTGAGAGTTATGGTTGGTCCTCTGTCGGCAAAACTGGTAGTGACACAAAGCGGAAGGGGCCGAAATTAATGTTCAACTTAAATCGCCATCGATATGCATTTAAAGTTCTTTGACAAACACTTTCTTTGGCAATTCAATTAGTTTTAATTGCACGACTTGGCGGACGTTTAAAAATGTTTTAAACGCAGGCCTTGGGCTATCAATAAAATCAGTGCAGCACATAAATCTTTCAAGCCTTTCATTGCACAGCCCAATGCAAAATCGAAATCCGAATCGGAATCGGAATTTGAATCCCATTTCGGATCTCTGGCGGAAACAAAGATAAAGCGCAGTGACCAAAGCGACGGGAGGACCTTTTGTTGGACATATGGAGCCAGTCAAGAGGAAAGGACACAATGCCTTGGACTTGGCTTGGCTTAGTTGCCAATTTCCTGGTGAAATAATAAAAAAATGCAAAGGAAGAGACTTCCCTTGAAAAAGAGAATTATTTGCCAGGATGTCCGAAACATTGTTGGTGTCAACAAATTCCTTTTCAACGTCCATTTCCAGAAGCGAAAAAAAGCGAAAAAATTGGCAAAAAATAGTAACAAACGAGGCGAAGACAAAATTAATGTGAAAACATTAAGGAATGCCGCTGGATGTCCTGCTCTAAGTCCTTGGCAATTAAGTTTCGTGTTAATTTTTTGACTCACCTCACTTGGTTTTCTGGCCAATTAACTACTGAGAGAGAAGTGGAAATATTTTTAATTGTTTTAATGGATCGTAAATCTCGTTGTACAAGTTTTTGATTTCCCCGGGCCCGTCGTTGTTCTTCTCCAGTCCAGACCCTCATAAATTTTGGTATTTAAAATTTCGAAAATCCAACATAGAACTATGCAATTTTATGGCACCAATCGAGAACTACAAAGAGCAGGTCATAATGGTACTTATTGGCCCGAAATTTAATTGTGGAAAGTACAATGTTCTCTGGCATGTTTTTTTGTCCAACCATAAAAGAATAAATCTGTCTATGAGATTAATTTCTGATATATGATTTTCGTTTCATCTTGCGGGAAACGTTTAAAAAAAATGAAAACTCTGGACTGGGGGTGGCTAGGACTGGTGTGTCTGGGTAGGACATCCCATTCCTGATACGTGTTCATTGAACCATAAGCAGACACTGACAGGACTCGGGGAGAGCTCTTTGCGTGTGTGGGTGCTTCAAGCTCTTTAGCATTTTTAGACAGGCCTAAAAATACGGCTGGGAGACTGACTAGATGTTGGATGTTGGTACTTCGATCGGCACGCCCCCCATGGCGCATTCAACGTTGTCATTTCTGTGTTGCATTTAGGTTTATTTATGTGGCGCCAGGCTGTTCCCAATTGAAGCCTCCTTTGCGGATGCTACGAATTAGAGGTAAGGGACTTGACTCTTTTGTGGCGAGCGATTATCGCCATGTGGCAAGGATGATCTAGTGGGAGGAGTAGAGGGTTCCCTAAATCGGTAAATGTTGGTTAAAGGGTTTTTTGACCTTTTGAAACATTTCGTAAAAAGAATATTTGATTTTAATAGCTTTATGAATCATTTTGATTGGAATATTATTAAAAAAACAACAATCAAGATGAAATAAGATTAAAATCTACCTTTTAGAGTATTTATTCCAGAAATTTCTGTAAAACTTTCGTGAATATTATAATATTGTCTTGAAAAATGTCAAAAAATAAACCTTAAACACCTTAATTTCATACACAATTTCCCTAAAATCTAGTAGTATTTATTACTTACCATTTTTCGGCACTCTTCCTCGTTCGGATGCTCTCCACGTTTCTACGTTTTTCTGCTAATGGTTTAACATCTTCCACATTGACCTTGCCACAAATTACCAAGAGCCGGTTTATATTTTACTATATTATATATTGCTTCGGAGTGTTTATTAATAAAATGTACATATTTTCCGCTATAACCCTTTTGACTTTGAGTTATTTACGTATTATTTTGTACCATATCGCTATGGCTTATGTAATTATGGTAAAGTCATATATTAAAGGGCTATATAGTATCTGTTGGAGTTATTGTTCTTTGGATATTTTATGGTTATATCATAGTCGATTATTGTTTATTTTTTGTTGTGGAACTAAGTATAATTTTAAATAGTTTTATATTTATATATAATATTTATGGTGCTGTAGTTGTTAAGGCTCCGTTTGGTGGAATATTGCTTTCGAATATTTTTTTGTTTCATTTTTTTTGTTGTTTTTTTCTTCGAAATTGCAGTTTTGGAGTTGATGTTACTTCTCCGGTATTCCTAGTTGTATGAATGGCTTCTCCAGTTGAAATATTTTCGAAATATTTTCTGGAGTAACCCTCCGATGTGGCTGGAGATGCTTATCCTTTGAGCCTTCGCTGGCGTTTGCCTCGCTTGACGTGCTGATGGCCAGGACAAGTACGAGTCCTTTCATTAAGCCTGGCCAGATGAAACAATCAACTTGCCAAATCATGGCTGCTGTTGTTGTTTGGGACCGAGCCAGGGTTTACTTTTTTGACAGGATCTCTCTCCTTGTTTTTTTTTTTTGGCACCAAACGTTGGTCAGTTTCCACGCACTCACACACACACACACACGCGCGCGAATACACACACTTTTACACCGCAGAGCAACTGGTTGTTGTTGCTGTTGTTGTCAGCTGCGAAGCAATACTCTTTCTTTATTTAATTGTTTATTGTTTTTTTTTTACTTCTTATTTGCTGTATTTTCGAGACGGACGCGAGTATCAGTTTGGACAGCGTCAGGTGTTCACTACTGTCCGGGCTTCACTGTGGCACATCCATGCTGGATAAGTCGATTATGTGTGTGTGTGTTAGTGGTGTGGGTGTCTGTCAATGGGCCATCAGGTTGCGGCTGTTTGTTGTTGCCCTGATCTTGGCCCTGATGTGTTTGAGTTGGCTAATCAAATGCGGACCGTGGCCAAAAAGTGCGCTTCCCTCCACCTCCATCCACGCTAGCTCTTCTTCTTCCTTGTGCTTTTGGCCACATCCTGCGTCACCTTGTTGTTGGCTGGCTGGCCACTTTTCTTGGCTGGCTACGCGTCAAATTCAAGCACAAACTCAAACTCAACTCCGCTCAATTGGCAGCCGCAGCTTGGACGTGGACATGGACCCGGATAGCGATTGCCGGATCCGGGTCCAAGTCCGGTGTTGGCCGCCCTGCCAGCCTTTTGTTGGCTCGCCACACCAGACGCTACCAGTTTCTTGGCCAACTGACTGACGACTGGCCGTGCGGCCTGCCAAAAAGCGAGCCAGAGGCCCTCGAACGATTGGATTGCAACTTGCTGTTGCCGTTGTCGTTGTCGTCGCAGTCGACGTTGTTGCCGCTGCCGGTTCTGCTTTTTGTGTCGTCATCGGTGGCACCGCCTCTCGCCGCTCACCACCCTGTCGAATCTCCTTGCAGTCGCACTACACTCCCTCTCCCAAATGGGAGACGTCTCTTCTAGAACAGAGCAGTGGGAACCACAAGTCCACCTTGGCGGATGAGTGATATTTTAAAGAATAATATATAATTAAGGGTTTTCAGATAATATATTAGATTATAAAATAATATATTTTATAAATAATAATAAGTAATAAATAAATATTTTTAAATTATTTATTTTGTATTTTAACCTTGTAATTTCTCGTTTGGCCCCATAGTACTGTGGCATTTATAGCTCTCTCTTTTTTCCCCACTGCTCTTGCTTTTGCCTCCCACATACCCCTCTCGCAACTGGCGGTGCTCCAAGCGAGCGATCCCCCATTCCCTGGTACACTTGCTCGTTTCGCTTCGGGTTTTTCTTCGGAAAATTTCACAGTTATCTCTCGTGCCGCCTCTGCCGCCGGCTCTGCTGCTGCAGTTCTGCTCCTTTGCTCTGAGTTTTGAATATTTTCGAGTCTTTAATAGTTTTGAAACATTTTTGAACTTCCAGCATTTTGAAAATCAACCAGAAAAAAGGGTAGCATTATACAAAATGATTTATGAGAAGCACGTGTTTTTTTGGATGGATATAATATTAAGATACAATATTCTAATAGGTTTGTTTACCTTGGCTAGACTCAATCTGAATTGTATCTCTAAAAACATTCAAAATAAATGAAACCTATAAGCAATCTGCTGATATGACTAATACAATTCTTATTCCATTAAATTGTTTTTCCTCGCAAAAACGAAATGCAATTTGAAAAAGGTAATTCGCAGAGCAACAATCAATTTTCCAACCCCAATTATGAATGCATATGCAATGGGGCACCGAACAAGCAGATCCGCCCGAGAGATATACTCATATATATAAATACATGGCTGCCTTTCGACAAAAGCATAAACGCACTCATAAAATTAGAATTTAAATGAAGCACTAAAAAGTGCAAAAACTACAAAAACGCAAAAGGGAAAACTCATGAAAACTTGTGAAAACTGAAAGCAACTCAAAGTGCCGAAAGAAAATAAAGACCTGCTCTCTAAATGAATGCAAATGGTCAACAGGTTTTTAGCGTATGCAAGGACACATCTTCACAGGACATCGATGCCAATCAGAATAAGTGGACCTAGGGACCAAGGACTTAGTTAGCCCTTGTGCCACAGGATCCTCGCAGCCAGTGCGCTCTCATCCTGAGTGGATACTTTGTCTGAGTTATGAAACGAGCGGCGCCAGTGTAAAAATTTTATGCAAGCGAATACCAAAAATCTCGTTGTAAACTTGTAACCAGTGCTAATAAATTTCTAATAAATGCATGTAAAATAAAGGCCACAATGTTGTTTCTGGAAAAGCACTCAAAAAAAGGGGGAACTTTCCAAAAATATTTTGAAGATTTAATTGTAAGATAAATTTAAAAAAAAATGACACCTTTTTAGGAACATTAAATATTCTAATCTCGTCTTAGAAAATCCAATGAATATTTCCTTATAATCCACAAATTATTGAAATTTTTTCCCATGTATTTGTTGAACTCATCGTGTGTTAATTGAGCACCGATTACGCGACCATTAATAGGAGCTTCCCATCTGAAAGTCCGAAGGTCGGCGGTAGTCAGTTAACCACCGGCAGGAAAAACTGTGACAACAATGCCAGCCACACGTTGACCACAGCAGCACGTGCTGCCAGAGGCCAAAACAAGTAACCCCTCTCCATGCGCTGCCTTCTAGTCCCCTTTTGGTCAGCTTCTAACACCCAAAATACTCAAACCCTCATAAAACTGAGGGAACTGCTGTTGCTGTCGCCCTGTTTCCGCTACAAAACTAAACGTTTATTTATTGCCCAAACAGCGCCAAAGGACAACAACGGCAGCCTCGATCCTCAAACCATTGTCCTGGGAATCTCCTGCACACTTCAACTAGACAAAGGCCAGGCCAAAGATAAACATACGAGTGAACTTTGGGGTGGATTTTGGTTTGAAATTTACCCTTTAAAGAAAATCAGGAAAAGTAATTTTTAATTTTTACATAAAAAAATAACAAATACATAAAATAGTTTTGTTTTTAAATTGTTTAATTGAACGAAAAGTTACCTATCTTTATAGCAATACCCACATGGTATACAGGTCGTATGAGTAATATGAGTATAAGTGTAGACATCTTAATTTTGGTTTGAGAGCCATTTTTTTTATACTTATAGCTTTATAATAATTTTAATAATGAGTAATAATTGTATATTGAGTAATATTTATTTTAAAATTATTTTAAAAATCTATTTCATATAAATATTGTCCACCCCACAGTACATATACTGTGTCATTTTTTTGTGGAATCTCTACGGTTGCCAAAGAGTTCTTCTAACCGGGCAGTAAAAGCCCGAGGAATTTGAGGAAGGGGAGTAAGTCTAAGGGCAAAAAGCGAGAGGACGCCACACATCTTGATTTTTGCCAAACAAAACATTTCTCGAGCACTTGCTCAACGAGGCTGCGATGGCTATAACTGTATTTGGTTATGTTAGTCACGTGGCCTCCACTTTTGGTTTTTGCCAAATTGCTGGACACCGGGGGAAGAGTGGGCTTCTTTAAAAGAATTCGTGGGGAAAGGGATAAGATGCCTAGGCAAAAAAACCGCAGTATAGTTTTTACTTTTTCTCTTTCTATAAGTTTCTAAAATATACTTTAAATTAAGGAATCTTATAACTTTAATGATTTTAAAACCTATTTTCTCTTATCTATTTAATCCCAAACTTCATGCACTATTTTAGAATTAAATCCTTCAGAATATCCTACCTTGAAGCCTAATACGTTATTCCATTGTCCTTATCTTTAACTCCTTTTTTGTGTTAATCCCGAAAAACCCTTTAGTTTTTTCTTTATTTTGGGCTACGAACAGGAATTTCTAATCGTTTTTCCTGGAAATTACCTCTCATCCGTTTTTCGGTTTTTGCAAAAGGCGTTGAGTTGATAATTTCCTAAGCCCGCACAAAATGCCAAGTGAGACACAATGAAGAGTCACCCACATTATCGAAAAGTTTTCGGGTCATTAAGTTTGCCAACAGACATCCGAAAGTGGCAACGAAGAACATCCATAGCAGAGCTCCTGGCACTGGCCATGGGTGAGGTGAACGCCATATTAACCAAATAGAAAAACAATTGAAAACTTCAAGTGGCAATTAAAGTATGCTTTTCGCCTTATTTTAGTCGAAATTTGTTGGGATGGCAATTTAATGCACATATGCCGAGATTTATGTGTTTTGTACGATACGCTTGGCCAAAGGGGCAAAACAAAGCGACATTTCGCTTTTAGACAATATTTTTCTTTTCACAAAAAAAAGAGAAGCATTAGAAACAGTAGGGGAGACATTGCTGTCTCTTCGAGCCGGGGCCAATGCCATAAAGAAGGAATCATCCCATATCCCATACTATTATTCCCCTTCATGTGCTGGCATTTAAATGTACGAAATTGTTTTTGCCGCTAGCTGGCATCCTCTGACAGGATGCGAAAACGTTTGAATATTCCTTGCCCATTCCAAAATATTGTATCCTTTTTTTCTGGCGAGACACTGCACAAAAAAGAGTTGGAGAAATTTTTAAAATAATTATTCAAAATTTAATCCTAAACAAAAAGTTGTAGTTAGGAGCAAGACCTTTGTTTTGTATGTATTTCTTTTATATTTCTAAAATAACCTCTTACTTTTTTATTACATTTTTTTAAGTGCCTGTACCAGCTTATATTTATTTTATTTTGCCGTTGTCGGCGATTTTTTGCCTGGCCGCGTATTTGGCATCGCGATAGCGCCAGGAATTGTCTGCCCAGTACCAGAAAATGCAGTTCAAATATCGGCCAATGCGTCAGGGTTTGGGGGGATTGTCCTAAACGTACATAAGTATTTCTTGTATTACCCCCCTGGGTTGCTAATAGAACGGATTGAAAACCCTCAACTTTGGCGTACACATTGTGAATATTAATTTCATTTGTCGTGTTGACTTGGTCGGTCACTTGCTTAGTCTGCATTCAAAATGCGTTTTTATGCAGTGCAGAGTGTACCAGAGGCAGTGGAAAATCACACTGAAATACGCGAAAGCATTTGTCATTTGCATTCAACTGGGCATGCTTGGGCTCCTCTTTGATTTTCATCGGACTGTGATCTAAGTTGGGTACTTGATTCGTTTCTTCTGCGAAACCAGGGCAAATATTGCGGACTTGTCGTCGAGAAAGTTTAACCCGTTTGTCAATGTGAAGATTTGTGGCCTACCTGGCAAGGTTTGAATAAAAATTGATATATGAAGATCCTGGTTGCATAATTGGTTAAGTGGGGAATAGATATAAAAACACTCTAAAAATCACTTTCTCATTTAACCATAAACACCTTAAAGTACTCCAAAAAACAACCACATTTCATGTACATCTTAATAATGACAAAAGACTGCGCCAGTCAACATTTACGGAGCCGACATATTCCCAACAGGTGTAGACGCCACATCCACAGCCACATCCTCATTTAAATGCAATTCTATTTTCGGTCATGGGAACGATGACTCGTCTCGGAACTCTTCAGACCTGAGCCATAAATATATACCATATAGTGTAGTGTAGTCGGAAAAAGCCACTAAATGCATCTGCAGATCAACTTTAACCCGCAGAAACCCGAAACACTCAATGGTAATGGCCACCCGCAACATTGCGACACAAAACACTTGAACGAACAGCATCAGCACGGATTTCTTTCCTTTTTTTTCACCCACAAGACCCAAACCACTTTTTGTTTGAGTTATTTTACGAGTTTTATTGGCTTTTATTGGCAACGAGATTTGAATTTTTCAAAACGACACTTGCCAGTTGCCGTTTGCTGTCCTGTTGGTGTTTCTCCCGGTTTTGGCTTAATCGTTAGTCATTTTTTATGGCCAGTATTTCGCCTTCAGGGCCACAAACAGGTGGCGTTTGGATATGTGGACCCTGCATCCTGGACATAACTTAACCACTGATTGCATTTTTATGGCCAAAAGTTCTGTCTCTAAAAAACAAAAACAAATATTTTTGTGATAACCACAAACTGCTAATTAACTGTTGACTACAAAAACGTTTAATACTTGAGCCTTAAGTGTCCAACATACAAAAAACGAATGAAATTTTTCGGTAATTTCATTCAAAGTGTGCCGCATAATGGCAGACGACAGACAACTTGCTAATTTTCATGCGCCATTTAAGGGGCGAATCCTTTTTCCGGAGGAGTGAGCTCTGGAGTCCTGCCTGTCACGAATTCACTTGACAACTCTTTTTTTGCGGATCCTGGTTTTCTGTTTTTATTTTTTTGGCGCTGATGCGACAAGCCGAGCCTCCTTGGAAGCTACTTAAAATTCAGTGCTTGACATAAACATCCTTAAGCATCCTGCTAGTCAACAGTAGAAAATAGTGAAAAGTGCCAGCAATGCGGTTTAACGATATGTCAGAGATTAGGGAGCTTTACCAATGGAGCTGTGATCATTAATTGGGGGGATTAAGGGATACTGCAGTAATGGGGATAGTCTATTCACTCTGAGATATATATGTAAACTCCAGAGACCATACTTTTTCCACAAAATTTGCTCTTGTAATTTCATTGACTCCCCCAACTCCCGACAAAACAACAAAATGCAATAATAACCACAATAAAAATTTGTAAAAATGAGCACAATATGAGCTTGCTAGTTGTGATATGAATAAAAATAAAATAACCGCCAACGGCATAATGCGAAACAAAGCAAACAGTAATTTCCATCATATATAAAAACAAAAACCAAGGGCCAAGGACTAAGGACGAAGGCAGTGACTGTGTTTTGGGCCAAGTCAAAACGGATGTACAAATTGCAAGGCATAATTCAAATTGTTTGACTTTTTGACAATGACTGCGCCAGCACAGACTCCCACTCTGAAGGCTTTTTAGCAGAGTTCTTATCTTGGCATATGTGCCATGAACCAAAAACTGGCGCCATTCGCCTGCAATATTTCTGATATTCTGAGCTATATATCTAAGCTTACTGACTGCACTCTCGAGGCCTTTAAGAGCCCCTGTCCTTTACCCTCGAGGCGTGTGAGTCACATTAATTAGCAAAACTGCTAAACTGCCAGAAAGTGCTCTTAAAAAGCAATTAAATGTGATTACCATAAGTTGCCTCTCACACATCCATAAACATGAGTGTGGGTTTCAAAAAATCTGTAGCATACATTTCGGCTACCACAGAATTTGAAAGGCGCTTAAAAATTTCGCTGCAGTTCTTTTTGGCTGCCATTTGAGTTCGAATGAGTTTTTGGCGGTTTCTGGCCCGGCCTGGTCTGATGCCATTTGACTTAATTAGTTGGCCGACGCCAACAGGCGACGCCCTCGTCCTTTCTTTATTTTGTAGCCCAAAAACTATGAATTTATTTGACACTTGAATAAATGCGGTTTTTGCGGCAGCCAAAAACGACGAAAAATGACAGAAAATATATTTTTCAAAAGTGGATTTTTCGTTAGAAGCCAAAAATTGTTCTCCTCTTGCTTGGGTGTCGAGTCGACACACATGCCCATTTGATATATAACCCATGTCGTGGCTCTTGTTCCGCAGTTCGATTCACAGCTTCTCATCGCAATTTCCGTTTCCTGATTTCCTTACCCAGTCTTGGAAAAGGACTCGCTTGGCTCCTGGTAGACCCCGGAAAAGAGGAGGATTCCCGCTCTGTTGGGGGGCGTGTATGTGTACTTAGCGTTTTGTAAAACTCCGTTTCTTTGCTCTTTCTAATTTATGAATGCCTCTGCCACGGGGCGGTAATTGAGATGGGTGAGTGTGGCAGAGTGCATTTCACAAGGAACAAAGGACCCACGTTCAATGATGTCATTTCGGAATGAAGTTAAAATGGATTAGAAGGTGATTGACTTTAGGGAATAATGTATAATTTTATTTTAAAGATACAAAATTACATCTTGAGTAAATAATTCTTTTAAATTTTTTCCATTTTTCAAACAGCAACAAATATATCTATTATTTAATAGTGAGTCAATTTTAGTGACAAGCAAGTACTCAATACCTTTCTTTTTTTACAATCAAAGCTAATAACTATAAATTTTTTGCTCGTAATCATGATAGTTAACTATTTACTAGACTAGACGTATAAGAAAATGGCCATTTCATGGTGATAGTTTTTTTCCCCATAAATTTGTATAATTTTCAAATTGATAATCGCGTATATGCATTTCTTAGTTTGTGTTTCTTCTAGAAGATTAATGGACTTCAAACATATGCTTATCAAAAAAAACTCGCGATAAGGTACTGATAAAAAAATATTGTATTTAGTTCCATGTTTGCAGTCGATCGCAGTCTGTCAATCGCAAAGCACACTCCGTCTGGGCTCTTAAAAAAGTGTTTTTTCTATTAATTATTAAAAAATGGGCTTATCAGCATTTCTAGCCTACATCGGTCTCTATGCCCTGGCTGTTTATCTCTACGAACATTTGAAAACGCCAATCAGATTACTAAAAATTCGTTATTATGACGATGCAAAATTGAGACTTACTATCAAAGAACGTTATGGAAATTGGGCAGCGATTACTGGAGCCAGCGATGGTATTGGCAAGGAGTACGCCAAAGAATTAGCCCGCCAGGGCATTAATGTCGTCCTGATTGCCAGGAATGAGGAGAAACTTAAGGCGGTGGTTAAGGAGATTGGTGAGTTCACTTACGGTTCCATTCTTCATAGCTTTACTCAAAATAAATATATTTCTTTTCCCTGCAGAGGTCGAGTCTAAGGTGCAAACTAAAATTGTTGTTGCCGATTTCACCAAGGGGTCTCAGGTCTATGAACATATTGAAAAGGAACTGGCCAATGTTCCTATTTCCATTTTAGGTAAGTTGAAACTAAAATCTTTGAATAATATAATAAACATAGTAATCTTTACAGTAAACAACGTTGGTGCCGGAAAGCCACTCCCGATCTTAAAATGGACCCAGGAGGAAACTCAGGACATAATCAACACAAATGTAGTGGCCGTGTCCCAGCTGTCCCGGATCTTCTTGAAACGGATGAAGGAGGCTGGCATTAAAGGAGCTATCGTGAATGTTAGTTCAGGAACGGAATTGCAGCCCGTGCCTTATGCGGCATATTATGCTGCCTCGAAGGCCTACACCCGAAGCTTAACCCTGGCACTGAAATACGAAGCCAAGCCCTTTGGAATCCATGTGCAGTTGTTGTCTCCGAATTTCGTGGTGACCAAAATCAATTCCTACTCTAAGAAGATTATGAAGGGAGGACTGTTTATCCCTTCAGCGGAGGTATATGCCAAAAGTTCAGTAAATCAGTTAAGAGATGGAGTCGACGAAACTGCTGGCTATATCTGGCATCAGATTCAAAATGCCTTTTTCACTCTTTTCACCTCGCGAATGAGGACTTTCCTTTCCATCAAATTAAAAATAAGATAAATCAGTGACTGAATGCGACGATGAAAGAAAAATTAACTTAACAGATGGTTGAAAAATTTAAATGTTTTATATTTTTATAAATAAATATCTATTTTGAAGTTAATAAGAAACTGCAGAAGGTTTGCGTCTGAGCTAAAAAGAGTTTGAAGTTTTAAATCTCAAAAATATTTTCTGTTTAGCTGTTTAATAATATTTAAATTCATTAGCATTCCGCGTGTCATAAATAAATATATTTTCAAATTGCTATCATTTAATGTGCGAAAGCCATTAGGCTTTCGCTTTTTGCAGTACATTTGCCACCGCTGGCCTTTTGAAATCAGGGGCCATCTGCTAATTGCGCAACTGCCTGGAATACGCGACCTTGCCCACAAAAATGCAATCGACCCGATGGGTGGGCATTTTTAATTTGAACATTTCTAGGCCTAGAATCACTCCAACGATTGAAAATGTACATGAAAACACATGAGCGATAACTGAACAAGTCGTAATCGAAATATATACTCAAGACTTGACAATAGCAAAAAGAAATATAAATAAAACGGATTCTTTTGGCGCAAATTTAACGGCAAGTCGAACACCTTTTGATTGCTCGGACTTCCATAAAATGCACGCTATTTAAATTCAGCGCCCTGTCCGGCAAAAAGTGTGCAAATTGCTCCGTGACCGCAGTCCATCGCAGGGAGCCGATCGCACAGCACACACTCTCTTGCTCGAGCACTCGAACAAAATCCAGCAAACTGACTGTAATAGGTGTTTCTATTAAATAGAATATATTTCGTAAATAATATGGACATGTCAGAATTTCTCGTCTACGTCGGCTTCTATGCCCTCTCCACGTATCTCTACGAACAATTGCGGACGCCCCTTAGGTTATTGGGGATGTGGTTGATGAATATTTTTAAAACTAAACCCACGCTCCAGGAACGCTACGGAGGCTGGGCGGCAGTCACAGGAAGCAGCGATGGTATTGGCAAGGAGTACGCCAAGGAGTTGGCCCGCCAGGGCATCAACGTGGTCCTGATCGCCAGGAACGAGGAGAAACTTGAGACGGTTGTCAAGGAGATAGGTGAGTCAATTTTATTTATTTTCTTTAAACTACAGTCACGTTTTTTTATGTATTTATTTTTTACTTGTAAATACAGCCATACAAAATACAGCTTCAGTGAGAAAAACTTTAAGATATTAAGTCATATTTTTATATCAATTTATAAAAGAAGATTTATCCTAAAATTTCACATTGTCATTGGAGCTTAATACCTCATACAAATCTCATATTTGTGATCTAGTTTTTGGCTAAATCTCGACACCCAAATTTGAACAATAAAGTTGTCAAAAACTGATGATTGCAATCCAGTTTGGAGTTATTAGATCTATTTCGAATGTTATTGCTACCGATTGAAACTTGATTACAAACACGACACTTTTCAAGAACACGCAAAGCCTCAGAATTTTTATTTTTGGATGAAAAGCTCTTTGTTTACTTAATTTATTTTTTATATTTTCATTGCAGAAAACGAGACTGATGTCAAAACAAAAATTGTAATTGCTGATTTTACAAAAGGTACTCAGGTCTACGAGCATATTGAAAAGGAACTGGCCGAAGTGCCTATTTCCATACTAAGTAAGTTGAATGAACTGCCAGTCTACTCTTTTTCTCGCTGTGCAAAAAAGAAACCCATATACTAATTTCATACTACTTTCCGACACAGTTAACAACGTTGGTTCTGGAAAACCACTCTCTCTGCTAAAATGGAGTCATGAAGACACTCAGAACATCATTGAGACCAATGTGGTGGCCGTTTCGCATTTATCCCGCATCTTCTTCAAGCGGATGAAGACGGCTGGCATTAAAGGAGCCATTGTCAATGTCAGCTCTGGAACTGAGCTCCAGCCCCTTCCCTACGGAGCCTATTATGCCGCCTCTAAGGCCTACACCAGGAGCTTTACCCTGGCACTGCAATATGAGGCCAAACCCTTCGGAATTCATGTGCAATTATTGTCCCCAAACTTCGTGGTGACCAAAATCAATTCGTACTCCAGACGAATCATGGAGGGAGGACTGTTCATTCCCACGGCTGAGGAGTATGCCCGTAGTTCGGTTAATCAGTTGAGGGATGGAGTGGACGAGACACCTGGTTATTTCTGGCATCATGTTCAAAATGCCATTGCAACGGCCCTCACCTGGCGGATGCGGACGTTTGTTTCCTTCAAGTTCTTCAACAGTGTGACGGATAAGACTAAGCTAAAGGAGCAAGGGAAATAATTAAACTTTTATAATGCATAATTAATATTTAAAATAATACACAATAAACCTTATACTTATACAAAATATAATTGTTTAAGGATAAACTACTTTCAGGCGGATAGCTAGCTTAAGTATCTCAACTCGAGGGTTTGTATCTCGGCTAACCGAATTCGAAGTTTTGAACTTATGAGATACTTCTCTGCCAAAAGCTCTTTTTTTTGTACCAGATAGCTCGTTAAATAAAAAAAATTATTTAAATAATTATTTAATTAAATTTATATTATTTAAAAAACAAAAAAATTTAATTCATTTATTTTAAAATTACTAAAAATATTTGCAAAACTTTAAAGCTAAACCAACAACACTATCAATATTACCTCGAATCTCTCTAAAAAAAAGCTCTGGGATTCTCATTCTGAAAGAATATATTCCTCCATGGTTTCCCTACTCATAGTATGAGTTTCGTACTCATTCTGTAATCAATACTCAGCTGGGCCGGTCGTCCCTTTTTATACGAAACTATTGATTTTATTTCTAGCCTTTAAAAATTGGCAAATGTAAGTTAAAAGTCAAGTTTTTCTAACATTTAAATCATTATTTCGACTAGTGGTCGTTTGTTTTTAAATGAACAATATTAATGGATAGTAAACACTTGAAAAGGCTTTCGCTAATAATAAAATAAAAACAGTTAAGCAACAAGTGGAAAAAGGTTTTTTTGTACAAAAATTTAAAACATTTAAACACTTTTGGAAAAACATTTTAAAATGTCTACATCAATTTTTTACTGCTAAATATTAAGTAATGTGTCCAAAAAATGAGTTTTGTTGGGAATCACGCAGTAGTAGTTTCTGGGAATGAAGTAGTAATTTCCTATAACCATTAGTACCTCACATTTTTTTCACTCACAAAAATTGCCACAAACATTATTCGCATATTTGCGCAAATTATACTTCATTTTTTTTATTCGAATATATAGAAATATTTAAATGTTTCACTGTTTATACTTTTTCTTGTTTTGTTTCGCTTATTTAATCGGAAATGCACTTGGCTTGGTTCCGTGGTTGATAAGAAAGAATGTATTTTAAAAAAGGGGGCAACAGCAAATGAAATAAACAAAATAAAATTATAATAGGCTTTGATAATCTTTTAAAAACTGTTTTAAATAATAGTGTCATTAGTAAGTACTAAACAACTGTAACAACGTGTAAGATTGAAAAATGTATTTATGACTTAACAACCGTATCTGTGAAGGAAAAATAAATAGCTCATATCTCAGAGGTCTTTGCATGTCAAATGACAATTTAAGGCATCTTTCCCTTAATTGTTTGCAATTAGTTCTACACCAAAAGTAAACCTATTATGCACTTAGTAAATAAAACGAAATAACTACAGTTCAGGCCAGGTTCAAATTGCTGGACAGAGATAGATGCCGCGTCTTGACATAGCTAGAGTGGTAGAAAGGGAAAAGAAATCATTTGCGGGTCACATCTTTCATGGCAATTAAATGTCAAATAATGTCAAGAGCCCAAGACACGTATGTAGCTTTTCAACATCTTTTGCACCGAGACCGTAGAAAATGGGCAACTGAAGAAATTAAAATTTTATGAAATAATGAACCGACAAAAAGTGAGTAAAACCGAGGAAACAGAGAGCACCAACTGCAGTGGCCTTTCCGCTGTAAGTTGCCTTTTACAATTGTACTAAGCTTGTGTTTATTGTGCACAAGATCCGAAAACTCAACTCAAAAATTCGAGACTCGGCTCCAAGACAACCAAAACACAGGCCGGGCCAACCAAGCCGAGGTTTGAAAATGTTCAGTGCGTGATCGGCGCTCAAACTTGCAACTTGTGTCTCCGGTAAAAGAAGCATATAAGAAAAATACACAATAGAAGCCTTTACGAAGTAAAATGTATTAAGAAAAACACATAGTATCAGACAGACAGTGCGCGATAGTGTAGTGATTATAAATTAGTGGTAGTTTTTTGTACGGAACGAAACAATAAATAATCAAACACGAGTTTGTAGAGTGATAAGCGGCAATACGATCCACAATCCATTACCTTACCCATCGACGACTATCAACAGCCATCCAAAGTTCTTTAAAATCGAACCTATATAAAGAGAACTCTCTTAACCATGCAGCCAGTATTGGAATTCAACATATACACTCTGCTCAGGATGGCATTCGTTTGGCAATTGGTGTCGTGGTTCATCTTCACGGTCGGATTACTGGCCATACTCAACTTTCTTTACGACAACCTGAAGTCCTTGATCAGTATAATCAAGGCGGTCCTGGAGCCCTATTTCCAGCCACATTTACCAAAGACTTTGATCGAGAAGTTCGGCCAGTGGGCAGGTGAGTACTATCTGAAACACTATAGGTTCTCTTTATTTTTTCCAATCCTGTGTTTGCATATTTTAACCTAAGGGGGTCTGTCAACAGTGTAGGTTTGCAAATGCAAATTGTTTGATTTTCGTTCTTAAGTGAATTTCTTTGAGTATTCTTTCAATTCTCACGTCATTAGCTTTTTCCGTGTATAATAATTGATACCCTTTAATCACTCAATATTATGCAAATTGCATACAGTCTCTCTAATTGCTTATTATTTTTAGTTATAATACGAATTTCGTGAGGCTTTTCCTCTAATCATTAGGCTAATCAAATTGGGTATTTATTGTATTTATAGACATTTATTTTGTAACTGAAAGATTTCCTTGAGATTACACTATTTATAGTGAAATAAATCGTAGAGTTGCTATATTAGTCGCTAGTTCATCTTATCAGCCGGTTACAAAAACGTATTTTCGATTAGATAGGAAATCAATAATTTGTTGTATGCTTTTCCTATGCGACGTATCCGGCCTAATATGTGTATATTTTTATCAGTCAGTTGGTTGGATCAAAAGTCCAAATTTTTGTCGGCTAATTGTACTGGTAGTCTTATGAATTCTGGTGAACTATTTTGTGGGGAAAGCCACAATTATGATTTGCACTAATTTCATATTTTTATTTAGTTTATGACGTTTTCGTCACCAAAACCGATTACTCAGGTGATTTTTATAATGAGGTTAAAGGTTACTTTGACTTTTTTTCATTCATGATGAATTAGTAAAAAAAGAAATACTTAAAATCGAATTTTCAGCATGATTAGCTTGAAGTATTAAAAAAAAAAAAAATCCAAAGATTCAAATCTTAATAGAATATTTAAAAATAATACTTTCAAAAGATTTTCGTCATTATAATGTATGTAAGATGGTTAAGCTTACTATACTTCTGCTGAAGATTTTAAAAATTTGTTAAAAAATCGTTTACAGATAAGATAGAAAACACGCAATAATCACTGTGATTTGCATTAATAATTTGTTTAAGTAATCACGGTTACAATTTTGACAAGCCTTTTATAAATACAACCAAAATATGAAGTGCAGGACATGATTATGAATGTAAACATAGACCCAGGATCAATTTTGGATAAGATAATAAAAAACAAATCACAATGAGTTGCATTAAGCGTAGATATGGACCTGTCACCATGAGTTGGTCATATCCGAATGGACTTTACAGGTTCAGTGTTCCTTTCAGACTCATAAAATACAAATCAAATACAACCATGATTTGTAATTATTGGGTAAATTCATTTTTATTGCCGAAGGATATCCAAATGTAATTTAAAATATTACCCATTTATTTCGCATTGTTTATATTTTTGTTTATGGAGCAAGCAAAGTCATTCAACTCGTAAACAAACCGGCTTTGCGATTTGTTGGTTTATTTTGGATATTGTGTTAGCATTCGCTTTCAGTTTTTTATATTGTTTTTTATTCGCTTTCATTGCCCCTAGTCTCGTGCTGATCTTCGTGGTCTAGCGGTTGTAAATTATACTACTATCGCTTTTATTTTCGTTTATTTTTGAATTAATTAATGACCTTTTGTGTTAACAAGTGATCGATTTTTGCATATTTTCTCTAATTTAATTATGGAAGCTTTTTATTGTGGTTTGGCTGAGTCTTTGATAAATTTTCATAATTATCCAACCACACGCAAGTACAATGATCGATGGTGTTGCTATTGTGTATTGTGGTGTTGCTGCCGTTTTCATGTTTCCGTTGCACAAATATTTGGCAACCAATAACCAGCTGCCAGTGGCAACATTGCAGCAATTGCCACGCTAGCCGGTTTGCTTCTGAGAGTGCTTCTTTGCGGCCAGTAAGGCATTCCATGATATTTGCTTTGGTTTCGACAAACCGGCAACTAACAACCAGCCACTGGTGATGTGATTAAAAGAGACTCGGCCAAATGCAATGCATTGATTAGCAGACAAATGTTAAATTTTTAAAGGTCTTCGGGAGAAGGAGAGTTGCTAAAATTTAAGTCAAACAATTGAAAGTGATGAAATGACTGAGTAATTGGACAAAGTTAAGTAAAATTTCACCAAATATTTTAGACTCTTCTCCACCTGTAACTATAAGTTCCCTTTTTTTGTATAACCTTCACGTGTCTTATTAAAATCTTGATGTCTTCCTTTCACTTTAGTTATAACTGGTGCCACCGATGGCATTGGAAAGGAATACGCCAGGGAACTGGCTCGTCAGGGCCTCAATTTAGTGCTCATCTCGCGTACCAAGGAGAAACTTGTAGCAGTTACCAACGAGATTGGTAAGTCAACATTAAGTTCCAAAAAAAGTTCACTTTTTTATTTTGAATTATTCTTCCAGAAAGCGAGTTTAAGGTAAAAACAAAATGGATTGCCGTAGACTTCAAACAAGGACGTGAAATTTACGATCAAATCGAAAAAGAACTCGCTGGCATTGAAGTTGGTATCTTGGGTAAGCAATGCTCTATTTTTATTTTTATTTATTTGACTGGTTACCAGGCATTCAAGACACATTATAATATTACCAAGAAAGTTATCCCTGTCAAAGAACCTCTAATCGAAAATTTATTTTTCTGCACTTAATCAGCCTAGATTAGGCTTTTTGTATATGGTTTACCATAAACTCATAAACTTTTATGCTACGCTTTATATTCCAAAGAAGAACGACGTTTATACCTTGGCCCATAACCTAATTATTGGCCAAGAGAACTTCTTGTCATCGGATTTTATAATCGATCTTTACTGTACATTAATCATTGTCAACAGTGGCAAACGGTAGCTACACATATTTTTTAATTTTGTGACTCTTTCTGGTGCTGCCTGTCAATGCCAAACAATAATAATAATTGCGTGCAATTATAATGACTCTGTTTTTTGGTCTATTGGCGAGGCAAAGAGTGGCTTAGGCGATGTTCAAGTACATTTGTGTTGCTGTCGGAATTTTATTCGCCATACCAGACTCATAAACGCTCTGACGCGCTTCAGCAATTTACATTTTGGAACTGAGTCGTCGTTGGCGACGACAACCTTGTGCACAATTCAAGGCATTTTTTCCAAAAAAAAGTAAAGCTGATAAGACTTGACATTGATCTTGGTCATGGGAATTTTTATGGCGGCGTTACGTTTAAGAGATTTATAATTTAAGTAACGAGCTTATGAATGGGGTTTGATAAGTGAAATATATTTATTATTTTAAAAACGTATGTATATATTTTTTCACTTTTCAGTCAACAATGTGGGAATGATGTACGAGCATCCCGAGACCCTTGACCTGGTCTCTGAGGAGCTTCTGTGGGATCTGCTGACCGTGAACATGGGCTCGGTCACCATGCTGACCCGTAAGGTTCTTCCCCAGATGATTGGTCGCCGCCAGGGTGCCATCGTTAATCTTGGATCCTCTTCGGAGCTCCAGCCCCTGCCCAACATGACTGTCTATGCGGCCAGTAAGAAATTCATCACGTATTTCACCAAGGCCCTGCAACTGGAGGTCCAGGACCACAACATCCACGTCCAGCTGGTGATGCCCAACTTTGTCACCACAAAAATGAACGCCTACTCAGATCGTGTGATGAACAGTGGTGCCAAACTTATATTCCCCACTGCATCTTCCTATGCTAAATCGGCTGTGTTTACACTGGGAAAAACCAGCGAGACAAATGGCTATTGGACTCATGGAATACAGGTGGGTGTTTCTAACATATAGTATTTTAGATTATGTTGCTTATTAGCAACCTTAACCTTTCACCTTTATATTGCAGTACTGCCTCATGAAGCTGGCACCCCTGTCAGTTCGTACTTACCTGGGCCACAAAATGTTCAAGCAGCTGAGAATCGAGGCTCTGCAGCAAAAACAACAGAGACTTAAACTGCTTTAAGTGATTCGGCTTTGGCTTAGGAGTCATGTAAATATTTGGTTCTTAGTCTTAAGGCTCAACAATAAAATAAAACACAAAACGCTTTTGTAAAAAGTCAGAAAAAAATAAAATAAACTAAAAATATAAACAAAACAGAAAGATATGAAAACATAAGAGAAAAAACCGGCTGGCAAAATCAATTGCCAAAATGCACTAAACTTTACCGGATTGCATAACTGCTGCAATTTGGCAATGGGATGCAGGTGAGAGGGGCGAAGGCAGGGGGAGTGGACGGTTTTAGCCGTGAAACCGGTTGGCCGGTTGGCGCGAAACCGATGACCGACAAAAACAATAAAGTGGCCAACGGCAGACGGAAGCCACCAAAGACCAAAAACAAGAAAACAAAACGATGTCTCCGCTTCATTGCATGCACTTTGCGTTATTTGGATATTGTATATATTTATGATTTTCGTTTTGCCATTTTATTAACTTTTTGGCGAGTACTTAGGGGCCTTGTTGGTTTTGCATGCAACATGCAAATGAAGTCCGAGTACTTGACCACGTTATTCACACAATGATCTCTCGAAGAACTGCTCATAATTAGAAACCAAATCACAATGCATGTGACTTGCAAGACTCTAAAGAAGGCATGAATTATTGAAGGCAACTTAAATAAATTATTGGGCATTTATCATTCGAAGATCGGACGTTTGTTTATGAGGATATTTCAATTTTATGAGAAAAACTAACCAAACCCATATTATAACCTTCGGCAATCTCACTACGATTCTTGTTAACGGAACTTTGTTAATGGAATAACTTACAGGATTTTGAGTCGAATCGATTAAGGCGTAAAGCCAAAATATGACCCCCAGCGCAGTCTATATCTTTGCCAATTTCCATCCGATCCTTGAGAAGAGTATCTTAAACGATTTGTGAGTCGATTCTCTTTAAATCTGCATCAAAATCTGGGAACAAATTATTTTTCAGATTTTTAGTCAAATTTTCTAGGGGGTCCCCTTCAAAATATTGAAAATGCATGGGAGCCCCATATTAGCCACTGCGAAGGCTATATCTTTGCCAATTTTCATTCGATCCTTGAGAGGAGTATCTTAAACGATTTGTGGGTCGATTATCCTTTAATCAATCAGCACCAAAATCTGGGAACAAATTATTTGTCAGATTTATTGTCAAATTTTCTTATATTTTGTTAAAAAGTATTTCCTATTAATGTGATGCAACACCTAGTGAAATCCAAATTATTTTTTATTTGCTTCAAAAGCCATTATACCGGAAGTTGATGTCGTCTGAGTATTTTTTAGTGAAGGCCTGAAAGTATGCTGTAAATTCTTCCCGATTTCGATTTCAATTTTGTATGACCATTAAAAAAATATATTTCTATTGAAGTACGAATCTTAAAATCGTAATTTATTTTTTTTTGCCTTAAAACAAAGTATTGTTTTCCATTTAAATCCTTTACCAACTACAATTATACCAACCACCAACCATTAATGCTCATAATTTATTACAATTCAAAAATTGTTTTCTTCCCTTGAATAAAATACATTTAATTAGGTTGTTTTTTTTTGGTTTTATTTCCTGCAGACGGCTGTTTTTGTTGCTCATTTTTTAGTTGTTGTGCATGTGTTATTCACAAAAAATTTAAAGAAAAGTAAAGTTGTACATAAAATGCAGTTACACATTAGGTATGTCTTACTAAGTACGAATGCGAAATAAATTGATTTCTGATGTTGTTCTCAATTTCTTATACTGTACATCATGGTCTATAAATGGCAAACTAAGTAGTAAATTCCATTGCGAAACAAAAATGTAGAAATAATATTGAAATCAAAAAATAAATTTATGATTACAACAGATGACGCCAACACCGGCAGCAGAGCCTTCGGAATGGATCGTTCTTGCAGCGCCTCGAAGGTGAAAGAAATCTAGCGCGGCGCTAAAAGAAAACAAAATGGTTTTGAAAAGTTGAGGGAAATATTTCAATGGAGCGCATCCCCGAGGGAGCCTAATTAATTATACGTACCACTCAGCATGGGTTGTCCATCGATCATCGAAATGATCGGAATCGGAAAATGCCGGCAAGCCTCCGATTTCGGCAGCTGGTGGCTTTGACGTCATCTAAAAATGTATGCATTTAGTTATTTATACTATAATTGGTCATTGAAGCATCGGATTTATGGATCAAAAAACAAAAATGATTTTGCACTTGTTGCGAAAAACAATTTCCAAATAATATATTTTGTTTTGTTTGTTCAAGTGGCCACAAAGGCATAAACAATGGCTTACCATTGCGAGGTTCTTTCCAAAATTTATTTTTAGTTCAACAATAGTATAACTTACTGTGGGATTTCGTCAAAAAAATGTTCTTGAAAAAACCAGAACGGATTTAGCGGTTTATACTCGAAATTTTGACATTTTAGAAATATTCGAAAACATTTAATGAAAATTAATTATAATTTCCACCTTAGCCAATCATAAATTTCGTGGCTATAAAAAACGGCCGTTTCTTTGAACATTTTTATGCTTGTCCCTAGATATATGTACGGATTTTCGGTTCGACATTGGGAAAATGTTCTGTGAAAACGATTTTGGATGTTCTTGGAAGGGGCGGGCGACAGGAAGGTGTTTAGTGGGCCATGTCGAAATTCTGTCGTTAAAAAATAGAAACGGAAAATCTTTTGAAAATTATTATCGAGCTGCCGAACGGGTGCCAAAAAAAAAGTGAACCATGAAAGCGTTGAAATTTTCTCAAGGTTTCTTTTAAAATTATTTGTTTTTTGATAATAATTTTGCTAATTAATTGGAGCATTACTCACCTGGCTTAGGTTACTAGTAGAAATCCATTAAATGCTAAAAATCTTAAACGCGTAGGGTCCTAGAAGCGCCGCCGTCTTGGCCAAAAAGGTGTTATTGACATGGCCGGGACGGGCGGGCTTGGAATTGAAATTCAACATATAAGTATCCTTGATTTATTGATGGGTATGATGGTATTGGATGGTATAGGGGGATGGGCTTAGAAGGCGGCTTCGTAGAAGGCATAGAGCAGGAACAGCAGGAAGGCCAAGATGGCGAAGGTGGTGAACAGACTCCTGGCTTCATTCATTTTGATTTAGTTGTTGTTGTTGGTGGTGGTTGCTATTAATTAGATAATACGAAATTAGGTAATCTATTGACCGATCGATCGACACACTAATCACACACTTGGTATATGGGTTTCTAGTTTGGAGGGAGATTTCCAACCGTTCGTAGCTAAAGACGCGCAATAACTGAGAACCCGGACAGAAATTTTCGATCTGAATTCCGTTCTGATTCCGTTTCTCCACAATAAGTTGGCCAAGTTGCTTGGAATTATTATGGCCATGCCCAGAACGCCACACGCATTTGCAACCACATAGATCCACCTCCCCCCACTATATACACAGACATTTCGGATATATACTTGGAAAAAAAAGTTCATTCAGTCAGGCATGTATCGGCGATTTTTTATGCCTGTATGGGTGTCCAGTTGTTGGTCATATTTTTTTGCCACGGCACAAATATTTTCTAGATTTTCTAGATATATGTTATACGAATATATACATATAAGCGTCTGCATATATAAATGGGTTATAGTTCGGTATGTATGGATATACATATCTGGCATACATACATATATGCGCCCGGATTCCATGGGATTCGAGTTCGTTTTTTTGAGTTTTTTGGATAATAATTCATTGGCTGGACTGCATTTAGACAAATTGCTTTTCCCAGACGGGGCCTTGTCGTTTGAAAAATGAAATAATTAAATTTTATTTATTTGTTTGGTTTTTGGTGGAAGGTGGGGGTCTGTTTTCTCCAGCCAACTATTTGTTTCCTCTGGATTTTACCTATTTATTTACTTTGTGTTTGTTGTTTTTGAGATCTTTTTGAAAATATTGAAAAGTTCTTCAACAATTGGCTACCACATCGATCACAAGTCACGTAGCCCCATTGAGTTTATGGCACATTTGTGCTTTAATGAGCATTTCAAGGATTGTGATTGATTTTGAATTATCTCGAATAGAAAAAATCGGAAAACGGTATAATTTTAAGGTGCTTCAAAAAAAAATTGATTCTCCAAACTAGTATAACTTTTAAATCCTAAATTTCTTACCCCATATCCTGCTCTAAGGACCTTCTGCTGGCCTTAGTAATCTACAATACGGCATAAATGATGTAAAGGAAGAACAGCAGAACGGCCAGGATGCCGAAGGTGGTCATCAGGTTCTTGGCTTCACTCATGATGATTGGTTTTGCTAAAAAATGTACAAAAAATATGTATAATTTTTAAAACTACGAGGCTGCAAAGGTTGTACATATAGATTAATTATAGAGATATATTTTTTTATTCGGCGCGTGAGAAGTTTAATTTGATAGAAACATAAAAAAGGTGGGCAATAAATTCTTGCAAAACACATATCATTTTGTTTTAAAATAAGATAATCAAATAAAATCCAAAGATATATACTAGTGATGTTTATATAAAGACGACAGATATGAAAGCCATATGGAAAGTATAAAAGCTTTTGGTTTTTTGTCTACGTCTGGTTATATCTATTTGATGATTCTCTTCGTTTTGTATTGCTGATAGAGCAATCAAAGAATATATTGTTGTCTATATAGATTGAAATAATTCCAGTTTTATAGATTGGAACAGTTCCAACAGAAAATTGAAAGAACACGCGTGAAGACAAATTTATGAACACGGCACACTTGAATTCGATTTTAGAAAATTTTAAATTCCGAATTCATAAATATTCTTTTTGCATTTCTGTGGCATCTGCAGATCACTTCACTTGTCTCCTGGATATACCTTTTGGGTTTTATCTCGATGTCCGCTAGGGAAAGACACAATTTCGTGCTATTAACTGCTGAAAGCCTTTGGCTCAACTAAAATCATTGGCTCGTCCACGAATTGGGATATAGATGAAATACTTAGCGAACTGCAAACATCCATACACACTATGTTAGGGGGGACCTGACAAGTGTGGATATAGACCGTCTTCGGTGTGTATGTGTTTATGGATATATAGCCAAATATTTTGTCCCATTGGCCAAAATGAGATGCCACTACTGAGGCGGAAAGTGCAGACTTTTTGGAAAGTCGCGTAGGAATAACATCGAAAATAAATAAAATAAATTTGCGGCGCACATTTTGACAGTTTTTGAGCAGCCGCTTGCTGAATTCGAAGCAAAATCACCAACAATAACAATACATTCATTAAAAAGAATTCAAACATCTAAAATTTAGTTTTTTGGTGTTCAAGATTGTTCCATTTTTATTCTGTTAAAAAAACAGACATTTTCCTTGAGATTATTGACAAAGATTTTGGAAAAAAAGAAATGGATTTAAAATTTTAATGTTGGTAAAGAAATTGAAACAATTTCTGTACGAGTATTCTATTCATATCTCGAACACACCTCCTATCTTATGATTTGAAATTTTCATAAACAACTGTCACACGGGTCCATGACTTTTCTAAAAAAAACCTACTTTCCCTAAGCTGACACTTGTCATTAAGTCAATTTGAAAATGCAATGCGCAAATGGCGACAAAAAATGGGAAAAACATTGACACACAAAAATATAAGCATTAATAATGTCTCTAATGACCAAGACAATTACCAAAACTTAAGAAATTGGTTTTGTTGAACTCAAACCAATTGATGAAATTAGAACTTTGGCATGATTTTTGTTTAATTTTAAGGTCACATACATACGTACTTATATATTTAAGTTTTTTTCAGGACAGGAAACACGAATTAATATAAACTTAGAATGCTATAAGTTTGGTGGCTTTTAGGCCACCATTTCTTTTGGCTATTTGAGAAAATGCACCTGTTACCACATTGCGTATACGTAATATATTGGACATAATTAGCTTTAAGAAAACTAGAATAAATTTATGTATTTTGTAATGAGGTTTTGGACTATACTTTAATTTTTTTTTGCTTTTAAGTTTGAACAGAATAATACATGAAAATCATCCTTAATATCAACAGAAACCAATTTCTTTCTTATTGTTTAATTCATTTTTCCACATTTTGTTTACAAAGTTGTTTATGTTTGCAATTGGCAATCAAAATCTCTTTGCAATAATCCATAAAAGAACACGCGTTCTATAATGCCATTATAGTCATAAATTCAAAAACCAAACATTTAAGGAAATTTATAATTCATAAACAAATATGAATTCATCATCGAACAGTGTAAAGTATAATGGTTAAGGTCAAGGCAATCTTTAATGTATTAATATATAACGAGATCAGGAGAGAACGAAGAGTAATAGAAGAGCTTTGATAGAGTCTAATATATAAATTATACTCCACAAATGATCCGGGTCTTATCAAGCTGGTTGAAATTTTTGCGCAGTTTTCGTGAAACACAACAAACGAGCGGATCACAATAAAATAGAAATAAAATGCTCTGGAAGAATCAGTTTATTTTCCTATCTATAGTAATTCATTTAGTAAAATCGGAAAATAATGCGGAACCGGAAGAGCAAACTGAAACCGAAATCGAAACGGGCCAATTCTTCAGTCACCTTTATAAGAAAAATCTACGCCATATGGTGAAAATAAAGAACGATTCGTTGGATCCATGTGATGATTTTTATGCCCATGCCTGTGGTAATTTCGACCAAGCCACGGATGACGATCCAGATGATTCGCTGCCTCCATATTTGTACAACAAGCAGGATAGGATGACCTTCTTTCAGGCTGAAGTGGGAAATTTTTTTACCATACCGGGCCGATTGGTCTCTCAACTTTATCAGGAGTGCCGACAGAGGGGAGAGAGTCATGTGTTCAGTGTCCAGTCTTCACAGTCCCACTGGGAGCAATTGCTGACGGAGATTCCCTTTCTTTCCGGGCACCAGGATGTACTCTCCGCCTGGCCATTTCTTCAACACCAGTGGGAGCGAAGACGTCTAAATGGAAAACTCAATTGGATCGCCCTCTCGGCTCAACTAGCTGCCCATGGGTTGCCCACACTCCTCAATATTTACTTTGCTTTGGACACCATTTATGTGAGTCCCATCGAGGACCTGCCCTGTCCGAGTCTGCAGGGGTTTCAAGATAGCCTGGCGGACACTCTGGTTGGACGCCATCGTCAGGTTTCCCATATTGTTTCCCACGAAATGAGGGTCCTGTGTCGTGGAATGAGGGGTGAACTGCCATTGGTGAGGAGCCTAACTAAGAATGGTAGAACCACTACCCCGCCACCTGGTCAGGAGCAACTCATCCTGGATGAAAATACTCTGGAGTACTTTCAGCACTTTTTTGCTGCCTTACAGTTTTCGAAGGATCAACTAGAAATGGCTAGAAAGTTACCACTTAATGTGGACAAAATCACATTGGCCTGGGAAGTCCTAAGACAAACCGAACCTAGGATAGTTTATAATTATGTGATGTGGCAGGCCATGGAACACTTACGCTATCCCGACTGCTATAAGCTGTCCGAGGAATTCGAGAGACTGGTTCACTCAGAGTACTGGCAATGGTATGTTTTCAAGCCTCATCTTTCAAGGGATGTGGCTTTGGCAGCCTATCAGCTTCACACCACGAGATTTCAGCAGAAGAGAAGATCCTCACTTTCTCGAAGGGATTGGTATGGCCGTCTGTTGCCTGCCTCAGTGGAAAAAAAGGAACTACAAGTGGCCCGAATCCTCCAGGCTTATGCCCAAAGTTATTTAAATATTACGGAACTCAACGAATACTATAGGGGACTAGAATTCAGGGAGAACTCTTTCCATGGAAATCTATTGATCCTTCGAAAGGCTCAACTACTTCATAGTTTTTCATCCGTTTATGTAGATGAAGAGGATGTCAATCAGCCAGCCTATTTCCTGAGGCACTTTCTGCACTTTGTGATACTCTCCCTTCACCGTCCAACTTATCACTATTATGCCACCCAGGGACTAGAGCTCTGGAGACAGTCCAAGCTCCTGTTGGACACGGATGGCAAGTACACCGCTCTTGATTGTTTGGAGAGACAAACACTCCAGAACTATGACGCTGAAGCAGCTCCCATTTACCGCCAACTTAGCTCGGAGGAAATAGAGGATATCTTCCATTTTTATCGATCCTTTCAAGCCTCCCTCTGGGATTACAAGTTTTGGTTGCAAGGCGAGCGATTTGCCTTCGCAGAGACCTTTGTTCTGGACTACTTTGGCCTTGATCCCCACAGGATACTGTTCTATGCGGTGGCTCAGCAAATGTGCAATCGCCAGACTGATATTTTTAGGGCCCAACTGAACAGAGGATATATGAACATGCCCCAGTTCCAGGAGGCCTTCAAGTGTGGAGTCGATAAGCCCATGAATCCGCCTGCCAGGTGTATGATTAATATGTGTGAAAATAATTAAAACGTGATTAAGATTTAAGGGAATTAAATTATAAGACTAAATATTTAAAAATATGAATCTGCTTTTATTTTCATCACAGTGATGCCTTCATCATGCTATTTTTGGTGAAGTGTAAATATAAATTTTAATCCATCTAAATAGTGTTTCCACTTTATAAGCTTACACATGTACTCTTCAAATTTTATTAGAAAGGCTATAAATATTTTAATGGTTTTGACAATATTACCAATCTGAGGCGCACATGTCGTCAAAGGCGTGAAATGTACGTCCATCTAACCATTAATTCGCATTTTGTTTGACATTCCATAGAGTTGATTTTAGAAAATAAAGTATATGCTTTGGCAGTGAGTGGATTTTGGGGAAAAATGTAGTGGGCGTTCGAGACACACGTATCGGTAATAAATTGAACAAAAATATGAAGAACATTTCCAAAAAACTACTCAAAGGAAAAACAAAAACAATTAATTTGCGAATGTTTTTAGTTTTTACAAAGCACACGGAAACGAAAAATATTAAAGATTTCCTTTGAAATTCGGGAAAAACATATGCGAGTAAGATCAAATGTAAAATTTTGGCTACAACTTATTGTATAACCGCCTTTATAGCTTTATTTGCCAAAAGTCATTATTGTCCCGGGTCGGGAAGTATCTGGGCGTATCTATGTGGGTCTGTGGAGCAGTGCAAGTCAATAATGGTACAAGATTCTGGTTAAGGCCAATCGTATTCTATAAATACAAAAGACCAGGCGAACATTTGCCTTTGTACGTGCTTCCAGATCGCTGGCGATGACATCCAAAGGTTTTCATTCAGTAAACGCATTTGGCTGAAAATTGAAACCACAGACACGTAGGTGAGTCTCGATAGGTTCAAATGTCCAAGAGTGATTACAAGTGAGTAACTGAGTGAGTGTAGGAGTGAGTGAATGCGTTTATGAAAATGCATTTATGAGTGTTTGTAAACAAATAATTTAAATGACAAATTATTAGTCGTATATCCTTTTATTTTACAAATCATAAACTAAATCTATAGGAAAATGATGACTGTTTTTAGAGCACTAAAAGTCTACTGCACATAATTCTTGGAATAGTTTACTTATGACACTTTTCTGTGTCTGCTTATTGGGGATTCTCATTTCGGTTTCACTTTTCCGCCCGCAACTCTCACTTTATGGCCACTCAATCGTACTCACACAGTGCCATACCGCTTACCCATACTCATTACATTTTGGCCAAAATCGACTTGACTCGATGTGCCGGCCTTCAGTTTCTCCAACGTTTTCAGCCCGAACACTCGATGAACGCCTAAAAGAAATTTGTTTTTTTTGTTTTTAATTTAATTATTATCTTTAATCAGTTGAACAGCAAAGTCTCATTCGGATTGAGTTACTTTATACCGACAAAAATGCACTTGCAGTGTGTACTTGGATTTCTGGCTCTAGGTTTGTAATTCAAAACATTCTTTTTGAAAATCTGTTTTAAAAACTGGATCATTTACAGTGAGTTTGAGCCAAAAGACCTTGGCCAAGGGATTTTTAACCAGCAAACCCATACAGCTTGAAGAAACCACAGTGGAGCCTGTGGCGGCTTCACCTTCCCCATCACCTCCTCCATCCAATAGAGACATCACGGTGGGTCCTTGTAAATGGGCTATTGGTCGAAGCTGTCCCGATCCGGATGTCAAGTTTTATATATACACACGTCACAACCCAATGGATCGCCAGTGCTTGCACATAGATGAGAGCCTTGAGAAGTCCAATTTGACGGCCTCGTACTTTAATCCAAGATATCCCACGAAGATCATAATCCATGGCTATAACTCGGATATGTTTCTACATCCTTTGCAGCAGATGAGAGAAGGTACTGTTTGATTATAAATAAAATAGGAAATATTAACAAAAATCCTACTCCCTTTTTTAGAATACTTGGCCAAGGCGGATTACAACATTATCTATGTGGACTGGAGCATCCTGTCGCCAGGACCTTGCTATATCAGTGCTGTCCATAACACCCGTCATGCCGGCACTTGCACCGCCCAGTTAGTAGAGCGTTTAGTGGAAACAGGGAATACGGATATCCATATAATAGGTTTCTCTCTTGGAGCTCAACTGCCCAACTACGTAGCCCGAAATCTAACCTCCTTCACGCTGCCCAGGATTACGGGATTAGATCCCGCCATGCCGCTTTTCATAACCGCTGGCAACGCGGATAAGTTGGACCCCAGCGATGCCAGCTATGTGGATGTGATCCATACAAACGCCCTGGTCCAGGGTAAAATGGAGAGATGTGGTCATGCGGACTTTTATATGAATGGTGGAATCATGCAACCTGGCTGTAATGGACAGAAAATAAGTGAGTTATCTAAAAATAATTAATATAATGCTAAAATAAATACCGTTTTCGCTCCAGATTCCTTTGCCTGCAGTCATCAGCGTGCTCCTGCTTACTTTCTGGAATCCATACGCTCCCCCAAAGGCTTCTGGGGATGGGCCTGCAGTGGCTATATCGCCTATCTCCTGGGGATGTGTCCACCAACAAATTTCCTTCTAGAGGCTGGAGATAATATCCGCCCCACCACAAGGGGCATGTACATGATAGATACCAACGATAGTTCACCATTTGCTTTGGGTAAGTGGACGGATTTGCCCACTTTGGGAGCCAAGAGGCCATTTCTACGTGGGCCTCCGCAAAAGGTGAAGGCCCCACCGAACCAGGGCGTGGATCCTCTGCTCCAGCACATAGATCAGTTTGGTAAATTGGCTGCCAACTTTAATAATCTTCAAGGGTTTCCGAATGCTCAGAATCCCTACGAGCACTGGACTAGTTTCAGTCCGGAGCAGAAGGAAAACCATGAAGAGGATGACTCCGTAGAGGAGCAGGATCTGGTGGAGTTCGAGGAGCTCGACGATCGGCAGGTGACTACGCCAGCTCCTTCTCTGAACTGGTGGGATTACAGAAGGAATCTAACGTATGGATTCATAGAGAATAATATATTCGCAGTGCCAACCTTAGATTAGCCACAAAACCATTTAAAAACCCCTACCTTGCCCTCATTCCTTACTAATATTTAAGAATCGTCCCCTAAGCTAAAACCCTTTTAAAAAAATAGTCTAATAGTTCCATTATTTGGGTTCCTTTTATAGCAAAATGTTTATTAAATTCCTGACCGCTTAAAATAAAATATAAGATTAGAAGGCTACGCATGCAGAGAATAAAATAAACCATCTCGTAAAAATAGTTTTTATTGGGCCAATCATCATAAGGGTAATCATAATCGTTAAATAATCGGTCTCTAATAATCAATTTCTCAATCTTAATAATTGTAACAATCATTGGCTTAAAATGCCGGATGATGAAGTATCGAATAAATGATGAAATTCAATGTGTATGTGAATAATCTAGGGAGTTACGAACATAATAGCTTGTTTGTTGATTTTATGTTATGGTACGTGGTATTAACTTGATTCCATACTGAATATTATCGGGCCTGTAAAATGTAGACAGCCGGATCGAGGTGTGCTAGTCCTATGTCTTAAATCATGGTATTGACCTTAGCTTCCGGGGGTGGGTGTATATATGTAGTTCTCGGATATTTTTGTATACAATTTTTTGTATAGCTTTTCGTTGAAATCGACCCGGCTGCTGTCCGAGCCCGTGCCCCATCCTACTGCCCTGACTACTGAGCTTAAACCAAAAAAATGCTAATCCGTAATTTTGTGATTGAAGTCCCTAGTGCTTAGACCTTCTTCTTGGGGATTCTCTTGGCCCTTGCTGGCGTGGCTGCCGGAGCTGGAGCTGGAGCTGGAACGGGCTCGGCGGGAGGGGGCACTTCCTCTTCCACTTCCGCGGGGGTAGTCGCTTTTTCGGCTTCCGCCTTAACATCCACGTCCATCTCGGGCTGCTCCGTATCGCTGGTACCCGACATGGGGGACGGCGGGGCACGCTCCTGGTCAGGATCGTCATCCTCCTGTTCGTGTGAAGTACTGTTGGCTTCCTCCTCTGCTTCCTCTGCCACGGCAAGGTGGTACATCTTCATCTCCTCATCCGAGATGGGAACTGGGGCGTTGGAGAGAGGATCCCTGCCGTTCAGAGACTTGGGGAATGCAATAACGTCGCGAATCGATCGCGCACGGCACAAAATGGCGATCAAACGATCCAATCCCAAAGCGATACCACCGTGAGGCGGGCAGCCCGACTCCAATGCACTCAAAAGATGCGACAGGTGATCGTGGGGGATCTTGAGAATTTGCTCCAAAATGAAGTGCTGCATATCGCGATCGTGGATGCGGATCGAGCCGCCTCCAACCTCCTGGCCGTTCAGAACCAAGTCATAGGCCTGAGAACGAATGTTCTCCATATTCTCGCAACTGGTGGCAAAGTTTTCCAAGTCATCGGCGTGCGGCAGAGTGAACGGATGATGGACGCTCTCCAGCTGCTTGGTCTCCGGATTGCGCTCAAACAACGGGAAATCAATAATCCACAAGAAGCGGAACTCGTTTTGCTTCTTTGTCCGGCCGTTCTCGAACAAAAAGTCGCGGTAGTCCAGGCGGATGCGACCCAACAAAGCGCGCTGCAAAGTCAAGACAAGATTAGCTTTAAGTCAAGGTACACGTAGGTCAGGTTGATACTTACAGTCTCCACCTTGGGACCAATTCCTAAGAAGAGCAGATCATTCTCCTCGAGATCGAATTTTTCAGTGACCTCCTTGGCCACATCTTCGCCCAGAAACTTTGCAAGCTTTTCCTGCACATCCTTGGTTGAGGCAATCTTCCGCACAAACAGGGTTCCCTTGAAGGTCTTGCCCAAGCTTTCGTAGTGCTTCCGGGCCGTTCCGTTCCAGAAGGCATCACTACCTCGCACCACGATGGCGTAAGCGCCGAGATCGTCGAACTTTGGTTTAAAGTCTTCGCTTTTTTCGACAATGTCTGTTACGTTGTTGAGGAGGAAACCGAATCGAGTGTCTGGCTTGTCGACGCCGTACTTCTCCATTGCCTCCTCGTATGTGATGCGACGGAATGGGGTCTGCAAACGGGGCAAGTCCTTTGGCCAGGAGTAGCGAAGAACCTCCTCGATCAGTTGCATGATATCATCACGGTTGGTGAACGACAACTCGACATCCAACTGAGTGAATTCGGGTTGGCGATCGGGACGCGTGGCTTCATCGCGGTAGCAGCGAGCCACCTGGAAGTATCGGTCGATGCCGCCGGACATCAACATCTGCTTGAATTGCTGCGGGCTCTGGACCAGCGAATAGAAGTGCCCGGCTTTCCTAGTGGGCACCACAAACTCCTGAGCGCCGCCCGGGGTGCGTCTGAACAGCGTTGGGGTCTCCACCTCGACGAAACCCAAGTAGTTTATTAAATACTCGCGCATTTTCATGATGACCGTCGAGCGGAGGCGGAGATTGTGCTGCATGTCATTGAAACGGAGATCCAAGTAGCGATGAGTGAGCCTCAAGCGCTCGCCGGCCCGATTGAATTTGCGAATCTCGAAGGGGAGATTCTTTTTGGCCGGATTCAAGATGGTAACCTTATCGGCGTCCACCTCAACATGGCCGGTCTGCATCTTGGGATTGATGGTGGCTGCTGGCCGGGGGATCACGACACCCTCCACTCGCACAATCGACTCAATTGGCACACCCGTCTCGGCATAGTCCTCCAATCCTTTCGTTTTCGTCGACAATAGGACCTGGGTTTGTCCATAGGCATCGCGCAGGATGAAGAACTTGTTCATCCGCTGGAACTCCAGCCAGCCGCAGATCACCACCTTTTCGTTGATTTCACTGGACGTCAGTTCACCGCAATGGTGAGTCCTGTCGGCAAACTTATTGATGTCCGCCACCTTGCCACGGTGCTCGGCTTCAGCATCAGTGCCCCCCTCCTCCTTGATGTTGCCATTGTTGGTGGCAACATTCTCGGAGGCAGAGGTGCTGTCCTCCCCCTCTAGATCATTAATCGAAAGCTTCTGCTGCTTCTCCTTGGCCTTAATCGGGCCATCATAGGGATCGTCGGGGTTGATAATCTTAACGTTCGTCACACTAACCTCTATTTCACCAGTATCGTATTTCTATTAAGGGGTTTACTCATTTAATTAAAGAATCTCTGGGAATCTTGGTGTCCTCTTACCAAATTAATATTGGCCTTAGGCCGGCTAAGCACTTTACCAGTGATTTGGAGCAAGGTTTGTTCCGGAGTGGACATAAAAGTGTCCATAAGCTGGAAAAAGAAAAGATAATTATTCAAAGAATTATTCTTCATTATGTTAAGACCTCTTACCGACTTATCCTCAATCATAAGCTGCGTCTGGCCATAGCCATCCTTGAGCTGCAAGAACTTGTTATTCTTTGAAGAGGGAATCCAGCCCACTAGAGTCACAGTCTTGCCCACATCGTCCCGTCGCAAATCGTTGCACGTTATATCGCGGTTCTCGAAGTACTTCAAGATGTTCTCATTCTCTGCAATACAATATTTCATTTAGAAACCACATTCCATTGCCATAAAATCTGTTTATAACTCACTGGCTAGCTTGTACTCGGTACTGGTGATTCCGTGATGGTTCTGCTGCTGCACCATGGTGCTGTACGTGCGCTTGTCCCCGGCCCGCTTGGTACCGGTAGTCGGGAAGTGAATATTCAGAATATCCTGCACCTCGACCTCAATTTCACCCGTGGGCATGGTCTGGTTGCACGAGTTGTGAGGGCGACGCATCACCTGACCCACAATGGTCAGATTCGTGTTCTCCGGCATATTGTTCATGCGTCGGGCCACACGTGGATGCTTGTCCTCCAACACGACCAGCTGGCAGGCTCCGCCGTTGCGATCACGGAGCTCGGCAAAGCGGTTGACTCGCTTCTTGATCAGCCGGCCGGTCAGCTCCACAAAGAGACCGCAATGATGGTTTCGCAGCTCGCCGCAACTCAGGCGCAGTGGCTGCTGGGGCTGAGAGTTCATGTTGAAGTTGCTGGCCATGGCGCTCATCAGCTGCATCAAGTCATTGCCCGAAATATTGGGACCGCTCACTGGGGGGAGACAGAGGCGTTATTAAACTGGGTATAGACTGGTAAACATAACATTTTGCAATTACAATAGGCATGTTTCCTTTTATGGTTTCAATGATGTAATGTCTTTAATGTTCCCCTAACATTAAGATCAGTATTATCATTCATAGCTTACTCACTCATGTTTCTGACACTCATAGCTACCAGACCTTAACTGCTATTTCTTTAAAAATAAGTTTAAATTTCTTTTTCTAGTTGAATAAACAGTATACTCTGCTTTATAATAAACTGAAGTCCATATACTGGGTGGAATTTAAAACCCAAATACAAATAACCAATTTTAATTTAATTAAATTGTTGTTAAATGAATTCGATTTGGTTTAATTAAATAAAATAAATGAAAGGAAAGGCCTTTTGAACATGGAATTCCAACTTGAGTCAATACAGTACAATAAAAAATGGTTTATTTTCAAGGAAAACATATGTTTTCATTAGAATTAAAGCTGACTTTCATGTTTACTGATTTAACAAATAAACGAAAAAATAACTAGAATTATTTGTAAGCCTGGAAACCTCGCACTTGCCCTTCTTAATCCAATATTGCTTTTGGAACTTACTGTTGAACGGATTTGGTCCTGGACCTGGACCAAAGTTGTCGTTGAATGGCGGCGGGCCACCGCCACCACGAAAGTTGTCAAAGTCATTGTAGCCGCCGCCGCCGCCACCTCCACCGCCGCCATAGCCACCTCCTCCACCGCCGCCACCATACCGGCCAGCACCGCCACGGTATCTGCCGCTCATGCTCTGCCGGAATGGGAATAAAATATTATTAAACTTGGAAAAACTCTTTTGTGTGAATCACGAGCACTTACGTGATCACAATTAGCCGGGTCTTCCGCTAAATTCAACGAGCTTGGGGTGCTCCGAAGTAAATTACGCTTTTCCGCCGGTTGGCTGCCGCTTGTCGCACTGCGCACTAGTTGTTGCTGCAGAAGCACCCGCTGGTGACTTCGCCAAAGTGTTCTGGAAATTAGTAACATTTTTTAGAACGAATTCTTGGGGCATTTAACCATTGCCTCATGCAGATGGAAGAAATAAAAATTTTTTTTTTCGGACCCAGCACGAGTCACACACACACATGCGCACGCACAATCAGACAGCGGACACATACACAATAGCTTCATGTGTAGGGGTGAGTTGATGTGCCGGGCGTCACAAATATGCCGACGAAAACTGCGAATAATAGATAAGCGTACCGGATCAGTTGGGTCAACTGTGGGGCCACAATACACCGTATACAGACGGACAAGTATTACGGAACAAACGCACTTTACAATCCCTTCAATGCGAGGCTGATTTTATCAAGTTTTTAAAGATGAAATTTTAACTGTTTTGGCTTGGCTGACAATCAGAAATTTAGAGTGACCATTCCCAAGAAAACTCAAAATCCAGAGACCGGGCTACTTGCGAAATGACGCATAACTATCCCATGCAGGTTTTTAGGAATTCCCCTGTCAAACTTTTTATTTAAAAACCGTTTTCTTTTTAAAAATTCTATTTATTTACATGACACTTAAATTCATTAACAAATGCATTCAATAACAATCTATCTTTTGTTCATCAGTACTACATGCATGTGCGAAAATCATACAAACTCGATTTTGTATTGTGGCAATCACAAGTCACTTCCTTAACTTGTATTCTGGCTTATTAATTCTAAAAAGTACACGGACCAGTCCAGTGCAGAAATTTCAGTAGTAATTCATTTATAAAATCTATGACGTATAATCGGTGCCGTTGAGTGCGCTTTTAAAATGGTGTACCACATAATCATGGTAGTAGGCCATAATGCAGAGGGGCTGGCCCAGGATAATGGAGGCCCAAACAATAATGTTGCCCATTCGGGGCCCCAAACGCTTTTCAATATATTTGGAAACAGCCGATAGAGGAATCTGGCCCATCATTCCCATAAAGGCCCAAATCTTGTACGTTTGTAGAGGAACTGAAACCTGGAAATACATATTTTATTAAAATTACATAATTTTGAAGATCCCTTTTGGAACTCACCAAGTATTCATGGAAGAAGGCGCTAAACAGGAAAACTATAGTTGAAGCCTGTCGCGAAGAGTAACCCATTTGAACCACTGGGATGTACAGGTGACGAACACACCATCTGTGGACGGGCATGTTCCAGGTTCTCCAAAAAGTATCAATATTATTGGCATTCCACCAATCACAGTAAAAGTTACGATCAGCAAAGTTTAGTAGTTCCCCCACCGCGTTCAGGAAGGAGTGGAACATCAGGTAGAAAAAGCATAGCCAGCAAAGGTGATTGGGTAACTAGAGAGAACATAAGGATTAGCATCAACAAAGTCTGGATAATGGTTCTACTAACCGCTAGTTTCAGGAGTCGCTCAGTGGCCAAAGCAACATCCATGTTGGAGAATGGGATTAAAGAGTTGCGAACTGAGGGAATAATCCATTGCTGAAACAGTGCCATGACCACATTTACTCCAATCACAACCTCCAGAAGACGCTTCAGCAAAAAGCGTTTGCGCACGCGTGAAGTGCGTGGAAAGTTTAGTTCATAACACAGAGTGGGGGCACAAAGGAAGTACACGAGATCCCTGTAGGTGAGATTATCCGGGTACTGTACCAGCTTGGGGATGGCTTCATCGTCATCGCCACCATCCAGGGCTCCATTCTCTAAATTAGCAATAAAATTTAGTAAAAGTAAATATTAAAAAAAAGGAAACTTACTCAGTTCTGCTAAGGTAATGCTGGGTCTACGTTCTCTGGGGTTCTTTTGGTAGTAAGTCTGACGACACCACATATTTGTCTGCACATAGCTCCAGAGTTTCAGAAACAGAACAGAGTAATAAAAGCAAACCGTAGAAGCTCCCACTAAAAACAAAGTGTTAAATTATAAAGAATCGAATATTATTATAGTACTTACTCAAGCTAAAGGCATGTCCTCGAAGATGAATGCTCACCACCGGCAAGCAGACCAGTACAATTATGTTTACGATCTGAATAAAGATACCCAGTCCTTCGGCAATAATTTCCTAAAATAAATAAATTATTAAAAATAAGTTTTAAAAAAATATTTTTAAAAACTATCGTAACGGTCAAAAGCAGAGTGACCAGTTCTATTTTCAGAGTGGCCGCCATCAAACAATTCCAAAAAGCAAAAATCTCTTGGTCACACTAGTTCGCTTCTGATTTGCCATTTGCAATTATTGTCGATTTCATTTCATTTTGCAAAGCACAAAGACAGCTGAAGAAAAGAACAACGAGCTAGTGATAAAATTTAACGTGAAACTACAAAAAGAAATCAAATATCAAATCACAATGGAGGTTACAGACGCCAATTTGCAGCTGCTGGCCGGATATTTGCAGCAGACGCTGAGCGCCGATCCAAATGTTCGCCGGCCCGGTGAGTGTTTGCGGCACACACACAACTGCACATGCGTGCATTGCGTGGCTGTGTGTGTGCGCGGGAAAGGTCTTTTGCGACGCCTCGGAGAAATAAACCCTATTTTCCTCTAAAGGGGTTTACTAAAACGTCAATCAGATGTTTTTAAAGCTGCACTACTGCCGTAATCATTATCGCAGTCATGATCTGCCGTTACCCACTAGTTGCTAAGCACTCCGCCGGAAACAGCCTCCAAGCATACAGTTGTTTTGAAAAATGTCAATTTTCTTAATAATGAAAGCATTTTTCTTTTATTTTTAGCTGAGAAACTTTTGGAGAGCACGGAATTGCAGCAAAATTACCCCGTTTTGCTGCTCAACCTAATAGACAAAGCTCAAATGGACATGACCATACGGGTGGCGGGCGCCATTGCATTCAAAAACTACGTGAAACGGAACTGGGCCGCCCACGAGGACAGCAACGAACCGGATCGCATTCACGAAAGCGACAGAAACAATATCAAGACTCTAATTGTGACACTTATGCTTCATTCCCCGCTGGCCCTGCAGAAGCAGCTGAGCGACGCCGTCAGCATCATTGGAAAGCATGATTTCCCTAAAAAATGGCCGCAGCTCATCGACGAGATGGTGGAGCGATTTGCCTCCGGCGATTTTAACGTAATCAATGGTGTTTTGCAAACAGCCCATTCGCTTTTCAAGCGCTATCGCTACGAATTCAAGTCCCAGAATCTGTGGGAAGAGATTAAATTTGTGCTGGAACGCATGGCTAAGCCTTTGACGGATTTACTTCAGGCCACAATGCAACTGACAAAAGTGCACGAAAATAATCCCGAGGCACTGAAAGTAATCTACGGGTCGCTGGTGCTGGTGAACAAGGTATTCTTCTCACTGAACTCGCAGGATTTGCCCGAGTTCTTTGAGGACAACATGAACACCTGGATGGGTGCGTTCGTTCAACAGCTGGCTGTCGATGTGCCAGCCTTGCGCACAGACGATGACGAAGATGCTGGCGTTCTGGAACATCTGCGCACCCAGGTATGCGAGAATATTTGTCTGTATGCCAGGAAATACGATGAGGAGTTCAAACCCTTCATGGAACAATTTGTGACAGCAGTCTGGGAGTTGCTGGTCAAGACCAGTCTGCAAACCAAATACGATGCGGTAAGGAATTATTTCTAGGCACTTTTAGACTCTCTTCTAAATAAATACCATTGTAATGCCCTTCACAGTTGGTGTCCCATGCCCTGCAATTCCTTTCCGTTGTGGCTGAGCGTCCGCACTACAAGAATATTTTCGAAAACCCCGAGATTTTGGCGAGGATCTGCGACAAAGTCGTCATTCCCAATCTGGACATCCGACCTTCCGACGAAGAGATTTTCGAAGACAGTCCCGAGGAGTATATTCGCCGGGATATTGAGGGTTCCGACATTGATACACGACGTCGGGCGGCCTGTGATCTAGTGAAGACCTTGTCGGTCAACTTTGAGCAGAAAATATTCGGTATCTTTGGGCAATATCTAGAGATCCTGCTGGCCAAGTACAAGGAGAATCCGGCCGCCAACTGGAGATCAAAGGATACTGCCATATACTTGGTCACATCGTGGGCTTCACGTGGTGGAACCGAAAAGCATGGCATCACCCAGACCTCGGCGCTGGTTCCCTTGCCGGAGTTTTGTGCTCAGCAGATCATTCCGGAGTTGGAAAGGCCGAATGTCAACGAAATACCCATTTTGAAGGCAGCCGCCATCAAGTACGTGATGGTGTTCCGCAACGTCTTGGGTCCTCAGATTCTAGCCACCTGCATGCCCCATCTCATTCGCCATTTACCCGCCGAAAGCATAGTGGTGCACAGCTATGCCGCCTGTTCTGTGGAAAAGGTGCTCACTATGCGCGATGCTAGCAATGCAATTGTATTCGGTCCCCAGGTCTTGGCACCGCATGCCAACGATCTAATTAGTGGTCTGTTTGCAACTCTAGCTTTGCCCGGATCCGCAGAGAATGAGTATGTGATGAAGGGTGAGTCTTGTCTTTAGTTTTCCACACTTCTGTCTATTTAAGTAAAAATTCTGTTATTTCTTTTAGCCATCATGCGCAGCTTCCACGTCTTGCAATCAGCTTCTATGCCTTTTATGGGAGTGGCTCTGCCACGTCTCACGGAAATCCTTACTCTGGTCTCCAAGAATCCATCACGTCCGCACTTTAATCACTATCTTTTCGAGACCCTGGCACTGTCGGTCAAGTAAGTCTCACCAATGGCTTTCATTATAACTATATCTAATATATCTTCCTCACAGGATTGTATGCCAGGCGGATGCCTCTGCAGTCAGCTCTTTCGAAGAGGTTCTGTTCCCTGTTTTCCAGGGCATCCTGCAGCAGGATATTATCGAATTTATGCCCTATGTTTTCCAAATGCTCTCTGTTCTGCTGGAAGTACGCGAAGGCTCTGGCCCCATTCCAGAGCCTTATTGGGCCCTGTTCCCGTGCCTGCTGGCTCCCGCACTTTGGGATCGCTCGGGCAATGTGAAGCCACTGATTCGCCTCATTTGTGCTTTCATTAAGCAGGGTTCGGCGCAGATTTTGGCTCTGGGTAAAATTGTAAGTGGGATCTATGATAAATCAACTGTGATTTCCTCAAGTCCTAAATGTTTTCGTCTTTTCAGAATGGAGTCTTCGGCGTCTTCCAAAAAATGAATGCTTCAAAAGCCAACGATCACGAGGGATTCTATCTGATGCAGCACATGCTGACCTACTTTTCGCCTACTGATTTGGATGCCTGCATGCGTCAGGTCTTCCAGCTGATCTTCCAGCGTTTGTCGCTGTCGAAAACGGCCAAGTACATCACTGGAATCATCGTGTTCTTCAGCTTCTTTGTGATCAAGTTTAACGGCAGTAAGCTGGTTCAGCTTGTCGATGAGCTACAGCCCGGCATGTTTGGCATGCTATTGGAGCGTATATTCATTACCGAGATGTCAAAGGTCATCAAGGAACTGGACCGCAAGGTAGTGGCTGTGGGTGTCACCAAACTGCTCACCGAGACCCCGGAAATGTTCCAGCCGCAGTATGCCGGCTACTGGCCACGCTTGCTTCAAGCTCTTATCGATCTGTTCGAGCGACCACCAGAGAAGCTGGCCGGCATTGAGGTGGCCGGTGAAAATACTGATGACGGTGATGGAGGTTATCAGGTGGCTTTCGCCCAGCTCACACATGCCCAGCCCAAGATTCAGGACCACCTGGCCGATATTCCTGATGCCCGGAAATACTTGGCCAGTGCAATTTCAAAGTTCTCCCAGTCGCGCGTCGGAGAACTGCCCACTTTAATAGCGCCCCTCGACCAGGAGTACAAGCAAATGCTTCAGAAATATTGTGATCAAGCCGGCGTACCCGTTGCCTAATGGCATCATCAAATGAAATCTTAAGAAGGCATTCATTCAATCACACACCTCGCCATACATTCGTAATGCTTGCAAAACCCTAATCGTCCGTTATTTCGGTTCATTATCGTCATTAAAAATTTGTTTTATATGTAAGAGTAATATTGTACACAAATAAATAGTTATGTTTCGCAATGAGATTTTAAACAATTTCTTAGATAAGTAAGCCGTTGGTAATATTTTCCAAGTTTTTTATCATGAATTGAGAGAAGTTTCTAAACACAAGTAGCACTCCAAGTGAACACTACGTTTTGTCACAGTGACATACACATTTCATTTACTTTTTTCCAAAATTGTCTATATTTTAACACGAAATCAAAAAAAAAAAACACCACCGATTCTTGAAAATTTTTTGGCCTTGGCCTTTTAAGAATAGCTCTTATAGAACATCATGCTCAAACTAATAACTTTAATAAAGTCGCGATCGAAGAAACTGGGAGTTCGATGCTATCGGAGTAAGTACTTACCATAGCCAGGCCTTTCTCCACAGCAAGACAGAGGGATATATGAACTAGGGAATCTGGGGGTTATAAAAAAAAAGATATAATATATATATTGGAGAACATAACTCTTCTAGTTACTTACAAATGCTCAAGATGAGGGCATTGTGACCTTCGCCTTCGTTGTGTCCACTGATAAAAAAGAACCAGTCCAGGGGATTAATGCGAATGCCATATCTATTTGTTAAAAAATAATTAAATATATATATCTTTGTAAAGTTCTAGAGTTAGCTTTACTTAAGTAGGTTCTCCAGACCCAGACGTAGACCACCAATGCAGAGTAGAAGAAAGCCCCAGTTAACCAGGCCCGTAAAGTTGGTGAACCCGGAGCTCCAGGAAAACAGCGAGTCTCTAGGGCGATGAATCCTGAAAAAGAGGATATATTGATCAATATTAATTTCCAAAGTTTATCAAGCTTAAATTACGGTCTTCCAGGCTGAGCTCTTCGCTGTTTCTCCTCCTTGTTGGAGATTTCTTCAGCCCTCGTCACACTTTGGGTTCTTCTGTAGCGCAGTTTCTTCTCGCTTCCGTTCATCCCATTTCCGTTCTCATCCTTGTCCAAAACTTTGCGATATTGCCGCAAATCAATGGGATTACCATGCTGATCGAATAGGTTTTGGGTGGATTTCCGATTCCTCAAACTACTGAGATTGTGTTCCGTGGCGGAGGCGGATCTTCTCAAGCGTTTCATAATCCCAACCCCTCCGGTTCCACCATTTTTGGTCTCTTCTGTTTTGACGGCTCCCTTGACTTGGGGATCCTTATTGGTGGTCATGGTTCTTAATCTATAAAGAAATTTTAATTTATGGTGATTAGTTTCTTTTTTTATGAACCCGAATCTTATCGTTTAATTTGGTTCATAAAAGTGCAATTCAGCGATAAGAATTGGGTTTATATTCTCTTTAGTCCCCCACCTTAACACTTGAAGTGTTTTATATTCTGACACCGAAATAACTTACATTGGGGTTAAAGTGGCTTTAATCAGTCAAGAAATCAGATTAAATAAAAAATCCTGATAAGGGGAAAAGTATTTCTAGGTCAGAATTACAAAAAATGTAAGGCCCAAGATAATAAACCAATTATACTTGAATGATTAAGGCCTGTTATAAATTTCTTAAAAATATTAAAGAGTACAAATGCACTCACTATAGCTTTCAAAGTTCGTGTTCCTATATGATTGCCGATTAAGTAATCAGATACCTATTTGCATAGACATTGAACCCCTCCTCTCTAATGGTAAAGCGGTTTAGTTGCCTGGTCTATAACCCAACAACTTCTCACTTGAATCGTGTAAAACCAGTTGCCAGATAGTTATATCTGACATTGTCTACCGAGAGTCAAGATCGCATGTCAGACGGATAATCGCGATATGGGAGGGCATTAGACTATCACCATTAGGCTCGTAATTCACCCAAGACCCTTGAGATGTTCCAATTAATTGACTACATCTGCCGGTTCTATTTATATAACTTGTTTTTTTGCAAAGAACATCTGCAACAAATATTAAAAAATTATATATACTCCTATGACGAAATTTGAGGGTTATCAGTGGAAGTGAATTCTTGAGTAACTATATCTACGTCATATATAGAAAGGAAACAATTTATTTCTCAATGCCTTTTATTTTTATTTGAGTAGTTTTGTTCGTATCAAAGTTCGAATATAATCGTTACTTATCGCCTGAATATAAAAATGCTATATTAAGGTGATCGTAAGGTGTGTTTATGTTCATAAAGTGCTTTTTTTCTTGCAAAACAAGGTCAGGAAACTATGTGGAATTTTTCGAAATCTTGATGGAATATTTTATTGTCACTTTTACATCATCATTGAGTCCATTGAACTGATACACAAATCACAAAGAACACATATAATTTTATGTAATATATATAACGTATGCACTGTATGGTCGGAGGTATAGTCGAGTCACGATGACACAACGTCATCCAGAACTCGAAGTCGAAATCGTCACGGCTCATCAGTTGGAATGATGAGTAATTACAGAACCCCAACCTCAGGGAGAGATTTTATGTAGTTCTTCAAAAATATATACAAAATAAAAGATCTTCCGGAAAGTAATCCCAACTCTGGCTGTATATACAAACCCCCGAATCGAAGTGCCTCTGCGGTCTGACGATTAGTTTGTTGAACTTTCGGTTTAAATTTAAAACCACGAAAGTTGGGGGGGCGGTGGCCAGCAAAGCGAATGATTACTGTTGATTTGTATTTAATGCGCACCTCTAAGGGTAATTTACAACAATGTCTGAGGGACGACGCACCTTTTAACTATAAATATGTTTCAGGCACTTGAATAACAGCCTACTTGTTTCTTTTTGTGATAATTACTCCCGGAACCGGTTATGTCTGTAAATGGAAGAAGAATTTTCCGCTGCAGCGATAAAAGTAGGTCAGTAACTCAAATGATTCCCTCAATTCGAGCTCGAATCTGTCTTCCATTTCGAATGGCGATTGATAAAGGTTATCAATGCGGTTCACCGACCACGGAATTGCATAAGCCGACTGGCTTATCATGTTGCCAGGGTAGACATGTCTGGCTGGGACACCCTAATCATAATTGGCTATGCCCCTTACATTGTAAAACGGATGCAGACAGAATATAGTGGAGATTCGATAACAGAGAGTCGATAATAAAGTCCAAAGTTCAGTCAACACCACCCACATAAAATGTAATCTTTAGTAACTATTATTCGAGGTTTTTTTTCTCATTCATTTATTTTATTTATTTTTTAAGCAAGCTGGACTGTAGTAACAAGTCGTACAATTTTTGCCGGCTTACACTCTAATCAGAAGAAAACAAAAATACAAACGAAATGTTATCAGTGAGGAGTCTGACATTTGCCGCCCGACTGATAAAAGCAGAACACTCGGCTCAGCTGGCATTTTCTAATTGGAATTGAAATGGAATTTGTTTTTCCGCCAAATTAACTTGACTTTCTCTTGAAGCTTTTTCTCTTTGTCTCTTTTTTCTCTAATCAGAAGAAGAGAAGTTTTCTCTGATCAGAGACTCTCTGTTTGGGTTTTGGCATCAACCGGTTTTTTTTTTTGGCATAGAAGTTTGTTTAGTTTTTTGTTTGATTTTTGACGACTGTTTGACGACGCCACATATTTTGGAAATTGTTTCCTCAGATCGCGACGCAATGCCCGTATCAAGGTTATTTAGTATATTCCACAATATGTATTATGTATACACCAGACACAAGGCTACAGACGACGACATTATCACCCCTAATTCAAGCAGATAGTTTCTTGAGTTTATGAATGTACTGGATCCCGCCAGTATAAAAATAGCAACTATATTGAATTAAATGTGATTAGTTTTTGTTTCTGTTTTATCAGCCTGACGGTTGTTATCATAAAAATACAGGTCCGGCTAATTTGGACGCTAAACGCTTAATGCTAAACAGCACGTGTTTGTTCACTTGTTGGTTTTGTTTTTTTTTTATTCTTCGGGCACGATACACATTTCCGCTTCAAAGAACTGCATTTGCGACTCCACTTTGTAGTCTTTCAGGTTCATTACTCTTGGGCATACTTGGGCTTCTCACAAAACAAAAATAAATGCCACACTCGCAAAGAGACACAAATTACTTAGGATCATAAACAAAGGCCACAACTTAAATGAATTTTCTCACATTCCGTGGATTTTCGCACTTGAGCTCAGTGAACTTCGTCTTTAAATAATATTATTTACTTTTTATTCCAATTAAACCACACCTTTCGTACAATTTTATTCAATTGTTGATGTTTTCGCACCCACGACACGGCAACTTCCAAGACGAAAGAATTTTTGTGGCCCACTGGAAGCGGCTTATTTTACCGTACGTGCCGCTTGAAAGTTCCAATTGGAAATAAACAAAACCAAGCGATAGTGCGGTTTTCGTTTTTATTTGTATTTTCTCTCTTTTTACTCTTATCTACTCTTTACGTTATCGGAGGTTTCTAACTTGCGATGGTTGAAGCAGTTCTGTTATCGATATTTTCTTTTTGGCGATCGATATTTACTGCCGGGAGCTTTTTGGCTTTCACGTGGGTGACGAATCTTATCAACTTTTCGAACAGATCTTGAAACTTTCACCAACAGATGGCGATCGAAAAGTAACGAACGTTTGCCGAAAGCCTACAGAATATCCTATATCTTTCGCGATAAACTAACATATTTTTAAGAAATCCAGGATTCTCATTTATAGAATATGAAGCATTTATATTTCACATTTTTCATCCGATTCCTGGGAGGAATCCCTTAAGCCACTTCGAAGGCTATATCTTTGCCAATTTTCATCCGATCCTTGAGAAGAGTATCTCAAACGATTTGTGGGACGATTCTCCTTCAATCTTCAAAATCTGAGAATAAATTATTTTTGAGATTTTTTGTCAAATTTCCTAGGGGAAATTTTCAAAAAATTAAAAATGTATGGGAGGCCCCAGCCACTGTGATGGCTATATCTTTGCCAATTTCCATCCTTGAGAGGAGTATCTTAAACGATTTGTGGGACAATTCTTCTTTAATCTGCATCAAAATCTGGGAATACATTATTTTTGAGATTTTTTGTTAAAATTTCTAGGGGGTCCCCTTCAACATATTGAAAATGCATGGGAGGCCCATATCAGCCACTGTGATGGCTATATCTTTGCCAATTTCCATCCGATCCTTGAGAGGAGTATCTTAAACGATTTGTGACAATTCTCCTTTAATCTGCATCAAAATCTGGAAACAAATTATTTTTGAGATTTTTTGTCCAAATTTCTAGGGGTTTCCCTTCAAAATATTGAAAATGCATAGGAGGCCCCTATCGTTTTCAATTTCCATTCGATTCTTGGGAAGAATGCGTTAAAAGATTTTTTTTAAATGAATTATAAACCTGTATTAAGTGAATTATAAACCTATATGAGTTTTTATCATTTATTGTTTTTATTTTATTGCAAACTTAACAACTAACAAACGTATGGAAGTTTTAATAATTTAACGCTTAATTACACACCGAAAAGTGTTGGTCGAATTGGCGCGGGTATATAGATTTCAGTCACATTGTGACGTCAGCGGGGGACTAAGAACTAACAACAAATAAATACAAATTCATTTAAAGCTGACTTATGTACAAACGAAGACGTATTAGGCGTGAGAAAAAAAAGTATCTGATAGATTTGGTATAGAGCGCAGTTAAGAGAAATGCTTAATTTGGGCTAATGCTGCTTTCGTCCCATATCCTCGATCAAATCTTCCAGATCATCGTCACCGTCGTCGACATCGTCCACAAACTGGTCGATGCGCTTGAGCAGATTGTGCTCCTCATCCTCGGTTTCGTCTTCCTCCAACTGGTCATCGGTGGCGGTTTCATTGTCATCGTTTTCCTCTGGATTTTCCTCCAAGTTTTCCTCCTCCTCATCGTCATCCCCGTCATTGTATTCCATAATATCGCTGTCGGTGACCTCTTCTTTAATCCGCGACTCTGGCAATTGATCATAGTCGAAGACCTGACGTGTGGCCCGGGGTGGTGTCTCGGTGGAAATCGCTGACCCTGGCTCTCCAGCAGCTTCATCATCATCATCTCCATCAGTGAGAAGACTCTCTATGCCGGCTCCTTTGCTGCCAATTCTGGGTTCCGGTTGTTGGGGCAGCAATTTCGTGCTTATCGGCTTCAAAATAGTGCCCATGGTGGAGCTGGAGACTTGGGGGGAAGGACTTGCCGAAGAGGCTATTTCATGGGCATCCGCAAACATATTATCCAGCAAGCTTAGCAGATCTTTGACACCACTTGGTGGGGTCTCTACTTTCGGTAAAGGTTGCGCCAAGGGAGCCTTGGTGCTTACCGAGAGCTTGGGAGGACTTTGTGTGGTTTTTGCAGCTTCAGTTGGTTTGGTTATTGTCGGAAAAGTGGGTCCTGTGATAATGTCCTTTAAAGTGGTACTAGGTGGAGCTTTTTGTGTGGGTTTTGTGGGGGCTTTTGTAGTTCCCTTGGTGCTTGTAACCTTTGTCGTACTTGTGGTTCTCTCAGTAGTCGTTGTGTTAGTCATGGGAGTGGTCTTTGTATGCAAATGTTTCACCTGAAACGACTCCACCGTACCCCTTTTCTCGTTTGGATCTGCGATCCTAACCACCGGCTCCCGCTTAGAGATAACCGGTACTATCTTGGGACTGTGTGGATCCAATTCATTTTGGCCATAGGTCTTCACCTTGGAGTGGCCTTCAATGATGAGGTACATAGGTCCTAGCAGTGGTTTCGCCGGCTGTTTGTAATGCGAGAAAAGTGAATCTGTGGTGGCCTCGCTGGGCGAGGGAGCTGGAGCCACAGTGGGCCTCTTGGCCAGGTTACTTGTCTGTGGGATCAGTAGCCGATTGCTGGTAGTACTACCACCTCTGGAAGTTGTGGTCCTCTGGTAAATGGGGAGAGCTGTGGGCGTGGTCGAGGGAACGGTCACAGTTGTGCTGGAACTGGTCATCAGCATGGGCCTGAATCCGGAACTGCTAGTCTGGGGAGTGGGTGTTATAAAGATATCTGGCTGTTGGAGAAGGGTGGCCACTGTGGGCACAGCAATGGTAGGAGGTCCTGGCACAAAGGTCACAGGGGCGTAGGTGAAGGGAGGACGTGTGGAACTAATTCCAAAGCCAGCTGGTGGCAGAGAATGGTGGGGCTTGGTAGTGCCCATTAGGTACTTTGTGGCTGGCATGGTTGGCTTTACTTTGGGCTTGTTGGCGTTCATTACCACCTCTTTCTGGAGCAGTTCATGCAACCAGGGCTTCCTCACAGCTCCTGACGTCTTAGATCCACCGTGTCCCACCTGGTGTCCAGGTAGGGAGTTGGGGGAGTAGCTGGCCGACTGATGGTGGTTGGGCCTCGAAAAGCTGTAGGTCTGCATGGTTTCCTGGTGATGGGGATCAGGGTAGCTCAGACGATGTGGAGGCATGCTGGACATGCCACTGGAGTGCCAAGGAGTCGAGGCAGGCGGCGATGAGGAGGCATGGTGGTGCATCATCGTGGGCTGGTGGTAGATTACCGAGGAAGTCATGGATTGTTTCGGGGGCGGGGAACTCATGTAGCTCATATAGGACGTGGGAGATCCGGTGGCCATCATGCTGTGTCGATACTCCATGTGCGGCATGCTTGCTCCACTAGACTTTACCATCATCATAGGCGGTGGGGGCATTAAGTGGGTGGGCGGCATATGCTGGGATTGCTGGTGCAAGTGCTGCTGGGTGGGGGCGTAGTAGCTCCTCCTAATGGCCGCGTATTTGGCCTGCTGGTTGTACGAAGGGTACGGGTGGGGGTGCTGATGCTGATGCGAATGCGAGTGTGCCGTCCTCACCCTCTCACTGGCCTGGCCCAGGACCAGAATTTCACTCTTTGTCTTGTTCCGCAGCACCTCTGGCGGTAGCTCCTTCTTCCTCGCCTCCGGATTACTCTGACCCGTACTGTTGTTCTCCGCCCAGTAGCGCACCCGTTCCAGGGCCGGGGGGCTGTAGTCGTAGGTGGGATCCTTTTGCAGGGGATCTCCGTGACCCAGTGGCCGCCACTCGTTATTGTTGTTTGGATCCAGTCGGGAGCGAACTGCAAAATAGAAAAAAAGATATGCCGATGCAGATGATTGAGTGCCGTATCAATTTACTTTTACATATGCAGCTTTAATTGCCGCCTCACAGATGGCCAGGAGGCTCCGAGCCGGAGCCAAGGCCAAATCATAACTCGTTAAAGTGTTAACAAATGTTTTTGTCCCGTCACTTGGCCATGACGGCATCCTGGTACCTCCCAGCGAGAGGGGGTTACTAAGTTTGGTTTCTGGCTGTTACTTCATAGTTCTTCTAAAAGGGTTGATATTTTTTAGAAACATGCTAATATGGTTTAAATATATATTCTAGTCAAACCTAGAAGGAAAAACTCTTTAAACTACCCTCGCTGCCAATGGTCTTCAATCGATTTTGAACCGTTTGTGCATAAATTGATTTTAATGCCCGCAGACAGTGTGCAAGATTGGAGCTTCGCTCGATTGGATCCGAGTCAGGATCCGAGATTGGCTGAGGTGTTTAGAGCTGGCTGGCTTCTCCCCCTGGTGCGGCTCCTAATTAAGCCGGAGTCAGAGGCCAGTCAACAGAAACCCTGATCTCAACGCCCACCCGGCTCTTGTCCGACTCCTCGGGGGCCATGACCATGGCAATCAACACCGCAAACAGACAGACACTTGGGCTGACTTTGAGTTCGGGTTTGGGTTTGGGTTTTTGCTTTTGGGGGCTCCGTGCTTGATTGACTGATCAACGGACTGAGGAAAATTACGAGGCATAGGCGGTGCCTATTCGCAGCGGAGGCGACGACTGCGAATGCGGAGGCCTGATAAATTATTGGCTAAAACCAGACAAATCGCTTTCCATTTGAGCGGCTGCGCCGAGGCATGCGGAGCTATAAGCTGGGAAGCAGCTCTGGGATCTTAGATTTTTCAGCTTTAAGCTGTTGCTCCTTGGCGACGTGAGGATATGCCCAAACGGAAATGACCACTCATGTATCTTCTAGTAGTAGGGGCTTTCAGACTTTAGGGGAAGGTTACCTAGTACTTTCTACTCTATTAAAAATAATATCTTTAGAGTATTTAAACCATCGACTAAGACTGATTTTCCTGACCATTTGGGTGGGCGATTGCCTGCCTACCTACACTACCTGCCGAGTGAGTGCTTAGGCCACTCCAAATTGAATCCGATCCCAGACCATTCCATCCCAGGCAATCGAGTACATGCATCTGTTGTATCCCATTTATCCTTGCATAATTGCCAGTGACCACGAAACAATGTTGCCAGACGATTTTCACTTTCATTCGCATTAAAATGCCTCGCATGATTGCGTTCAAAATTGTTTGATCTCCTAATGCTGGCCATTAAAATAGTGCCCCCTACTCCGAGGCGGCACCCCTGTATACCCTCCGCTCCACCCATCCACCCGGCGCCCCCCACCCATCCCGGAGGCCATACAGCCAATTATGTTGGCGAAACAAAATCAAAGTGCAAATCTTTCATATTTCTCATTTCGCTGCGGTTGTTGTTCGCTCACCTGTTGTCGCAGGTACCTCATCCTGACTGGCATTTGTCTTCGTCTCGGACACAGTCTGGCGCTCCGTTGCCGGTGCCGCGGTGGATGCGGTTGTTGCCGGTGATTGAGATTGAGCCAAGACCTCGACCACTTGGCCAGAGGCGAGTCCCAAGCCAAGTCCGAGGAGGAGCGGCAGGAGGAGTGGCAGCAGACCAAGTATCGTAACCAAATCGCGACTCTTGTGGCGTTCACCAATCATCTTGGCTCGGTTCGTTGATCGGTCCCGGGTTTTTCTCGTCTTATCTGGAAATTTGTTAAAATTGTTGAGTTTCGGTTATGACTTGCTGATGATTTAATATGATTATGCCCGACAATGTTCAACGCCGAACTTGATCTGTGCAATTTCGGCCACAGCAATTTCGATTCTTAACTATTGGATAACGGCCATGAATGAGGAAGTTTGGCATCGGTTGTTGCTACATTGTTACATTGGCAGTCACTTAACAGGTTGTTATCCAGATTATTGGCAAGTTAATTTACCGCAGCTATGTGGCAGTATATTTTCCTCTTAAGTTCAGGTAGCAAAATGCTGTAAAAATTATGGCCATAAAATGGAATGTCTGCTTAATATTATTGGCAAAAGTAAAGATAATTAACCTTTCACTTGGCTTCGAGTATTAATAATAAAAAAGGTATTAAATTAAATACATTGATTTTATAAAGTGGTTTTCAATTATAGTTTCCTAGGGAAAAGCGATCATGCCGTAATGATATGCGAAATCCTTAAACGTGACATATCAAACAAATGACTTAGGACACGAACTTGTGGTTCAATAAATGATTTTGGAAATATTTTAAACTTATTTTAAATAAAATGTTCAACCAATAATATGCTAAAGCTTCTTTAAATAAACCCTCTTTCCTTGATATTTATCCGATTAATTTATTATTAATGTATTTTTTGTTGGACTCTCAAATAAACATAACAGAGACCGGAAGACTCGCAGGTATAAGATTCCACCAACCTGGGTGGGCGGCTCTTTGACTTTCCTCTTCTTTTGGCGATTCTTCTTTTTCAGATATCCTGAGGGCTTCTTATCAACATCTTTCTCCCCAATTGCATGTCATATTTTTAAGTTTTTGGACCTGAGCCTGACTTGTTGCTTTTCGTTCCCATCGAAAGTGAAATTTGTGCATTTTTTTGTTGTTTTCGATCATAAAAGAAAATTTGCATTTATTGTGCAGCAGCTCTGCCGGTTGGAAGTTTGTTGTTTTTTGTGTTTTTGGTTTTGTTTTTTACCGGCGTGCGGCAACGCTTGTTTCTTTTGCTGTTACTCGCTTGGCGGCAATCGTAAAAATTAACTTGATTACTACACGCATAAATAAAGCCATTAAATGGCAAACATCTTGCTATGGCAGCAATTAAAATCAAATAAAATTCGCCGACGGCCAGGCTTAAAGTGGATGGGGTGGGATGGCCTTGCAATTGAATATAATTTGGCCGGGTTATTTTCCAACTATTCCAAGTCTAATGATGGAGACAATTTCCCCCAATTTTCATCGGTTCCGCCGTCCCAATTGTTGCATTTTTATGATGTAGGTCTAACTTGTTTTTTGCTCTCATTTATCTTTGAGTTATTTAATTGTTTGTTTTATCATACATCGCATTTGCATAATGCGTTTAATTACGCATAATTTTCAAGTTATTTAATTTTTTATTGTGTTTACATGACAGGAGAAAAGTAGCTGGCTAATAAGTGCCGGCAAAGTGTTATGTGATTAGTTGATGGCTTTTTATTAAGAAGCTCTTAAGGGGGATACTTGAATTTAAAACTGATAATTTTTTAGGTTAAAAAATTGCACTTGGTGCCAACTTTCTTGCCATTCAAAGTTCTTCGACCTCTCAGATTGCCACCGAGGAGCAACCCACACCATTTGAAATAAAAAGAAAAACTATATGAACGCATCAGGTTGATGTGTCGTATCATAAATGCATTCCAAGCACTTTCAATCGCTGCCTCTAAAAGCCGTCACTTGGGGACTGAAAAGCTGCCCAAAAGGCTCCACTGGAGATTCAGAGATTCGGAGAGTGAGAGAGATGTGGCTGTTAAGTGGTCGGGCTAAGCCAATGAGTGTAAAAAAAATGATAAATAAAAACCGATGAGCAAGCAAACAGACCAATAAATAGACAAACAACCGAAGCAGAGACCAAATATCCATTCAAGTGCGCGACACTTTTTATGCCGACAGCAATGTGCAACTTGCAGCTTCAACAGCGACACAACCAACAAGAAACTGGCGCACAAAGATGCATACCAACATGGCAGCGTATTAGCCAAAGACAAATACTAATTGCAGTCACAGAAGCTGCAGCAACATCAACAGCAGCAGCAACATCACCAGCAACATCAACAAATGCAACATCACATCAGTAGCGGCAGTTGCAGTTGCAGTTGCGGCTTTTTGTTGCCGGCAGGTAATTTCATTTAAAGAATGTCATCTTCACTTTAAGTGAAAGATAAATGCTCAGAGTGGCCCGGGAGTGCCTGGAAAATCAAGTGTCTGCCCTTTCTCTCGTCGCCACTTTGGTTCTCTGTCCACGCGGCGTATGAGTGATGCGTGTTTGTTTTTTTTTTTGAAAACCGTCTAAGCGCCAGCTTAAATCAATTCAGTGTCTTAATTCTTTGCTTAAATATACACACACATAGGATCGTTACAGACGACGTTCGATTTCGCTGGCAAAGAAAGGTGGAATTTATGTGCAACATCCGCACTTGAGGATTATAGCATTGAAAACCGAGAGTTGATTGATGGAAAATGCGTGAAAATGGTCAAATGGACAATGAGTCGTGACCGAGTGTTGCAGGTGAAATGTAACTTGAGCCATTCTTAAACGGCCAAGCCAAAATAGTTACGGATCCATTTAATGGATAGGCCACTAACGAGGATTTATAGGTGTTTTTTTTAAGCCTGAATCTTGTTGGTTCCTGAGGCTTTTTCGAGAGTTTATCTTCGGACTTAATGGGCCATTAAAATTAAGTGAATACCTACAATTTTTACAATGTAAATTATATATATTTCATAGCTTACACCTTAAAATATAAGATTACGTGGGAAAATATCTGCTAATCAAGACTTTATCATAAACTAATAATTAAATTCAGGCTTACTAGTTGCTTGACCACTTTAAAATTCGATTAAGTCTTTAAGGGGTGATTTTAAGAGGTGAGATTTCATAAAATATATCCAGCTTAAAAAGGAATAACATTTTGATTAATGTTATGGAGTAACATTTCAGATAGAAATTTAAGAAGAGAGTAGATTAGGATTTTCATGTTTATTACAGATAACTTTTCAATAGTTAGACTATGGTATCTAAGCATATACTCCATTTAAAAGTATATAACTTCTAAAATAAAAGAACAAGAAATGATTTCTGAGAAAAGATCTATTAAAATAAAAAAAATTTAACAAATTCAATACACCTCGACCAATTGTAAGAAAGGATAAATTTTTTCTAATATGAAAACCCTTTAAAAATTAATTTTTCTCTTAGAAGTAGCTCTGATTTTAATTTTATAAAAAGTGGCAATCAAATTATTAAAACTCTCTAAACTACTGTAACTACATTATTCTTTTCTTTAAAAAAAAATCTTACACAATCTAAACAGGATCTTGCATCACCTAACTTTTTCCAGCCAATCGGCTTACCATTCAATGCCACTGGCAGCAGCAGCAAATATTTCTCCAAAAAATATACAAAATTTGCGTTGGATGGTTGTGTTAATGTAGGTGCTGTTTAATCCTTTTCGGTTGCAATGGCTATTTGGCCAACTAATTTGCAGTCATTTCCTTGCCGACAATTGTCACAAATCAATAATCAAACAGCGAGACACACGATTCGCACAAAAATCGCCAGACAGCGCGGCTGGCCAGAAGGCATTTCATTTCATTCAGTAAATTTCACTTTTAAACGACCAACGCGACCGATGAAGATAGCAGCTCTTCGAGCTTCTGCCACCTGAGCCGACAGACATTCGCACGGCTTCGTCTTGGCCAACTCGGATCTTGGCTCAAAGCACTTGGCTCGTCGTTGTCGTAGTCGGATTTTATGGAGGAGCCAGGAAAAAACGAGAGTCTACAGGTTTTTTTTTTCTTTAGTTTTTCGTTCGATCGCTTAGCTCGCTTGGCTAGTGCATCCGTTTCAAAACGCGTCCGTTTGTTAACTGATTTCGCGTGGTCTTGGCCAAAACTCAAATTCGAAACTGTTAACACGGCAGCGACGTCAACGCCGCTGGCAGCAGAGGCGTCAACAGCGACAGCGACTGAGATTGCAGGTACCAACGAAGTCTGCACTTGTCTTTGCTCTGCCAACGTAGAGTTTGTTTTTTATTTTTTTTATTTTTTTTTTTTATTTTGACCACAACGAATCAATAAACACATGCGTCGACGTTGCAGTCTCTGTTGACGCTTCAGTCGGCGTAGTCACCAAAGTGGTCGTCTTTTCGATGGGCTTTTGTTGTTGGCTTTAATCAGACTCACTTTTCTCCAACAACCATTTATTTCTTGAAGAAGTTTTATGTTTTTATAGAATTTTTGGTTTTAATTAAATGTTTAATATGGAAGGATGAGTGATTATAATAAATAACTAAATAAATTACTGTAAATATTCTCCTAAGGGCCTTTTTTATCTTCAATAAATTATTAAGTATAAAAATTATAATATTAACTTTAGAATCCTTTTCACCTTGAGCATTTTATTGCTTTTATTTGTTTCTGGCTTTCGCTTTTAGTCTTCAGGTGTTGCATAAAAACCGAAAAATAAATTTCTACTGTCGGCCAACAAATTGTAAAATATGTTAAAAGCTTTGGGCAGCAAAAACAATTGGCAATAGTCATGACATGACTGGCTGTCAATTGGAGTTGCTGTCTGGCTGTTGCTGGTGTTGCCTGCTGGGCGTGTGCGTAGCTGAGGAGAAGATGAGAGTGAGCCGACAGACATGCATTTGAAACTTGTCAGCCACCCAAGAAAAATAAAAAGACACAGACACAACAAAAGTATTAACAACAGCATCAGCCTCAGATTATGCTGATGTGCTGTATGGCTATATTGTTGTTGTTGTTGGTGTTGTTGCAGGTTTAGGCCATAAAGCCTCCCTTTGTAAAGTTGTACTCTTTCTTTTTCTTTAAATACACAAGGTGTCAATTAAGGCGCAATTTAGCAAAATCGTCAAACCGCATACAAAAACGTAAAGCAAATCAAAAGACTTTGGCAACGAACTTGACGGTTGACTTTCACAACCTAGAATGGCAAACAAAATGCAAATATTTGCAAGAGTTTTTAAGTATCTATGGTTTCAGAATACTGAATGATTACTTTCTTTTTTTGTTATAATCTTAAATTAAAATGGAATTTTTAACCCGTTCTCTTGTATTTTTTTATGTTTAAAATATAAAATTAAAATACCCTAATAGCTCCCTAAATCTTCATTCGAGTTCGTTACTTTATGTTTTGTAATAAAGTCACAGCAAGGACCAAATTATCGCAAATCATTTGAATGTCCCCCCCAACTCCTGCTGTAATTTGTTTTTATCACCCCCACCCGGCCCCTCTCTTGGCTTCCCTGAAGAAAAATCAAAGCGAATTTCCTCAGTCAGTCGGTCACCTGGATGGTGGCTCGTTAACTTGTTTCTGTTGCAAGGCCATCGACGAGAGCATTTTCCAGGCACCCCCGCCAGTGGCGTGGGCCCCCCCTTAATTAGCGCATGTGTTGCATGCGGCCGTGTTGCATGTTGCCAGCAATCTATGCTGCTAAAATTGTTTGTTGCTGTTGCTGTGTCCGATGTCCGATCTGCGATGTGCGATGGCGAGGAGGCCCACTCAGCCGTGTAAATTGTATCAATAAATTTATTGATTTCAACTGTTGCTGCTGACTTGTTTAATATTTTGCGACGATTTATGTTGCAGGCATGCAAATTTTAGTATTTATTTGCTTTGTCGGTGTCGGGGCAGCCGTGGCGAAGGATGGTGATGGAACTTGGCTGGATGATGATGAGGCCGCTCTGGCTTTAATGAACATGTCGGCTCCATAGTCGTGTCGTCGCTTTCGGGGAAAGAGTCATCAAAAGACACACGCATGGCAAATTTGTGTGCTCCGGCTGTCAGCGTTTGGGGCGCCTCCTCGGCCATCTTGCCTCTGGTATATAAATCTTAAATCTCAGCATGATTTAGTCATATCTTTATATTAGTATTACTTTTATGATACTCTAACCAATTCCTATTCCTTATGATGATAATTAGGCAACCTTTCACTGTCGTATAATTTCACCCACACTTATACTCTCACTTAAAGCCAAAACAATGACAGTTCCAGACACTTCCGGCACTGGGCGAGAGTTGCGTTTGTTTTCTCATTTTCGAAATTTTAAGTTTTCAGTCTTCGTTTTATTTTCTTTTTGGTTCGTCTGCACACCCATAGAACACTTTCGTTCATTGGACAACCATAAACCATGCGCCTCGCACATATTTTTATTGTTTTGCATTTGGGGTTAGGGCAATTTCTACGGCCATCGACTTGGGGCCTGCCAGTTGCCAGTTGCCACTTGCCACCGCCTGCCATGCATGCCAAATCAGGTGAAAAGCGGTGCCCGCAAAGACGTCGCCCGGTGCATTGCTAATTAGATAAACAAATTTTTTTGTCGCTACGCGCTGCCAACACCACGCTGCCTCGCACATACACCCAAACACACAGCCACACACTCCGGACACACTCTTAAACATTGTTGCACGCACTGAAATTATTGAAAAGTGAAATAAGCCAAGAAGAGGTGGCCGATTTTTTGAGGACAAAAATGTGAATGGGTAATGATCTTTTTTTCATTATTTGAAATGATTTAAAATAGCATATAAGATAATGTAGGTATATAGTACTATACTACTAATAACTTACTATCATCAAGTATTTCAAGAATATAGTTTTCTAATCCAACTTAAGAATCAAAAAAAAAATAAAAATTTATTAAAAATCTATTCTAATTTTAGACCTAAGACATCTGCCCAATAAAACATTTTTAATTTTTCAAAATCATTTCATAAAAGACTACCTTCTTCAAAAACCGCTGCTACCCCATCATTGACTTTAAGGTGTCGCTGTGATAAATACACAAACAGTTCGATGCTTAGTTTCTAAAAAAGAAAGTGAAATTCGAATGCGGACAGAACGAAGCGCAAAGTGCGCGGCCCAGGCAGCTCCCAACTTGGCCAACATGGCCAGGACCAGGCCAACACACAAAAACAAAACAGAAACGTAAAAAAAAAAAGTATATATGTATAAAAAAAAAACGAAAACCTGAAAAAGCCTATGCGTTGCAAGCCGAACGGCAGCGAGTCATTCACAAGTTGTGATGCTAAACAAATATGACTAATTATGGAGGAACTGACCACTAAACAGTGCCACATAATGCGTCCGTCGTCTCGGTTTGGACGTACATAGATGGTGCGCCGATGGCCCGGACCATGGACCGGTTGGCAAAGGCCCCAAAACAAACCAAACCAACCAACACCCGCAATTTCGCCAGTTCGTGGAAAAGCGTTCGATTGTATGAATGAAATGCGTTTTACGCGACAAAGTTGCCACCATCGATGGCAATTGGCGGTTGTACACTTTAAGATTTTTTTAATACCAAAATATATACAATTTTCTTAAAGATATATTTGTTAAATCTCTAAAATATGGGTATATGGGATTACTTCACCACCTTTCCTAGAAATTTTACTAAAATATTTATTATAAAAAGGTATATCATTATTTGAATCCTTAACTTTTTTCGAGTGCCATTTTCACTATTTGAGGTGGGTAATGCTCCTATCCTCCCTTCTCCTATCCTCAGATCGACTCCCCACCATTTTACCGCAGAAAACGAACAGTGTCGGACGGTTCGGCGTCGGTTTGGTCGCCTGCGACATCAAAGACTACACCTTGTGGCGGCCCCGCCCCCGGCAGTTGCACATCAATCGGTTCAGCGATCGCAACGGACCGGCTAGCCCCGATGCCGGATCGAAGGAGGAGGATACCAAGCGCGACGGAGGGGGCGATTGGACGCCCAACAATGGTGCGGTCCTGCGCTGGGGCATAGCGCCAGTCAGTCTGATGGCTGACGATTTTGCCATGGCACTCAGTGTCCTGCCACCGAACCAGCACCGAATCGTGTCCTGCGTGGCACCCTACCAATCGCATGCTCTGGCCTTCGCGGAGCGTCATAATGTGGAGAATGTGTACACAAGCTTCGAGGATTTGGCCAAGTGTCCGAATGTTGGTAAGAGACTAAGACTTTAACTTTCTGACTACATGGCGTATGAGTAATATTTTATAATAAAACCATACTGTATTTCCACTTAGATGTTGTGTACATCTCGCCGCTGAACCCCCAACACTCGGAGCTATGCCACCTGATGTTGAACCACGACAAGCACGTGCTGTGCGAGAAGCCGCTTTGCATGACCGAGGAGCAGGTTAAGCAAGTACTGGAAAAGGCGCGGGCTCGTAGCCTCTTCCTCATGGAGGGTATGTGGCCCAGATGCGTACCAGCATACCACTATATACGCCACCAGATCCTGCGAAATCGCCTCGGTGAGCTGCAACATGTGCACTGCACCCTTGGGCTGCCCATTTCTCCCAGGTACGGGGTTATTTTTTTTTACTTTAAGTTTCTTAGTTTAATTTTTATACCCTTGCAGAGGGTATTATAATTTTGTCCAAAAGTGTGCAACGCAGTGAAGGAGACATCTCCGACCATATAAAGTATATATATTCTTGATCAGGATCACCTCCTGAGTTGATATGAGCATGTCCGTCTGTCCGTCTGTCCGTCTGTCCGTCTGTCCGTCTGTCCGTCTGTCTGTCCGTCTGTCTGTTTCTACGCGAACTAGTCTCTCAGTTTTAAAGCTATCGTCTTGAAACTTTGCACACACCCTTCTTTCCTTTGCACGCAGTATATAAGTCGGAACGGCCCGGATCGGCCGACTATATCCTATAGCTGCCATATAACTGATTGATCGGAAATGGTATAACTTTGGTGTTTTTAGAGTTAGAGAGTTAAAATTTGACATGAGAGCTATTTTTGGCAAAACATTACGACATGTTAAATTTCATAAGGATCGGCAGACTATATCCTATAGCTGCCATATAACTGGTTGATCGGAAATGACCCAACTTTCGTGTTTTTGAAGATAGAAAGCTGGAAATTAGTACTGATTATATTTTTGGCCAGATCATCCGACCTACCAAATTTTACAACGATCGGCCGACTATATCTTATAGCTGCCATATAACTAAGAAGAACGATCGGAAATGGTTTTTGGTAGAAATACCAACTTTCGTATTTTTGAAGATAGAAGTTTGGGACTTTTTTTAGATTTTTTATTTTAGTTAATTAGTTTTATTATGATGTAATCATAGGGATCGGCCAACTATATCCGATGTTTGCGATATATATCCGGTTTTAACTGCAAGGGTATATAAACTTCGGCTCCGCCCGAAGTTAGCTTTCCTTTCTTGTTAATCATAATTTTTATAGTCGGCTGGCTCTTTATGGCGGTGTCACTACCGACTTTGGCGTTTATGGTCTTCAGCTGGCTTTGTGGATATTTCGGGAGGTACCGAGCAGCATCCAGGTCAGCGGCCGGGTCAACGCCGACAACGTGGATGTGGCTGCTGACATAGAGCTTACTTTTAGCCGCAATCAGATAGCCACCATTGAAGTTTCCTCCGAAAAGCGGCTCGACAATCTGGCCATAATCCAGGGAAAAGATGGATGCATCAAGGTGAGCTCCAAGTGAAATGAAGGTCTCTCAAAAAAAGTATATTTCTTCCCTTAGATGTCAAATTATTGGTGTCCTACCCGCCTGGTTACCGAAGAAGCCGACTTTGATTTTCCGCTTCCGGGATTGGACCAAGCCCAGCCCACCCACTATCACAACAGACTGGGCATGTGCTACGAGGCCGAGGAGGTGAGGAACTGCATCCTAAAGGGCAAGAACGAGAGCGATGTGTTCAGTCACAATGAGAGCCTCCTGCTGGCCAACTTGATAGACTCCATTCATGCCGAGCTGGGCGTTGGTAGCTATGCAGTTTCCCAAAAAGTCCCCGATCTGCAGGCGGAGATCGAGTTAGCCCGGGATATTGTTGTGGATCCCGAGGAGCTGGCCAGTGAAACCTGTCGGGTGGTTCAGAAAATTGACGTCGGCGAGAGTCTTAAGTCGCCGGAGACGCATAAGGAGCTAACAATGGAGGCCACCACACAGCCCAGACCCAAAGTCAGTCAGACGCCCCCTTAGGGGGCGTGGAAGGGTGGGTTTGTGTGTGGGCTGATTGTATAAAATCTAATTGAATCAATTGTCGCGTAAATAAAACAGAAGTATTCAAGAAAAGCCTTAAATAATACTAAAATAAAATTGTTTTATTGCTAATTTTAAAATAGATTAAATCTGAGACACAAACCACATGAAACTAACAAAACTCACCACATGGGCGGAAAACAAGATGGCGTTTGCCTAGTTAATACACCAACCCGATCCATTTTGTAAAAATTATTTTAATTGCTCTGAAAACCATTTTCTTATCTTCCAGAAACCGAATTGGGTTGTTAACCCAAAATGTTGGAAATTTTTTATATATATTATTCAACTCCTTATCAGATTAACCCTCTCAAATTGAACGATAATGGTGTTTTATGGATAAGATACTGCTAGAGAGCTTCCAAAATAAAACTCAATGAATGCATTTTTTAGCTTTTATTTATTTTTTTTCGGATTTTTGTTGTATAATTTAAAGTACAATTCGCATAAATTATAGATCAATTTCTACTGCTTCTTAACCTTCTTTTTCTGAGTAGTTTTGTTGGATTTTCCGAACAACTTCCTCCACACAAACTTCCAAAACAGTTTGCTTACAATAAAGATAACGTAAAGTATCAGTCCTGCCAGGACATAGATGTCCAGATTATTGCTGGCAATGAAGGTCATCTTCACCAGAGGACTCTGCAAGTGCGGAGCTCCATGGTGACGAATGACATACTCCGTCCAGTAGACTACCGACTCCTGGGCGGTCAAAGGACGATCGCGGTAGAGCTGGGAGAAGCTCTTTAACTTTTGGGCGTACTTGGGATTTTCGATGAGCTCCTTAATGGCCGCCTTGAATTCGTCCACCTCCAGTGTGTTTAATACCAAGTTCAAGCCATATCCACTTTCCGCCACCTTCTCGGCGTTTGCCGGCTGATCGGCGAATACTGGAAGAGTGAGCATTGGGACTCCATGGTACTGGGCTTCGGAGACGCCTCCTTTGCCGGCGTGGGTGATAAATAGCTTGAGTTTGGGATGGGCCAGGATATCGTCCTGTGGCAGCCACTTCTTGTACAGAATGTTTGCGGATTTTCCGGGCACATTGTCCAGGTCGTCCCACTTCCAGATCACCTGCTGCTTAATGCTGCTCAGTCCCTTGAAGATTGTGGTCACCACTTCGGGCTTGATGAAGTCGCCCTTCAAGTTCGATCCCAAGCTGAAGAGGATGGCTCCGTTCTTGGCCTTGTCCAGGAACTCCTTGATATCCTCGGGCAGGGGATCGGGCTTGCTCTTCACTTGGATGCCGCCCACTTCGATTATTCCCGGCACATTGGGACGGATGGGACCCTCACTGATTCCGTGGCCGTTGCAGAAGGCTAAAGAGACATTCTTCTTGGCTTCCTCGAAACTGGGCATAGACTTGTCATTGCCCCAAAGGCGGCTGAAAATATAAATTAGGTAAGGTTAGCATTATCTTCCAGCTGATAGGCGATAAGTGGTGTTACGGCCTAATCTATACACTGATAACATATTTCAGTTTTTGTCTACTCCTACTTACTTGTAGAATTTGTTGTATTTCGTGTTCAGGTACAAATCCAGTCCCTGGAAACCAAGGGTGCTCACGAAATTCTTAAGGCGTTGTGGAAAAGTCATGGTCGCTCCTGGGGCCAGAGAAATGGACATTTGCGGAACACTGGACAGCTCGGGGTTGCCCAGGAATGCGTTAACCATGAGCATGGGTGCACCCGACCAGGAAATAATCACCGGGCAGTTGAATCGGGCTCCCAGGGCCACCTGGTACGAGTTGAAGAAGAAGCCGACAAACACCACATCGAATTTGTTGCCCTTATTCAGATACAGCTCCTGGAAACGAGGATCCTCCAGCACGTCCACCTGCTTATCGATAAGCAGACTCAGGGAACTGAAAATGTTCGAAATGGTGTTCCACATTGAAGGCTTCTCCTTGGCCATTTGGGCCATTCCGTCGTTCAGGATCTTTTCGCTTTCGGGATCGAGGGGCACCACGATGTGCTTGATGCTCTTGTGGGTAACTTTGGGCGGCAGACTGGACACGACGGTTATGTTGTGCCCCTTCTCGGCTAGCGCCTTCATGACAGACATGTGCACTATCAGGTGGGAGGGACTGTGACTGGTGAAGACGCCCAGGATGTTGGCTCCTTCACTGCCCTGGGGCATCGATTGGAGGGCCAGCAAGGCGACCAGTAGGCCGCCAAAACTGCAGCCGAGCCACGTGCTTCGGTTTGGTGTCATGACTAGCTCCGTTTGCTTTGAAGTCCAAGTGGTAACTGATTGAGGTTCTCGCCGGCGCTGGCTATCTTATATACAAAGTCCGTGGCGGCGATAACAGACTGATAAGATTCTTCAATCGTTTAATCTGCAATATGTATACGTAGTTAGAACCGAAATCTATTTCAATACACGTAGCTTCACTTAAATCATTTCATTTCATTAGAAATTGTGTAATTGCTTTGCTTTGTAGTTCTACAGTTTAACTTATAATTAATAATGTATTGTTTTAGTGGTTCTCGTTATAATATTTACTTAGTTTGTTAGCACTTTTTGTAGAACTTTATAGATACTCGGACTAGCACTTGTAATATAGGAACTATCCTTACATTCGACAAATTTGTGCCTTGTTTAGTTGTGTAATTTTATTCTAAAACAAGTTTGTTGACCCTACAAAATACTTAAAATATTTATAGATAAAACACATGCGTGTACATTTTTATATGCAATTTACAAGATACCCTACATGTACTTGGTGATTAAACTTTTTAAAATTGTTTTATATCACTTTGTGAAATTTTATACAAATTTTGGGAAATGTAACTATAAACTTCCTGTAAGCATTTGTAAATTTTCATCAAAATCTTTTCTCTTTTGTTTATTTAAAAGATTTTACCAAGTTCATCAGATTTCGTAAACACTTAGTTGCAGAAAACCGGAAATCCAAGCTGTTCATTTTAGGATTTAAAACAACAAGACTACAAACAGTGTAAAATGCACTGTCAATGTCAACCTAGAGGTTAACAATTATCCATTTAATTGGCACTCTCACTGGGTGACTCCCACAAAAACAAACTATAGATATGTACCACATATATATTTAAAATACCTCGTCTATATAGAGATTCGAAACAACAAATATGATAACCATTAAATAATAGAAAACAAATTTGGAAAACAATACGCGTTCGGCACGCGCTGCCTCGGAACTGTTTCTGAGTATTGCGAACTGAGTATTGAATGCGATTCGGATTGAAATAGCCCCACGAAAAGATACTCCCAGAGAGGGTGCTATAGAGAGAATTTCAGAACCAGAGAGAATGAGATACTTCTATAAATAATCACTGGGAGGAGCAGTTGGAGGAGCAACCTGTTAAGTTGTTCTAGGTTCTGGGATCATTAATTTTGTTGTTGTGGCTTTTAATTGCCGGGTTGTGTAAGGTTCACGGCATCTATATAATATTTACAACTATGGAAGTGCATTGATAAGAAATTTATAAAACGCTTCATTGATAACATGTGCTTTTTATTAATTTGTTGGGTTCTATGGTATTTTATTTAGAAGAACGTTTTGGATTAAAGGGCTAGCAAATATACCTTTTTGATTTGAGTCTAAGTAAAGTGAGGTGTTTAAAAGTGGGCTTAAAAAAATTAAAAATACAAAATTAAAAATATGAAATATAAGAGCTTAAAATAAATCACCTCTTATTTGTTTTAAAACTTTTAATTTTTCATTTATGTACATAAGAATCCTATACATCTGATAATTACTGTAGTGCACTGTACATACATGCTCATTCGCACTATTGAGTAGTTAATGTCAAGGCTTTCATTAATTTAATCCGCTCTCTCGCTCACCCAGAGAGCAATGAATTTTAATCAATTGAAGCCTCTTATTTTTACGAGTCATGCTTTCCAGCAAAGTTTTTATCGCCGTCCCTGTATGCCCTTTCTTATCAGTATGTTTACTCATATTTGTTTTACCCCTCTCTGTGGTCAGTCTCTGTTTATTTTTAAAGATTACAAAAAAACTTAAAATATTTTTGGTGAACTTGTTTATTTACATTTTTGACTCGTCCTATACAATAAAATTAACATAATCATACATTAAAATAATCATTTAGTTCTGTTTAAGCTTAGTGTACTGAGTTTTTTTGGCCACAAACTTGCGCCAAATGAAGAGCCAAAAGACTTTGCTGATCTTCAGAAGGATGTACAGGACCAAAATCGCCAGGATATAGATGTCCAAATTGTTACTGGCAATGAAGCTCATCTTAACTAAAGGACTCTGCATGTGCGGGGCTCCACGGTGGCGGATGACGTACTCCGTCCAGTAGACCACCGACTCCTTGGCGCTCAAAGGACGATCCCGGTACAGCTGGGAGAAGCTTTTCAACTTCTGGGCGTACTTTGGATTTTCGGTGATCTCCTTAATGGCCTCCTTAAGTTCCTCAACTTTCATGGTGTTCAAATCTAGGCGAAGACCATATCCACTGAGGGCCAACTTATCAGCATTTCCAGGCTGATCGCCGAAAACAGGAAGAGCCAACATTGGGACTCCATGGTACTGGGCCTCGGAGACGCCTCCTTTGCCGGCATGGGTGATGAAAAGCTTGATATTAGGATGAGCCAGGATATCGTCCTGCGGCAGCCACTTCTTGTACAGGATGTTTGAGGATTTTCCGGGTGTCTTCTCAAGATCCTCCCACTTCCATACCACCTGCTGCTTAATGCTGCTCAGAGCCTTGAAGATTGTGTCTACCACATCTGGCTTGATGTGTTCCCCCTTCAGGTTTGACCCCAAACTGAAAAGAACAGCTCCATTTTTGGCCTTGTCTAGAAACTCCTTGATGTCCTGGGGCAGAGGATCGGGCTTGTCCTTTATCTGAATGCCTCCGACTTCTATGACAGCCGGAACATTGGCCCGAATGGGGCCCTCACTTATGGCATGGCTATTGCAAAAGACCAAGGAAACATTCTGTTTGGCCTCTTCATAGCTGGGCATCGACTTGTCACTTCCCCAAATACGACTATCACAATAATACAAGTATAATTTTAAGTACTGATTAAATAAAAGAAGAAATAGTTATGTACTTACTTGTAGAAATGTTTGTATTTAATTTCCAGGTAAGCATCAAGGCCTTCGAAGCTCAGAGAACTGACGAAATTCTGTATTCTTTGTGGGAAAGTCATTGTTTCTCCCTGAGCGACTCCGATTTGCATTTGAGGAACTGTGGATAGCTCTGGGTTGCCCAGGAACTTATTAACCCAGAGCATTGGAGATCCGGACCAGCAAATAATAACCGGAGCATTGAATCTGGCACCCAGGCCCACCAAGTACGAGTTCACAAAAAATCCGGCAAAGACCACATCGAACTTGTTGTCCTTGTTCTGATGGAGTTCATGGAAGCTGGGATGCTCGAGGAGCTCCACTTGCTTTTCAACCATCATGGACATCGAACTGACCATGATCTTCATGGTGCTCCAGATGGAGCCCTTTTCCTTGGCCATTCCACTTATTCCGGAGTTGAGCAGCTTCTCCTCCTCCTCGGTGATCAGTGGCACCACGATTTGTTTAATATTCTTGTGTTTCACTTTTGGGACAATTGTGGATATTGTTGTCACATTGTGTCCCCTCTCGGCCAGCGCCTTCATGACCGACATGTGTACTATTAAATGGGACGGACCGTGTCCGGGAAACACGCCCAGGATATTTGCGCCCTCAGTTTCCTGGTTCATTGTCTGGAGGACCAGCAACACCGCCAAAATGCTACCAAGGCTGCAGCCGAGCCAGATGCTTCTATTTTGTGCCATGATTAGCTCTGTTCACTTTAGAGTCTCAAAACAAACTGAATAAAAAACCCGGCGACAAGCGCAATCTTATAGGTACTCCATGGAGGCGATAACAGATTGATAAGAAAGGCTACCGAGTACTACAGACGTTTTATTGCATTATCATGTATGTTTGCAAAATGTTTGGCTAACTTAAAATTATTAATTTCATGTGAAATTCAAATTTCCCACATAATTATTAAACTAGCTGTTGAAATATATACAGCAGGGCTTCGAAAGTCATTAGACAAGCCATAATGCATCAGAAAGTAGAATATATATACGTTTTGTATTGTTCTAGGCCTGGTATATTCATAACCGGTTTCCAATACACTTTGAATTAAATGCAATAAAGCGAACGCATTTTTTATTAGACGTTTTAAAGCAGTATTTTTTGTTTACAATTTCCTATAGCTGCCATATATAATACAAACATGGGTGTGGGATCCGAAATGGTGGGACTATGGAAATACTTTTTGGGAAATATCTGAGTCATTTCGATACCTTTTTGTAAAAGGTATATCATTCATAAATCATACGATTTTAATAACCGCAAATTAACATAAAATAAATACGGTTTTGGAAAAAAATGATGGTACTCAAAGATTCAAGATCGGGAAGGTATAAGATTCGTTGGTGGGATGAGTATTTACAAAGTTATCGCTGATATAAAGGAACGTTTTAAATTTTTATACTCTGACCAATGATTTAAGCTTTTAAACAATTCACTAATTACTTAAATATAATTATTCGTAATATTTAATGACTATTGTTGTTTCTTTTGATTATTTTGAGAACTATTTTTTGACTCTCCAAATAATTTGCGCCACACAAATTTCCAAAAGACTTTGCTAACAATAAGTATTAGATAGAGGACTACTAAAGCCAGGATATAGATATCCAAATTATTGCTGGCAATGAAGCCCATTTTAACCAAAGGACTCTGCATGTGAGGAGCTCCACGGTGACGAATGACATACTCCGTCCAGTAGACGACCGACTCCTGGGCACTCAAAGGACGATCGCGGTAGAGTTGGGAGAAGCTCTTTGCCTTCTGGGCGTACTTGGGATTTTCGATGATCTCTTTAATAGCCGCCTTTAACTGTTTCTCCTCCAGAATGGCCAGTTCCAACCGCAGACCATAACCATTCTCAACTACTTTATCGGCGGTTCCTGGATGATCGGCGAATACAGGAAGAGCCAGCATAGGGACTCCATGGAACAGAGCCTCCTGGACGCTTCCTTTGCCAGCGTGATTGATGAAAAGTTTGATGTTGGGATGGGCCAGGATATCGTCCTGTGGCAGCCACTTTTTGTACAGAATGTTTGGAGATTTTCCAGGTACTTTTTCGAGATCTTCCCATTTCCAGATCACATGCTGCTTAATGCTGCTCAGAGCTTTGAAAATTGTGGAAACTATTTCAGGTGGGATGTGTTCACCTTTCAGAATCGAGCCCAAACTAAAGAGCACTGCCCCATGTTCGGCCGTGTCCAGGAACTTCTTGATATCCTGGGGCAGGGGATCAGGCTTGGACTTAATCTGTATTCCACCAATTTCAATGACAGCCGGAACATTGGGGCGAATAGGTCCTTCGCTGAGGGAGTGGCCATTGAAGAAGGCCAGAGAAACGTTTTGTTTGGCCTCCTCAAAGCTGGGCATTGATGGATCTATTCCCCAAAGCCGGCTATAATAATAATTATATAGAATATGTATCCTCCATTTTTGCTATTTAAATTTACTTACTCATAATACTGCTGAAGTTTCCGATTCAAGTGAATATTAAACATGAAGAAACCAATATTGCAGGCCAAATTATGCAAACGTTTCTTAAAATTCATGGGCTGTCCTTGTGCCACTGCCACATGCATTTGAGGAACACTAGACAGTTCGGGATTTCCCAGCAGTTCGTTAACCATGGGCATGGGTGGACCACACCAGGACATAATCACTGGACAATTAAACCTTGCTCCCAGGGCTACCTGATACGAGTTGAAAAAGAATCCAAAGAACACCACATCGAACTTGTTGTCCTTGTTGAGGTAGAGCTCCTTAAAACGCATATCCTCCAGGACCTCTACTTGTTTGTTGATTAAAATAGACTGAGATTTGGCTGCAGAGTTCATCATACTCATAATGGATTGTTTTGATTTGACCATTCCTGACATTCCCTCGTCCAGGATTTTTTCATCCTCGGCACTCAATGGAACCACAATGTGTTTGATACTCTTATGGGTCACTTTCGGTGGCATCGAGGAAAGTACAGTGACATTATGCCCTCTTTCGGCCAGAGTTTTCATAATGGACATGTGGACTATCAGATGGGATGGACTGTGGCTGGTGAAAACGCCCAGGATGTTAGCTCCCTTACATTCTTCTAGCAGCGACTGGAGGATCACAAAGGCAACCAAAATGGCGCCAAAACTTTTGAAACTTGATAGCATGACTAATTAGTTGAACTAAGCTGATAAATGTTTGTCGTACTCGTTGATACTAAAATTTATTTATAAACAAACACAGCAGAAGCTTATCAAAGTGATAAGAATTCAATTATCGGCAAATCACTTTGTACGTATTTCCCACGACCTGAATTTCAAAATTTTTGGGTTGCTTGAATCATTTTTTAGTTAGTACATGCAATGCAACGTTAAGTTAAAATTTAGTAGAAATATTTTTTGCTATTATATCATCTTTTTTATTCACAGCCACTATTATCTTCACACTCTGATGATTGGAATAATACTATAAAATTTCTACCCAAATCACAATGCCTCCAACACTCGAAATGCCTGAGTGAGAATTAAATTGTACAAATATTTATTTAAGAGAAATATTAAGAGTGTTTTATATACTAAACTAAAGTGTGATTTTTTGTATTTGTTTACCAGCATTTGAAGAGTGCAATGAAATTTTGTTTATACAAACAAATACATTCGTACGTCCATTAAGATAATATTCTATGTAATCTGAACCTAATTGCTTGACCCTTTTTATGGCCTTAGACAAAAAAACTCTTTACTCAAGGGTTATTCAAAAATTTTGGGTTACAATAATCTCAAAGTCTGGCTAACAAATAAAGTATAAATACAAAATTTTATTTCCTAAAATATTAAGACATTGCGTTTACTGCTAACGACTTAAATATCAATTACTTTTAAGCTTGTTTACTTTCTTCTGGTTATTTTTTCTATGAAAGACTCTAGAAATCTTACGAAATACCCATTTAAAAATAATTGAAATAATAAGAGAGAAAATAACTCCGATGAAGAGAATTATTCCATAAACATCAATGTTATTACGAGATACAAAGTCCATCTGAATTAGGGGACTCTGGAGGTGATAGGCCCCCTGATGACGTAGAACATATTCTGTCCAATAAACTACCGATTGCCGAGCAGTTAGCGGGCGATCTCTATATAAAGCAGAGAATTTACCAATAGCCTCCCGGTAGGTAGAATTCTCCATGACATCCAGAATAGCCTCTTTGAATTTTTCCTCAGTCAAGGTAAGAACATCCAGCCACCTGCCAAACCCAGACTTGGCCAGGATTTCTGAATTCGATGGCTGGTCGGCAAAGAGTGGCAAAGCCACCATGGGAACTCCATGGAACTGGGCCTCTGCCACGCTTCCTTTTCCAGCATGGGTTATGAATAGTTTCGTCTTGTGGTGGGCCAGGATATCGTCCTGGGGCAGCCACTTCCCAAAGTAAATGTTAGAAGCGTTTCCAGGCTTATTATCCAAGTCCTGCCACTTCCAAATTACTCGCTGGGGCAGCTTAGATAAAACCTTGTAGACAATATTCAAGACTTGAGGACTAAAGGTATTAGTATCCACATTAGACCCCAAACTGAAGAATATAGCTCCCTCTTTGGCATTATCCAGGAACTCAGATAAATCCTTGGGCAAAGGATCTGGCTGCTCCTTAACCTGGATTCCTCCGATTTCAATAGACTGAGGAACTACCGGTCGGATGGGTCCCTCACTGGGAGCATGGTAGTTGTAGAAAAGCAGGGAAACCCGTCGATTCATTTCGGAATAAGTTGGAAAATCAGGATCAGATTCATTGCCAAAGGCTCGTCTACAAAAAATATATAATGTTAACATTATTTAATAGATAAATATTTTTTTAACTTACTCATAATACTTGTTCATTTTGTAGGCGAACACTTCGTTGAAAATACTTGTGAAAGTGTATTTGAAAAAGTTAGTCAATCTTAGGCCAAACCCCATTGTTTTTTGACCCGGCTCTAGTCCGACAGTCAAGGTGGGGACGTAGGCGGGATCTGCGATATTTCCTACCAAAAAGTCCGCAAATGGCATTGGTAGTCTCACCCAGGTAAGTATAACCGGACAGTGAAGCTTGGCTGCAATGCCCAGTTGGAAACCGTTGGCCAACATGCCCAGAATCACCAAATCGAACTTGGTTTGTGGCTTCTCGTACAGATTCCTCAGATTCGGATGCATTAGGAACTCGTATTGAGCTTCGATTTGAAACTCCGACTGTAGAAGGGTTACCATCATGGTTTTCCACAAGGATTGTTTTTCTTTAGAGGCATTTGCAATGTGTTCCTTACTGTCCTGAATCCGTTTTTGAGTGGGTGGCGCCAGGATAATGGTGATGTTTTCGTGGGCCTTCATTTTGGGCGGTGCTGCTAGAACCACTGTGATGTTGTGGCCCTGATCCGCTAGAGCTTTCATCACGGCCATGTTGACGATGGTATGCGAGGGACTATGAGTTCCAAAGACTCCCAAAATATTGGCAGCATTGATCGTGGGGCACTCAATTCCCAGAAATAGTAGTAATAAAATAAACTTCATTATAAACGTGATCTCTGGTTGCTCTCCTCAAAACGACTGAGTTTCGTAAAATGTAAGCAACGGCATTTATATTACTATTACAAACTTTATAGTTTGTTAAGGTTCTGTTATCTTGTAGCTGCGTGACAGTGACAGGGCAGGTTTTGAGAAAGAAATAGTGGGTTTATCACTTTTAGATTAAAACTCAAAAAGGTTAGGTCGCTCTCAGAGAAATAGTCAGAGATTAGCTTCTGACTGAGAGTTCAAATTTAAAACAAATTATAAACAAATACCTGTTATTACTATACCTATCATTTAAGGCCTCAACTGTTTTGGTCTAAATTGCTCAGGCCCTTTTTTTCTTATCAATTGAAAACACATTGTATTTATTAGAATTTTTAATAAATTTTTTATTTTATATAAATAAATAAGTCCTAAAAAATATAGGAAAGAGTGCCTCTTTCATTATGTTCTGTAGTGTTCTATAGTATCTAATCGGTCTTTGGTTTTTTTGGGTTTGAAAAGCCTTTCAATACCTTACGAAGGGCCCAACTTACTGTGACCAAGAATAATAGAAACGAAATCAAGTTGACTAACAAAAGCACTCCATACACATCGATGTTGTTGCGAGAAACAAAATCCATATGAATTTCGGGACTCTGGAGATGATAAGCCCCCTGATGACGGAGAACATACTCGGTCCAATACACCACAGATTGGCGCGCTGTTAGCGGGCGATCCCTATATAAGGAGGAGAATTTTCCAATGGCCTTTCGATATGTTGGGTTCTCCAGCACATCTTTGATTGTAGATTCCAGCTCAACCTCTGTCATGGTCAGTATGTCCAGCCATCTGCCAAATCCGGAAGTGGTCAGTATTTCGGCATTTCCCTGCTGATCGGCAAAAAGGGGCAGTGCCACCATTGGAACTCCATGGAACTGTGACTCAGCCACGCCTCCCTTGCCAGCATGGGTTATAAATAGTTTTGTGTTGGGATGGGCGAGGATATCGTCCTGGGGGAGCCAGTTACCGAAGTAAATGTTGGAAGCGTTTCCCGGCTTGTTGTCCAAATCCTGCCATTTCCAAATTACTCGCTGGGGCAGTTTGGACAAAACCTTATAAATCATCTCAAACACGTGGGGGCTAAAGGTATTGGTGTCTACATTAGTGCCCAAGCTGAAGAATATAGCTCCATCTTTGGCATTATCCAGGAACTCAGCTATGTCCTTGGGCAAAGGATCTGGCTGCTCCTTAACCTGAATTCCACCAATTTCAACGGACTGAGGAACCACAGGTCTTATGGGTCCTTCACTGGGAGCATGATAGTTGTAGAAAAGCAGAGAAACCCGTCGTTTCATTTCGGCATAATTTGGAAAATCAGGATCGGTCTCATTTCCAAAAGCTCTCCTGTTAAAGATTAAATAAATAACAAAATTTTGGCATAAATATAGGTTAATTACTTACTCGTAAAACTGATTCATCTTTAAGCTGAGTAGTACGTCCAAAAACTTAAGAAATGAGTATTTAAAAAAGTTTACCAATCGCTGGCCAAATCTCATGGTCACTTGTCCTGGTTCCAGGGCCACATTCAAACTGGGAACAAAGGCAGGATCGGCAACATTTCCCACTACGGAGTCTAGCACGATCATAGGAACACCAACCCAAGTCACAATTACCGGGCATTTTAACTTTGCTGCCACGCCCAGTTGGAAATCATTGGCCATCATTCCCAAAAATACCAGATCGAACTTGGTCTGGGGGTTTTCGTAGACTTCTTTGAAATTGGGATGAACGGCAAACTCGTATTGGGCTTCAAACTGATCGCCGGACTGCACTATTGCCTTCAAAAAAGTTGTCCAAATGCTTGGCTTCTCGGCGGTTATTTGAGACATATATTCCTTGATTTTTTGTTCTCGTTCTGGAGTAGGTGGTGCTAGGATGACAGTGATGTTTTCATGCGCCTTGAGTTTGGGTTTCATTTGGGTCACCACGGTAATGTTGTGACCCCGATCGGCCAGTGTCTTCATCATAGCCATGTGCACAATGACATGTGAGGGGCTATGGGAGCCAAAGATTCCCAATATATTAGCTCCCTCGCAACTGGGAGCTTCCATACTTAATAGTATGGTAAAAAATAGCACAATTCCCATGTACTTATTCATTTTAAACGTTCTATACCAGCGAAATGTGAATTAACGACTAAGTATCGACCTCCAAATGGCAGGCCTTTTTATATGTTTATCTCCCTGAGTAAGCACCCATTAGAAACAATAGTAGGTTTTGGAATATGTTTGGCTTTTGCTGCGCCGCAATGACTGAGCGATCGGGGTAGACTATAGCTGATAATGTCTAGTAACACACTGACCGGTGTTTGAAGTGTGCCTAGTCTGGAGCCTTAGTCATGGTTAGCCTTTAAATAAACAAAACGGCCACTTATCAACAAACAAAATAGTGCTCGTATATAATCACGTTTTTTATTATCTATTGTGTTGTGAAATAATACGTAATCCTATCATGTATTGCTTGACCAGTATTTTGACAAAAATGTATACTTATAAAGCTAAAAAAGTTTCGAATTTCAACTTTAGAACTGCAGATAATTTTACTCTGTTTCTATATGACTGGATTTATAGCCATAGGCCCAACCATCAATTGCGTCATTTTATTAGGACCAGTATCTTTCGAATGAATGTTTATAATCTCAAGATAACGAAGGGTCAGTCAGGCGATAAGGAAGCCGGTTACACCACTTGAATAAAATATCAAGTAATGGTGATCGGTCATTATCCTAATCCTGCAAGAAAGAATGTTTAAAAAGCCTTTCGTTTTTAATAATTTAATACAAATTTATTTGGTTTTTGTAATTTCAATGAGGTTTGTTTTGTTACAAAATATCTACAAAAATAACATAATACTAAATAAAATTATTGTTTCTTTTGTTTTTTGCAGTTTTTGGAAGAGCCTTTCGCCTTGCTGCAGAGCTTGTTCCATACGAATTTCACAACGAGTCGCAGCAGAAGGATAACCAGGACTACAATGGTTATTATAAGAAGATGCACATCAATATTGTTGAGTTCAATGAAGTTCATGTGCACCGCAGGACTTTGTAGATGGGGAGCTCCTTTGTGCCTCAGGACGTACTCCGTCCAGTAGAGAACCGCTTGCTTGGCACTCAAAGGACGATCGCGATACAGGGCAGAGAATTTACCAATGGCCTCTCCGTATTTCTTGTTCTCCAGGACTTCGGTGAGGGCTTCCCTTAGGCTGTCCTCTGTGATGGAGAGGAGGTCCAGAGCCAAGCCATAACCTGCTTTCTCCATAGCGTGGGCATTACCGATTTGATCTCCAAAAATGGGCAGGGCTACCATGGGTACTCCGTGGTACTGGGCCTCCGTAATGCCGCCCTTGCCGGCATGGGTGATGAAGAGTTTGGTGTTGGGATGGGCCAGGATATCGTCCTGGGGCAGCCATTTCTTGTACAAAATATTTGCCGAGTTGCCAGGAGTGTTTTCCGGATCCTCCCATTTCCAAATAACATTCAGCTTCAGTCCCGAAAGAACCTTGAAAATGCTCTGAACAATTTCAGGCTTGATGGAGGAGCCCTTGATATTGCTTCCCAGGGAAAGTAGAATGGCTCCCTGGGTGGAATGAGACAGGAACTCATCGATGTCCTTGGGCAGAGGACTAGGCTTGTCCTTGACTTGTATACCACCAATTTCGACCACGCCAGGAACTAGAGGCCTAATGGGTCCTTCGCTGATTAAATGGGCGTTGACAAAAGCCAAAGAAATATTCTTTTTAGCTTCAGTAAGACTGGGAAGGGTCTTGTCGTTTCCAAACTTTTCCTCGTAAATTTTATCCGACTTGGAAACCAAGACAGACATCATGTATTTGATGAAGAGATGCTTAGCCAGATTTTCAGCGCGCTTCAGGAGACCCATAGGATGAGTGGTGGTGGTGCCGATATTGGGCACATATGACACCTCCGTGGGATTGCCGGTAAACTCATCGATGGCCAACATAGGTGCTGACATCCAGTCGATTATCACTGGCACCTTTAGTTTAGCTGCTACGCCCAACTGGAATTCGTTGAGGAAGTATCCCAATATCATCAGATCGAACTTGGTGTCATAAATCTGCTGGAATTGCGGATGGGAGAGCAGATCCGCCTGGGAGTCGATCATCACATCCATGCCATTCATCAGGCGATTCAATGTGCTTATGATGGAGTTCCTTTGCGAGGCCATTTCCGACATTTGGTTTTCGATAATCTGCTCTTGTTCATCGGTCACGGGTATCACAATCACATGGATGTCCTTGTGGGTAACCTTGGGCGGCAGCATGGACACCACGGTGACATTATGACCGGCCTCCGCCAGGGTCTTGGCCACTGACATGTGGATGATCAGGTGGGAAGGACTGTGGCTGCTGAACAGTCCCAGAATATTGGCTCCATTCGAGGAGGCTACCAGAATGGCCAACAGCAAGATTAAGGGGCGAGCCGCCAACATTTTTGACTTCACGGCTTTCGATTCAAAAGAGTACTGAAGGGAACCTGTTCACACACGAGGTATTTATTGCGTTTAGCTTATCAATTCTCTTCGATGACACAATAAATGCTCTTATCTAAATGCTCTTTAACTCCTGACTAGACTCTTTTGTTAAAAGTGATGACATTTTGAACAGGTAGCTGGTATCAGGTAATCCTGATTATTCCTGGAATCTAGATAAGGATAATAGAGTATAACTTTTGGAAGAGAAAAATTAAACAATAGATTTAGAAATTTTTTTTTCAAATATCATATCTTCTATATTTGATTTAAAATCATATAAAAATTATTTTGTTAATTATAAGATTTATTTTTATTTTTTATGCACATTTCAAGTTATTTTTTTTTTGGTATATTTTTAGGTCTATTGACTCTCTTATTCCCTGACTCTTTCGACCTTTATTGTTGAGTCGATTAAGCCCCTAGATTTCCCCTTTGGCTTGTCATAATGACTCAGCAGTATATGTATGTTTCCTAACAAATATCATTTATTTACTGAACAATTTCAACATGAACTATCACCTCAAATTTTGTTTCAACGTTTTAAAATGCAAATGAAGCTGAGAAATGTTTGTAGCCACTTCAAAACCTGATAAAAGAAGACATAAACAAAAATATATCATCACAAACACAATAAAAAACCGGAAACCCCTTAAAAAGCTTTTAACTAATAAAAAATAAAGAGTGTAATCAAAAAAAGCTCTTATTTGAATCATAAGAGTAAGCAATCGTGAAGAGAATTTAGATTAATTAATTTACAAAAAATTAAAGCTGTATTTGCAGTCAAGGAAGGTGTTAATTGCCAATTACAGGTGCTAACTAATATCCAATATCATTTGTTTCTTGAGACCAATTATTTTAGTTTTTTGGAGCCCGGTGGTAAGGGATTTCTCTCAATTCTTAGCAGTTGCTTTTTTTGACCCTTGATGTGACCCCAATGATTAATTTCCCTTAATTCCGTGTCGAATTCCTTCATTGTTTGATTTAATTCCGGGTACAGATGCTTGAGAGCTCCATGATCCAAGGTGGGAAATAGATGGTGAAGGGCATGTTCCCCAAAGTGGGTTAAAACCAACAAATCTGACCACTTGATGTCACCCCGATCGATGATGGTGTCCATTTGGTAAAGACCCCAATCGATATCCTTGCGCTGGGCATCGCCATCGTGAAGAATTTCAGGATCATGATGAGCGGCAGTCAGGCCAATGAATGCAAAAATAAAACTGCCAATGGCCACTATAAGTTGCCAGTTCAGGAATGAAGTTTTAAGACCCACATCCGTGGTTAAATAAAGGAAAACAGGCAAACTCAATGACAAGAGATCATCCCAGTACATAATGTTCTTTTTGGTGACGGACAGGAACAGACTAAAATATAAAGGTATTAACTATAAAATTATATTGGTTCTAGAAGTTCTAAAATGAAACTCACCGTATTAAAATCTGAGCATGAAACAATCCAGTATATACTATGGGAGAAATGAAAATGGAAATCCAACGTTGGACTTTGGTGCCATACTGACGACCAGGAAGCCAACACATAAAAGGTTCAAACATTGACATTTCCAGGTCATGCAGGGAGTTGGAGTAAACGTGATGGGACAGGGCATGGGAAACTCGCCAACTTCTAAAGTTCATCAAGGAGAGATTAAAGGCGTACATCCGCCAGCTGTCCCGTTGGTGGAAGTAATTGTGGGTGGAAGTGGCTACCCAACAAAGAGCCAAGCCAGCCAGGGCCAGGACAACCAAAGAATCCAAAACTGTGCCAAGCCAGCTCAAGGAAAATAATGAAACTATGATAGCTAGATGCAGGAACTACAAAAGCATAAAATAATTAATAAAATATTAAAAATATTAAATCAAACCCTAACCCACCTCAGTTTTTTTCGAGGGCCTGTAGTTTAATTTCCTTAGTTTCTCTCGAACTCTTCTCTTCAAAGTCATATAGAAACCATTTTCTTTCAGTGTAAATTTATAATTTCTTGGCTTGGAGGCCTCTCGAACTTCGAACTTGCTGAGCATATTCCGGGCATGTTCCTCGATGTGATGCGACTCGAAGGGCTCTGTGATATCTGTGCCCCGGGTGCACTCGATCCAAAAGGCACCACCCGGATGCCGTTGGGCGAAATCCGACAAGTCATAGAGCTTGTCGTTGATACGCCAAAGACCTTCGGCCTCATCATCTGCATTTTTTCCCTTCAGCCAACTGATCGATTTAATTTCTGTTTTACATTAGAGCTCTGACTGTTGTGAGATTCTGATTTAAATCCTCACCTTTCCCCAGTAATGGGCTGGTACTTTCGATAGCTAGGATATGTTCGAGATATTCCTGATACCTTCCAGTCTTCGGGCTCTATATTTGGTGTCATTATCTGTAGAGGAAACATAAGTTATTATCTCCATAATAATCGTTCAAAACACCTTAATCGTTTTAGATAATTTACTTATAGACTCTCAAGTTCAACCTTTAAACCTACTAGTTAGTGTGTTTTATTTTAAACCGGTCACGAAACTAATCCGGCAAATTCAAACCGCAGAGTTTGTTTACGTAGCACCAACTGAACATTTATGTGGAGCGCAGCTCGACTTTTGTCTTTATTTGATACTCGTACTATCAATTGGAAAAGCTCAGTTCCGAGAGCTAATTGAAAGCTTTCCTCTCCCAATGGGTCTCATTTCTTATCGGGGGTCCAATGAAAGTTGTACAATATAAACTTGGTATCCAAATCCATGGTACGGGTACAGAGTCCTTCGGACAATAGACTTGTTAGGAACCTAATAAAAGGAAAAGGTTATAACTACTTTTCTAAGAATTAAAATATTATATTTAAAAAAAAAAGCTTAAAATTATTGTTTCTATATTTTAATAATATATAATTTTTAATGTGTATAGATTTATAATATATTTTTATATTTATCCATCAACTATTTTAGCAGTTATAAAATGTAATCTTGAATCTGCTGTGTCATTAATTTCATAATTAATTCTAGACTATTGTCAGACAATATACGTTTATTAAAAAAAAAAACCTTATGAAAAAAAATATTTTATGACCACTGAACTGACTCTTTTGTCACCAAAACGGTCCAAGAGATAGTCCATACTTTAAAGGGGGGGCGCGGACATGCCCACCCTGTGTTTCCTGATAACGCTGTGAAAAAAATCTAAAGAATATAAAAAATTAAAAATAAACAGACGTAATAGCTTAAAAGCAGCAGCTGTGCCCCCGCAGCTCTCGTTTAGTGATAAGAAAACAAAATGTCTCGGACGAGTCCTTATCAAATGGAAACGTTTCGTTTGTAAATCGAAATCGATTTCGGTTTATATAATCGGTTCAACATAAAATCCCCCGTCGAATGGAGATAGCATTCAGTTAGTCGCGGGAATCGCAGCCCGAAGGTTGCTCAGTCGGTAAAGGACGAAACAGGATCGCAAGGACTCTACACAATGGTGATCGAGGAATGGAAGAAAAGTGGCATTGCCACCAAGTTCCCTACATATCGCAATTCGGCTCTGATCACCACCCACAGTTGGCAGCAGGGTAAGCGCCAGGACGATCGGGCCGAAGGACTCTGGAGGATATACGATGGCATCTATGACTTTACCGACTTCATTGACAAGCATCCTGGCGGTACGTTCTGGATTCGCGAAACCAAAGGCACCGACATAACCGAAGCCTTTGAGGCACATCATCTGACGACCACCCCCGAGAAGATGATTTCCAAATACTGGGTGCGGGATGCTGCCGAGCCAAGGATATACACCCTGACCCTGGAGGAGGGTGGATTCTACAAGACCCTCAAGGAGCGAGTTCGCGAAACCCTCAAGACCGTCGATAAGCGCCCGAAAAAGAAGAGTGATGTGAGTGGCAACTAAATTAAAAAATAATTGATATGAAATTAAGATGATTAGAGCCAAATATTTCGTATCAATTATTTTTCTGTTATCAGTTACATATTTTCAAGTCAAGCGCCCCAAGCTGCGTAAAATAATCTAAGTATTTCACGTGTTGGAGTGATTACAAAAATCTGAAATTATAAAATCATTGATATGTCAATCAGGTTGGAGGGTAAAATGTGATTTAATCATATTAGGGGCAGGAGGTTTATAAATAATAATACTGTTGGTTTCCAGAAACATTAGGGCTTAAGGACTTTGAAAAAAAGTCTCCGAAAAAGAAGTTTAAGGATCCCTGCTTTTGATTAGAATACTTAAAATCTTTTTATAATTTTTAACATTGTTCAGCCTAAATATTTTAATATTTTAAATTACAATATTTTATTTTAGTTCATCCACTATGGTCTGATAATTGCCCTCTACCTGTTTGCGATTGCCAGTGCCAAGTTCAACAGCCTCCTGGCCCTCGTCCTGGCCGGAGTGTCCTTGTGCTGGACGGTGATTGTCTCCCACAACTACTTCCATCGTCGGGATAACTGGCAGATGTATGCCTTCAACCTGGGCCTGATGAACTTTGCCGCCTGGAGGGTCTCGCATGCCCTCTCCCATCACATCTACCCCAATTCCTATTTTGATCTGGAGCTATCTATGTTTGAGCCTTTGTTGTGCTGGATACCGAATCCAAATATCAAGAGCAAGGCTCTGCGTTATGTGTCCTGGGTGACGGAGCCGGTGGCCTATGCCCTGGCGTTCTTCATACAGATAGGCACACGGTGAGTGACTGATCGTTGATTAGTGGAAGTACTATAACCTAATCGACTTGATCTTTGCAGTATTTTCTACTCGCTGCGCCACACAAACATCATGTACTGGCACGACCTGCTGCCCCTCACCATTCCGGCTGCCGTCTATCTGGGCACGGGGGGATCTCTGGGCGTGTGGGTCTGCATCCGCACTTGGCTGGCAATGACGTCCATCGCCAGTTTCAGCTTCTGTGTGATTGGCCTGAACGCCGCCCATCACGATCCGGAAATCTATCACGAGGGCGACACTAATCGCGAGGATCGCGACTGGGGTCTCTTCCAGGTGGATACGATCATCGATCGCGGTGATCTCAAATGGTCTCAGTTCCTGGTGCTCACCCACTTTGGTGACCATGTCCTGCATCATCTTTTCCCCACTCTGGATCATGGTCTCTTGCCGGCTTTGTATCCTGTTCTGTATCAGACCCTGGACGAGTTCAAAGGTCACCTGAGAGAGTGTAATCATATTGAGCATATTATTGGCCAACATAAGCAACTGCTACGCACTGAGCCTAATCCCAGGGCTCCAGGAGCGGGAAAATAAGGTTTAGTTGTCCAGGGGGGTTTCTTTAAAAGATGAAAAAATAAATGTATATTTTCTTAATATAATATATAAATATTTTTAAATAAAATATTTATTGCTTGGCTTTTTTTTCTTAATGGGATTAGCTATACATTTTGGAAGGGTAATCTATGAAAAATATTTTATTGAAAATCTCTCTTAAATGCACAACTGAAATATTGTTGAGCTTATTAAAAAAGATCAAGAAATTTAATCTTTTGACATTGAAAAGTGAAATTTTCTTATCACCATATTCTTAAAAATATTCCAACTGAAGAATTCCACTCCCGACTATATTTGACTTGTAGTATATAACCCCCCCAACCAAAAATAAAAAACATCTGAATTTTTTAATTGATTTACATTTATTTTGTTCCTTTTTTGTATACTTTTTCATTTCGTGTCGAGTGATGATCTTAGCTCATTTATCATTGATTTGATTGAATCAAGAAATTAAACATAAACATAAGCGCAGTGTATAGCTCGTGTCGTCCGTACGTCTTGTGTCTGGTCTGTATGACAAATAAAATTGAGAATACATATAGAACAATAATCATCGAACAGCGGGCGACATTTACCGGCGGACACCACTTTCCGGGGCCTTGACTTTGACACGGGGCTCTGTCTCTCATACGCGATCTTTCTCGAGTTTTGTTGTTTAAAAAATAAATCGATGGTCTGATTTTTGGTTGAATGCATTTCGAAAGTTGTATAAAAATATATAAATACAAATACAGGCCGCACGATTAGCGGCATCCCCGCGGTTAATGTCGCGCTTACACACAAAAGCCTGAATATACACAGTGATTGATTGCTACACAGTTCACTTATGTACGTATGCTATTATTTTGTAGCTTATTTGCTTTTATTTTTCTTTTGCCTAAGTGCATTTTTTGGCGGTTTTTTGATGTTGATTGGTGGTATATGGTGGTAGTTTGCCTCCCGTCGTTTTCGATATATATTTTGTTATAGTTTTATTATTTTGTTTTTAAATTAAGAAATTAAATTAAAATCATAAACATAATCATTATGAAATATCATTTAAAATAAATTAAAAAATGAAATGGCATTTAGAATTCGTTTTCAGGAGCAAGGTCGAATCTTGGTGGGAAGGCCAATCCGTCGAATTGTGGCCTGACGGACGTCGCACGGGGCTGCAGAAGAAAAAAATAATAAATATTTTATTAGTTTTCATATTTAATGGAAAATATTATTTGAAATCATGCTGGGGATTTGGGGACAAAATCATCAAATATCGACAGGATAAAACGATAACGAGAACGCCTCTCGCTCTGCCAGCTAGTTGTGTTGCGCCAGCGAGAACGAAGCGGTGAAGTAACGATAACGAGAACGAGGTACGAAGTGAGCGTACGTAAAAGCTCTTCGAGAGAGACGGAAACAGGAAGTGATTGTTTCGACGAGTATCCATTATGAAAGGACGAATATGAGACGACAATACGCAACGAATGAATGATCACGAACGAGTGAGCGAAACAACGACATGAGCTGACTTTGACTTGACTGTATTCGTTTGTGTGTGTTTGTGGGATAGGGTTTTGGGATAACTCCGACACAACAAGAACAGGACAAGACGTGCACCAACACGTCCACTTACAAATGTTTCAAGAAAGTTTCTACTGCTCCAGCAGCGCGCTCTTGCGGCCCTTTGACGCTGTCGGCTGCAGTACACATGTACAAATACAGTTTATAATAATATAGTGGAAGAACAGTATTTTGGTTTTATTGTAAATGTGGTTGTAGAGAAAGCAATTCGATTGATTTAGCTTTTAGCCGCTTTTGATTGCTTTGATTGTTTCATTCAAATGTTTGTTTTTTTTTTTTTTTGTTTTGTTTTTATGCTTTTCTTTCAAAATGAACGCATTTTTGGTTGGTATACGACGGTGATTTGATCCTCTGATTTGGTTTTTTTTTTGGGTGGCCTCTAATTTGAACATTTTTGTCTGCTAGCGAATGTCGTTTGATGCATCTATATTATTGTTATTAGTATTTATTTTATAATAATTCTTATAAGCTATAATTCTCTTTGCATGGTTTTGTTCTCTCATTATCGTAATTGAACCATAATTGGATCGCTATATAGATTTTATTTATTTTTTTTCACTTGGTGGTGGTGCCTCAGATTTAGATCTGGATATGTGAGGAGAAAGCGGAGCGTACGCGCGATATATGAAAGGTAAGAATATATTACATTATTCAAAAAAGCGATCAAGAGCGAGAGAGAACATGAACGTGAGTGAGATGGCTATTGCAGCAAAATGGTTGCTCAGTGTTCGAACGAGTGAGAGAAGTGCATATTCTAAAATTTTTTTTTTTTTCTGAAAGGACTTGGTCAAATACAGGATCAGGCTGGGTCGTGGGGAGATGAGAAAAAAAAGGAAAGTCTCTAAAGGATTACTTACCGCTGGGCTGGCACCACGACCGACAGAACCGGCACGTCCCTTGGCGCGGAATTTGCTGATGGCCTGCTCGGCCAGATCGGCACGCTCCTCAGCCTCCTCCAGCTCCTGCTGAGCCTTGCGGAATTTGGCCAAGTTGAGGGCAGCGATTTCCTCAGCCTCCTCGATCTGCCTCTTGTATGTCTTGATCTTCTGTTGCAGCTTGTCGACCAGATCCTGCATGCGTTCGTGGTTCTTGCGGTCCTCCTCAGACTGGAAGCTCAGCTCCTTGATGCGGCGCTCAGACTTGCGCAAGTTCTTCTGGGCATCGGCATGTCGCCTCTGCTCACCATCCAGCTCGTTCTCGAGCTCGCGGACGCGCTGCTCCAGCTTCTGGATGGCCTTCTTGCCTCCCTTGAGGGCGTTGGCCTCGGCCTCGTCGAGACGGACCTGGAGCTCCTTGATCTGCTGCTCCAAAGCCTTCCTCAATTTCTCCTGGGTCTGGGCATGATCCTGCTCAGCGCGGAGCTCATCAGCCAGGCGGGCGGCATCAACCATAGCCTTCTTGGCCTTCTCCTCGGAGTTCTTGGCCTCGTTCAAGAGTTCGTCCAGGTCGGAGTGCAGGGTCTGCAGCTCAGACTCCAGCTTCCTCTTGGCAGCGGAGATGGAGGCGTTCTGGGCGGAAACCTCGTTCAACTGCTCGTGGGCATCGGCCAGTTCCTGCTCGGCCTGGCGACGGCCACGGTCGGCCTGCTCCAACAGAGTGCGCGACTCCTCCAGTTCGTTCTGGAGGGCGTTGGCACGACGCTCGGAGATACCCAGCTGTTCGCGGGCATCGTCGCGGGCGCGCTGCTCCTCCTCGAGGGCGGTCTGGATGTCCTTAAGCTGTTGCTGGTAACGCTTGATGTTCTTCTGGGCCTCGGCGTTAGCCTAAAGATTTCAAAAGAAATTGGAATAATAAATAAAAGCTCTATAAGAAAACCTTTCGTTTTGTAAACCCACCTTGTTGGCATGATCCAGAGCAATCTCCAGCTCGTTGATGTCAGCCTCCAGCTTCTTCTTCATGCGCAGGGCCTCAGCCTTGCCCTTGGCCTCAGCCTCAAGGGAAGCCTGCATGGAGTCGAGGGCGCGCTGGTGGTTCTTGCGGGTGTTCTCGAACTCCTCTTCCTTCTCCTGGATGCGGCGGTCGATTTCCTGGCGGACCTGGGACAGCTCCAGCTGGGCGCGCAGCACCTTGTTCTCCTCCTGCTCAAGAGCAGCCTCAGCCTCCTCAAGGGCGGCCTGGAGCTCGTCCTTCTCAGCCTCCAGGCGCTTGCGGGCCTTCTCGATCTCATGGATGTTGCGGCCACCCTCACCGATCTGGTCGAGCAGATCCTTGACCTCATCAGCCAAGTTCTTGTTCTCACGACGCACAGCCTCCAGCTGCTCCTGGCCCTCCTCGTAGGCACCCTTCAGACGGAACAGCTCGGTGGAGTAGTTGCGGCACTCCTTCTGGGAGGCATCCAGCTCAGCGGCCAAATCATCGACCTTGAGCTTCCACTCGCCGATGATCTTGTCGAAGGCCTTCTGCTTCTTCTCGGCAGCGTTGGCAATGGCGTTGGCACGGTCGACCTCCAGCTGCAGATCCTCCACTTCGGTGGACAGGCGCTGCTTGGTCTTCTCCAGGCCGATGCACTTCTGGTTGAGGGACTCAATGGTCTCCTCAGCCTCGGCGAGACGGGCCTGCAGCTTCCTCTTGGCCTCCTCCAGCTCCTCAGAGCGGGCAACACCATCGGACTCGTACTTGCTACGCCAGACCTGGGCCTCGGCGTTGGCCTTGCTGAGCTGGCGCTGCAGATCAGCCTTGCCCTCAGCCTCCTCCTCAACCTGTTCGCGCAGGTTGTCCAGGTCGTGCTCCAGGTTGCGGAACTTGCCCAGAAGGGTGGCGCGCTCGCGGGACTCCTCATCGGCCAGACGCTTGGTATCCTCAAGCTGGGTGGTCAGGGAGATCTTGATCTTGGACAGCTGAGACACCTGGGACTCGGCCTCCTCCAGCTGGCGGAGCAGATCGGAGTTCTCAATGGACAGCTTCTTCTTGCTGGCATCGAAGTCGTTCAGAGTCCTGTTGGTCTCATCCAATTTGGACTGGACTTCGTTGAGGGTGTGCTGCAGCTGCTTGGCGATCTTCTCCTGGGCAGCCTATATTTTTTTTTAATAAAAATATTAAGAAGTTAGTTTCCATATCTAGTTAAGTTTTCTTTGGTTTTTCGTGTGAGGTGGCTGTACAATGTGCTTTTAATTTTAGTATTTCAAGCTTGGAATATTACTTTAGTGGGGGGGTTTTAGTTTATTTTTTACAATTCAAGGGGGGGAGGAAGTGTGTGTTTTTCGGTCTGGTTGCATTGCAACTACGTTGATACTATACACAGATGAAGTCGTGGCAAAAAAAACTATAGAACTTTCAGCAATTTAATTTACAGCATCGCGTTGAGAGCAATTATGAATAGTAGGAATCATTTTGAATACCTTCTCGTTGGTAATGTGGTCGACACCGGCACGCAGATCGTTCAACTGGCCGTAGTACTCGTTCTTCTCCTTCTCAGCCCTGGTTTAAACAGAGAGACAGAGGTTCGTATTTCACGGGTTAGTTCATGTATTGTGTTGGGGGGG